CGCTGGTACGGAGGCAGGCAGAGCACAATTCCGGCTCCCGGCTGTCGTGGGATTATAAGAATCTTAGAGTCTACTGGAGGCTATAAGGGATCAAAACTAGAAGGTACAGTATAGTGCCTCTATGTCCATGGACAACAAGAGTAGCAGCTGCGCTGCCCTGCACGGCCGGAATCTGACAACAGTTCAACACGTGGTGTTCAGTCCACAATCTGCCACACTTCGCAAACTGCACAGACAGAGTCTGGTAAGTTTGTTGACTGAGATCTGTGAGATCTGACTTCCACCGCTCCCACCGCTCTTTCAGGCACCAGATGGGCCAGGGCCAAGTCCTTGGCTAGGGCCTGAAAGTTCGGACCGAATCCTGGGTCGTTGCTCAGCCTTGTGCAAATTGTAAGCGCCTCTGCAACAGTGGCGCTCTTGAAATTGATGTTGGGAAGCTGCGTCAGCCGCGTAATCAGGGCCGGCATCATGCCCTTGAGGAAACACTTCTTCATTTCGTCACGCCGCCGAGATCCATCCAGGCTGGGCCCATGCAGCCAATTCTTCAAGTCATCGTCAGAGAGCAGCTGCAGATGACCATGCAACACTTCTATGGCGGCTGTGGTGCAGTTGCAAAGTCGATCAGGCGTGCTCAGGCCGTCGCTGTGGAAGCTCATGTCTCTGGACCACAATGGCCTGGACCCACGCGCCTGGGCCCAAACATTCAAAGTATTCGGTGACAAAAACGTCGGCCGAGCAACTCGAGTCCCGAAAGCACGAATAGTCAAGATCTCGTAGTAGACGCCCAAGAAGCATTCCTCCAGTCCCAGCTTCAGGGAACCGGCTGCAGCTGCGGCTGCATGTTTGTGGCGAACATATATAAAATCTACGCGTGTTGATGGAATCAACTCTGTCCTGGCCTGCAATATGTCTGCCGCAGCAGACTGAAAGTCATCTGGGTCGGCAAAGTTGGTACTGGGATACTGCAGGCGCACGTCCTGCGATGACCAAAGGGAGCGTTTGAAGGCCAGTGTGCCAGGATGACCACCACTGAGACCACACCCCAGTTCTGCGGGAGGTCCAAACCAAAACTCGTCTTCTTCCAGAAAATACCACATCCCGAAGGTTAGAGCCGTGCATTCTGCACGGCCTCGGGAGATCGGCTCGATTTGCTCTCGCAATCTCGTCGGGCCGTAGTAGTCGTCATCGTCCCACTGCACAATCACTGACCCCTTAGCATGTCGTGCTGCAAAATTCCTCTTCTCCCCGATTGATACTGGCTCTTGAAGGTAAAAATATCGTATCTTCGGATACAGCGAGCGATGTTGCCATCTGCTACGGATGAATGACTCCAGTGGCGGTTGCGAGGAGTCAACCAGCAGCACTTCCAACTTATCTTGCGGGTAGTCTTGCTCACTGACTAGGCCCAGGGCATGGTCTAACAATTCTGGTCGGTCGCGAGAGACCAGGCTGATCGAAGCGTCCAGCATGGGGGCATGGAGGTAACACTCATGGCATTGTCTCAACAGGTTGCACTTTAAGCCTACAGCGGTTTGCCATGCTCGCTGGACTTTTTTCAGCTATCAGTTGCTTGTTGTGTCTGGCGGCGCCAGCTGGTTTAACCTTGGTCCTTCAGGACACACTCACCTGACCAAGTCAGCCGAGTTTGATGTTTATATGCAAAATGCCTTGCGTAAGAACATCGGGTGTGGTCCGCGCGTGAGCCGTCCTTTGTTACCTTCTTGTGTGGAATGGGGAGGTGCCATCCAGTTCTCATGTTTCAGTTAGACTTTAATACGATGTACATGTATACACACATATTATGTACGTATGTGCGTGTGTGTGTGTGTGTGTGTGTACACGCATTGGTGGGCCACGCTTAAAGACAGGCCAGTCTATGGTCGGGCTGTTATAGAATCGACGAGTGAGAGACAAACTCCCGCGGGTTTTGGTTTGCGCCTCCTGTACACCATTTTCGCTGTCGCCGGCAAAGAGAAATGACGAGCCGAAGGCAACAGCACCTGGCTACAGGGTGCAGATTCAGTGGCCAAGTGCCCGAGTCGAACTATGGCCGCCTCCTGCTGCCAGCACCATCAGTCGCATCCTGCTCCCGAGCACAGGACCGAGACATGGGCAGGTGTTCACTAGAATCTTATATTTCGAGAGACCATTAGCAGAGCTGACATCACAATCTCTCAAGCGCCATCTTGCGCAAGAAGTGAACTCATCTCAAGGCCGACTTTTGTCATGTGAAGGAAACTGTTCTTTTGCTTCAGCGGCCTCTTGGCTTCCGGTGACTCCTGAAAGCATTGGTTGGTGAAGGTTCAGAAGGGCATCATAGGGCATCCAAACACGGCAGCTCGAAAATGACGAAAAGCTCGCATGCGATTGCATGCACGCGCTGCGCCTTCGTTCGCTGGTTTACGCTTGCAGCTCATGCACATCAGGAATGGTTTGACATGAACCCGGACAGGAAACAAGACTGCAGGTCTCACTGTGTGACCTGTCCTTGCCCTTCTCGGGGCCCTCCTTTCCTTCGGAATGCTTTCCTCCGGTTCAGCAACGAAAGTGCTCGAGACCGGCTGCAGCCAAGATGTTCCCGTCCTTCTGCTTGAGCCTTGTCACTCCCTCCTTCTTCTTTGGCCTGGCATTTCCACTCCCTCTCAAACTGTTTATGACCGACTTCGGAAAACCCACGTGCAACACAAGTTGTAGTTTGGAGCCCTCGCATATAAACAGTGTAGGTCGCAACTTGGTGTGTGTCTGCTAGGCATGTAGCTATGGAGGCCGTTCATCATGAGAAGTATGACCACGAATAGTATTATGTATAAAAATATTGATACCGATAAAAACCATAGTCATTAACAGTAATTAATACATCTGGCGTTCAGAGCCAAGAAGAGCCAAGTTGCTGCATTCTCTTTCGGGCCACTTTGCCTGGGATCTGCAAGAGCAGAGCAAAGAGAACGAGCAAGATGCTCATCCGCTTGGTGTGCTGCAGCTTGCTCTGAATGCCCATGCTTTTCCCGAACTGAAGCTTGCCGAGTGACTTCTCCTTGCTCACTTCTTCAGCTTTGGGATTCTCCTCAGCTCTGCAGCGATGCAGCCAGGATCCGGACCCAGCAATGACCGAAAAAAACCCGACCTGAGCTGGGCATGGACATGCCTGACTCAGCCAAGTATCTGGTGTCTCCTTTGGCCCATTCCTTGGTGCCAAACATTGCTCAAGGCTACTACGAGATGCTACAAGGACTTCTTTCAGTGGACTGAGGTGATGGGGCCAGCCATGCCCCTCAGATAAGATGGACACTGTCGCAGAAGCCAGGGTTGTTGAAGTTGAAACAGTTATGCCAGGGGTGTGGGTTTTTATGTGTTTGCCACCCAGAGCCACATGCAACGCAATGCAAAAACCAATCCTTTCGCGAAGGCAAAATCCCTTTCAGCAAGACAGCACACAAACTGAAATACCTAACCTGGATTATCGAAGTGTCCATGGTTTTAAATATATGCTGCAGTAGTTGTTCCAACTCATGTGCATTTGCATCTATGAACATTCAGCTTTAAACTTGAATGATCGGGAACCATCTTGTATGGGATTGTTTCCATTTCCGTGCCCTGCTCTACAAGCAACAACTTTGATGCCCTAAGCCGGCCCTAAGCGCGGCGAAGCAGCTTGCTGGATTCCGACTGCTTGGCTGACTCCTGAGTGACTTCAAGGCAACCCGAGCAGCAGACGAGAGCTTCACAAAAAGGAAACTGCAACCAACACAACCAATATTACAACCATTCATGCCGGGAGTCCCCTTTTTGCCCAGAAGTCTCGCTCGGTCTTCCAGCCTGCGTGCCGCTTGCGAGTCAACAACAACTGTCTGTCTTGAGGGCCCCAAGGCTTTTCAACACAAGGCCAGTGGTTGAGCCTTGACACAACTTCATACCTAGCCTGTGCGAAGCATTCAAGAGGGAACACGAGTCCAAGAATTTGCGCACAGCCGTTGCAAAGCAGCATATGGTCCACACATGGTCCACGATGTCTACAATGCACTGTAGCTGTACTACACAACCGGCCCTGGCACCACAAGCCGAACTGAGATGGACGAACACGGCCCATGTTGCCTCTTTCGCTCTGCCTTTGTAGAAGTTCTCGAAGCCTTTTGGAGGCTTGCCCTCCCCTCACAGATGATGGCAGCTTGCAGAAGTGAAGCATCGGGCTTGCCAACCGAAACGCCCCTTCCCTAGCAAGCACAGAAGCAGACAAGCAAAAGCAGCTTTCGGGGTTTCCACCAAAGAACGCAGCTCACCATGCCGAGAGGCCGCTGCAAAAGCGTAAGCCCGAACGGCTCCTTGGTCTCACGAGCTCAGCCGCAAAAAAAGAATATGTATTATGTGCTTTTGCTGTTTTGCTTCCCTTGAGAAAGTTCACACATCAAGAATGCCAATGCCACGAGGTGTTGACTGTCAAGGCTCTTCAGGTTCGAGGGCCGTCGTATCGCTTGGGACACCTGCACACACAGGTCATGTCAGCGAACTCACACGAGGATACCCCATTAATGGGAACCATGACATGGTCTTGAATACCGTAGCAATCGCTCACTCGGGCATACTCGGGGGCCTGGATTAGAAAAGCTAGGTCTCAGATAGTCTCAGCAATGCCAACCAAGCCGCTTGACGGCGCCCTGGACCGAGGCGTCGCAAGGTGGAGAGCATGGTCTGCCAAGTCTGAAGCATCGGCAAGCTCCATATGTGCATGGATCATCACTATCCGCAGCACATCATGTTGCATACGCTTGCCCAAAAAGCTCCTGCAGCAAAGGCTCACAGGAAGGAAGCCCTCTAAGAGCAGCAAATGCTGCAAGGACGTCGGGCTGATTATGTAGCGCAAGGTGCAACACATGCTGACATTTGCTTTGCGGCGTGGACTGCTGCACTACTTGAAAAACTGTCACAGATAACATCTGATACTGCAGATCTGCAGAATTTCTGCAGAATTTCTGCAGAATTTCTGCAGAATCTGCGGCTGGCACCGGCGCGAGCTTCCGCGACAGCCCAGGGATGCGGTCCTGCCATGCTGGCGATGCCGAGGCCAGCCAGGCTGGTCTCAGCAAAAAGGCCCCCCAAGGCCCCAAGACTCTTGCTGCCCTGCCTTGAGTAAGGACACAGGGCATCGAATCGAGTCCCGGCTTCGGCTCTCGACCACCGTGACGGTTTGCCTTAAGTCACCCCATGCAAAGAGTAAGCAAAGAAACAGCGCTGACAAACTCTTATCTACTGAGCTGCAGGCAGCTCAGTGCCTGCTGCAGCCATGGATAAGCACAACATAGCACAACGCTGGAGGGAGGGAGGGAGAGGGGGGGGCGCCGGCGTCAGATTGTATGGGTGGTTAAACGGTTAGGCACAGCAAGCGCCAATCCTTCACCACATTTCCGGTTGGCATTGAAGGAAACGCCTCATCAGCAAAGGGACACGTCTTGCCAGTCTTGCCGTGGCACCGCTTGCATCGCAGGATATTTGGCGAGAATTCGCGAATTACATGATACGTTTACCGTTTTTAAGCGGTTCGAATGCTCGAGGCCCCCCACACGTAAGAGGATCAAGCTGAGCTGTGCCGCTGAAACTCTGCCTGGCCATGGCACGCCAATACACACCCAGTCCTTTGGCCTTTAGCTTCGTGTAAACTGAAAACTTCAGCATCTTCAGAACCTTGTGAGGCATTTTCTCTGGGGCTTGGGCCCATCCGTCGAAAGATTCGCCCGGAACTTTCCATGCCCTTCCTGACACATCTTGTAGCCAGCATACAACAGCGACTCGAAGGAAGGATCATGGGTCATGCCTGCTGATTCCCACTTGCATATCTTGCATCCTTAAGGTTCCAGTCAGATCCACGAGCAAACGCACGCATGACCACGAATGCGCTGTCATACACACCATAGACTTGACTCGCGGAACTGGACACTTTTTCCGCAAACACATGTCGAGTCTGGCCTCATTCCATATGAACACATAGCCTTGCACATGACCAGTGACCTGCAATGTTCTCTAAGTAATCAGCTACCTGAGGCTAAGCGATCCGGTCGTCCTGCGAAACAGAAGTCTACAAGGCGGCTGTGCCTGGCTCGGTGGCTGACTCATATCTCCGAGCACGCAGCCCGTACCAGAAACCTCATGTGCGCAGAACATCCACAAAATGCAAGCTTGCGCTTCGCAAAGAAAACTGTTCGCATTAACTGGTCCTCTGGCAAAGGCTCTGTGATGTTCGGCGTACTTTACAGAGTGAGCAAGACCAATCAGGTTGAATCGGTCGATGGGCTACTAAGTGGGGAGCATGGCATATGAGAATTGCATTCGGTTCTCATCTGCCCAGTGGGCAATGCAGTGCGACACGGCGAAGCAGCGAGACAATCCAGTGGAACAATTGTTGAGTGGACTTGCAGAGTTCACGCCGGACTGCGTGTTCTAATGTTGCACGCTCTTTACTGTGTGCCACCCTCCCCCCCCCCCCCCCACAGTCGAAGCTGGTTTTCATTGTTTATATGGCCCACGGGTTTCATATGATCATAATGGGGAGGACTTGATATAAGTCCTAAGTGACAGCGACACCCGGCACTTGATTTTAAAGGCGCGCCGCACGGAATTTTCTTACGGCACCCGGACGTTTGACTTAATTGCGGACCCCACCCTACACCCCAAAAGCAATCACACGGTCCTGATTAACCCGGCAAGCGTGAGTTAATGCAGAAGGCCCCTTACTAGACAGGGTGCAACTTTCCTTGCTATGCTCAGGACCTACATGTCTCAGGTGGATGCCTTGTTGTCTTCAGCCTGGACCAATGTGTACCTGCAGGGTAGCCCACCCGACTCAAGCCATACAGTCCGCGTCTTCTTAGCTGCCGGCTGGAATGTTGCGACGGGACCTTGGGCTCTGCGGTGGATGGAGTGGCATTTAACTACTTAGTTACTTCGAACCTGTCCGGAACGTGGGTCAACTTAGGCATGCAACAGTGGCTTACGAAAATTAACAGAACAGAACAGAACAGAACAGAACAGAATGATTTGAGATAGGCCAGAATTCATTGAACGGAGCCATGCCCGCAACAAGGGCTGTAGTCTCGTCGTTTCCCATGTCTTCCTTCAAGCCCTCTCGTCTGTGGTTCGGCTCAGGCATCTCGATGAATCAAGCTATTGTCGAGCGATTCAAAACTTGCATATGCGGCAAGCCATCAACAGCCATCAGCTTTCATGGCTACGACAATCACTCACAGCGCCGACGAGAGTGATGCCAACACAATGCAACTCACCAAGCAAGCAAGCGAGAATCATCATCACCATCATAGATTTAACGCACTACATGCAGGTTGGCGCCACACAACACAACATCACACAACAACGAAGTCACTCTGGAATCCGCAGATGTTCGACTTCCTATTTTCGAGAGGGCGGCGTTGGGAGAAACAAAAGAGCTTCCGAACAGGCAACGGCTACGGTTCAACGTGCAGCAGTGAAATACATGAGATGCGCAACTCGTGCTGGCCTTTAAAAGCCTGGCACAACCCTTTCACTCCTTCCGTAGAGTAGTAGAGATGCCACCTAGAAACCCACCCGTGGAGCTACCTCCAGGACCCAATGCCATCCAAGCAAAGCATCAGGGACGGTTATCTGAAATGGAACAGATAGGCTCCGCAGGGCCGTAAGCCCGGGTGTGTGTACAGGATCGGGGTGTAGGGGACAGCTATTTTTGCACCGTCTCTTAACCCATTGTGCAACTTACAAATATGGTAAGAACTTGTGACACTTAGTCCCACACGTTGCACAGTGACCAGCCACGAGCCTGTCAGGCCCTGAAGCTCGAGCTTCTCAGAGCACGCAGAACCTGCACTGCACACAAGCGCGTAGACTTCACCTATGTCGGGTTCAGGATCGATGGCACTGCGCCAAGATGAGCCAAAAGCCTCTCGTTTGCTTCTTCGGTGGCACCGACAAAGTGGCAGCTGCCTCAGGGAACAAACTACCTGGCAAATTGTCCATGTGTGCCCAGTGAGACGAGGATGAGACAGCGCTGACTCAGCACAGAACCAGTCGCTTTTTGCTGCCACTCCTGACAGGAGAACACTGCATCCAAACTTATTCGATGCACAAATTCTCGTAAGCAACCTCGTGTGCAGCCTCGTGTGAGTGGTGCCAGGGGGAAAGGGGGAGGGCGGGCGTGCACATTGACAGTCAGTGCATTGGTCCTGTGTTGTTTGTGTTGTCTCTCACCTGGTGGGAGTTCTGGCCCCATCGCCTCTAAAACACATTGGGATGCACTTCAGGCTTGCGCGCCATGCTGCCATGGCTTCCAATCATCTTGAAACCTGCCGAGTGCCTAACTCCAGGTGCGGATGAGAAGCCTGCACGGTTGCAGGCAGGCCAACACACTGAAATTCGTGGCCCTTGCGTTTACATGGCGCTCAAGAACTCAAAAACAAGAACCGCCTCGGCCATGAGAACTTGTTTCTATGCATGTCAGATCATGTCAGCACAAACATCATGTCGAGCCTGCGTCCATGCTTGCCGCAGCATCCCGGACCACCAGGAAGGAGGATTGCGCGGAACGACCCCCCCGTCCCACAAGAGAGAAACTGTTGATGGAGGAAATCTTGCACCGCTTTATATGGCCAAGCAAAGTAGAGACCCCGCGCCCCCTTTTTAATATTGATTGTTCTTCCTCGGAAGTGCCGTGGGTTCCACTGACAAAAATCTTGCACCACCTCGGTGTCCATCATCGTCAATATTAAAAAGGGGGTGCGGGGTCATGCTCATGTGTCGTGTCACTTGTTATTCAATGAGTGGTGCAAGATTTCCTCCATCAACCGACAGGATCGTTTTGCTGAAATGATAAAAGCAGCCTGTGTATTTACTAGACATCACCAAATTGCCAGAGTCCCTCGTCATGGGTGCCATTGGTGACATGAAACGTCGTTCTCGGCCTAGTGAGCTCCAATGTATCCTGCACCTTTTGTACAGTTAACACTCAGTTAACGCTCAGTTAACACTACAGTTAACGCTACAGTTAACACTACCGAAATGCTGCAAAAACCAGCATTTTCCTCACATTTGTATTAAAGACAGTAAAAATACTAATTTGCTTCTTTTAAATGCGTATATCCAGCAAAATGCTTGTTTTTGCAGCATTTCGGTAGTGTTAACTGTAGTGTTAACTGTAGTGTTAACTGAGTGTTAACTGAGCGTTAACTGTGGAAATGTACAATATGCAGCTAACACTATATACTCATCATACATTTTGCTTGCTGCGACAACGTTGTAAGGTACTGTTGATGGAGGAAATCTTGCACCGCTTTATATGGCCAAGCAAAGTAGAGACCCCGCGCCCCCTTTTTAATATTGATTGTTCTTCCTCGGAAGTGCCGTGGGTTCCACTGACAAAAATCTTGCACCACCTCGGTGTCCATCATCGTCAATATTAAAAAGGGGGTGCGGGGTCATGCTCATGTGTCGTGTCACTTGTTATTCAATGAGTGGTGCAAGATTTCCTCCATCAACCGACAGGATCGTTTTGCTGAAATGATAAAAGCAGCCTGTGTATTTACTAGACATCACCAAATTGCCAGAGTCCCTCGTCATGGGTGCCATTGGTGACATGAAACGTCGTTCTCGGCCTAGTGAGCTCCAATGTATCCTGCACCTTTTGTACAGTTAACACTCAGTTAACGCTCAGTTAACACTACAGTTAACGCTACAGTTAACACTACCGAAATGCTGCAAAAACCAGCATTTTCCTCACATTTGTATTAAAGACAGTAAAAATACTAATTTGCTTCTTTTAAATGCGTATATCCAGCAAAATGCTTGTTTTTGCAGCATTTCGGTAGTGTTAACTGTAGTGTTAACTGTAGTGTTAACTGAGTGTTAACTGAGCGTTAACTGTGGAAATGTACAATATGCAGCTAACACTATATACTCATCATACATTTTGCTTGCTGCGACAACGTTGTAAGGTACTGTTGATGGAGGAAATCTTGCACCGCTTTATATGGCCAAGCAAAGTAGAGACCCCGCGCCCCCTTTTTAATATTGATTGTTCTTCCTCGGAAGTGCCGTGGGTTCCACTGACAAAAATCTTGCACCACCTCGGTGTCCATCATCGTCAATATTAAAAAGGGGGTGCGGGGTCATGCTCATGTGTCGTGTCACTTGTTATTCAATGAGTGGTGCAAGATTTCCTCCATCAACCGACAGGATCGTTTTGCTGAAATGATAAAAGCAGCCTGTGTATTTACTAGACATCACCAAATTGCCAGAGTCCCTCGTCATGGGTGCCATTGGTGACATGAAACGTCGTTCTCGGCCTAGTGAGCTCCAATGTATCCTGCACCTTTTGTACAGTTAACACTCAGTTAACGCTCAGTTAACACTACAGTTAACGCTACAGTTAACACTACCGAAATGCTGCAAAAACCAGCATTTTCCTCACATTTGTATTAAAGACAGTAAAAATACTAATTTGCTTCTTTTAAATGCGTATATCCAGCAAAATGCTTGTTTTTGCAGCATTTCGGTAGTGTTAACTGTAGTGTTAACTGTAGTGTTAACTGAGTGTTAACTGAGCGTTAACTGTGGAAATGTACAATATGCAGCTAACACTATATACTCATCATACATTTTGCTTGCTGCGACAACGTTGTAAGGTACTGTTGATGGAGGAAATCTTGCACCGCTTTATATGGCCAAGCAAAGTAGAGACCCCGCGCCCCCTTTTTAATATTGATTGTTCTTCCTCGGAAGTGCCGTGGGTTCCACTGACAAAAATCTTGCACCACCTCGGTGTCCATCATCGTCAATATTAAAACGGGGGTGCGGGGTCATGCTCATGTGTCGTGTCACTTGTTATTCAATGAGTGGTGCAAGATTTCCTCCATCAACCGAATCTCTGGATGGGACTGCACAAGCTTGACTAGAATGTGCTGTAAGGCAACAGATACAATTGCTAACTGCGTGTGGGAACAAGCACTCAACATCGCCTGTCTCTACTTGCCACGAAGAAGACTTTATAGATACTTTGGTAGACTGACCCAAGCAACTTCTTTACACGACAGTGTGTGGGCAGGGCCTCACTATGATGATCTGTGACCCATTTCCGCAACAATGCTCGCCATGGGATGAGCGGAAGCGAGCCCAGGTATTGCAAGCATGCCTCCATGTCAAGCACTGCATCTCGGCATGACTTGCAGCAGCTGAACCCGTGACCAAGCTAACTGTTTAAAGCTGCGCCGCAGTCGAGAAACGCGCGGGGCTAGTTGGAAACCTCAGCTCACGCGATCTCATTGGGGCCATCTTCGCTTCGCAGGTGGACCTGCATGGCAAAAAGGTGGATCACGTGATCCCTCATTCGCCCCTTTCCACACTGGGAAGGTCTGGCCATCACCAGCTCCAGCATACCGCTTGTATCCGACACCTCCAAAACCTGCCACGCTTTTCAATCACCAGCTGAGAAGCAGCTGAAAAAGAACGGTGCTCAACGAATACGTCATAAAGAGGGCCAAGCCCAAGTTGAAGTGCATTTTTGTGCTCTCTCTTAACACAACGGCTCTCAGAAATGCAGAGAGGAAGTTGCTATAAGCTGCACTGTGAGAGAAAAGCTGTGAGTCGGAGCAAAGCCTAGAGGTCCAAAGCGGTGCAAAGTACCAGTTGCGAACTGGCTGCCAGCCTGTATGCTCTCGCCTGGCAGCCGCCTGCAGATATCAATTTTGAAGCTTCGCAGTTCCCCAACTCGCATGGGTTCGCGCAGCCCTCGTCTGAAAACTTCAGAATGGGGGGCCACGAAAGCTAGGGGCGCGCGGGCGTTATCCATGCTCAACGCTGGCTGGTCACACCTGGGTGTAGAAGTCAGGGGAAAACAATGAAGAAGCGAGCATATTGCTTGCGACGGCGCTGGCACAAGCGCCGGCGCAAGTGCTGGCACAAGAGATACAATTCAGGCGAGGGGGGAGCTTGGAGGGTTGACCGTTTATACGTTTAGAGGGACACCCCGCCAGCCCCCTCCCCCATGCATACCTTACTTTTTGTTGGCACCTCGACGCGCAGCGACTGCTAGCTTTCATGGTCAGGCACTCTATGGAGCTCAACATACACGTCGTTTATGCTTCTGCACACATGCGGAGCACTTCAGAGAACAACCGTGTACCTCTACACATAGAGGTCGTGCAACCCCACAACATCGAGCTGCAGCATCTTGAGCCAAGGCCTTCAAATAGTTCGAAGGGTTTTTGACCTGGCCAGAGGCTGGGCTGGGAATCGACAGGCCGCACGAGGCTGACTTGCTTGCAGCTTCGCATGAAGCAGACACTGCCGATGCACGAAGAGCTACAATGCAAGGCAGCCGTGATGAAACGATCGAAGTCATGAACAGCCATCAGGCAGGGGGTTCTTGAAGATATGATTCTTTAATGTGTCCAGAGTTACGACGCTGACTTGCCTGACCAAGAAGAGAGTGTTTGGCTCACATGTAGCCATTAGCGAGACATTTTGCACCGAACCGTAAGAATGCACCCTGCCTCGGATCCTTTGCTCTCTAGGTCCTTCAACATATCCAGAGCCCGATCCAGGGACAAAGCCGCAAGAGCCTGCGATTCGATGCGCAAACACTCCTGTGATTTCACCTAGACTTGAGCTCCCATGCCTCAATAGCTTCCGAGTCGATAGGGCCATGGACAAAGACCTTGCTTGAGATGTCGTCACTGTGGGAATATGCTGTGCTTTGGGGGGGGGGGGGGGGTCCGTATTCCATGGTTCCGGAATGAAGGTTGTTGTGTTCGGCCTTTGCCGCGCCGATCATACGACACAGGTCCTCCCCAAAATGTGGTTGTAAGAGCTAATTCATCCTGATTGCGGAGGTATGCTTGTTCGTCTGAGTCTGGAAAGGACTGGGCGCATGTCAATGAAGGACATGTCTGGTGCTTCAACACATCCAGAGATTCATTGGACCAGGCCCTTCTCTCAATCGCCGTGACGTTGGCGAAGGCACGTGTGATTTGTCTAGAGCTCCGTGGCTCCTCAGCACGTCCAAGGCTGTCCAGGAGAGTGCATGGGACAGCCCCACAAATCGAAAAAGCTCGTGGCGTAGATGTGTCGAGGCAACCTCTGCGGCCTCAACATGAGTCAATTGGTCCTTATGGTCCAGCTTGGGCTTGCGGGCGAGGGAGTGTGGAGGATTGTGATATTGTGGGCTTGAAAGGCCGCCGTATCGATCAAGCCTCGTGAACGGAGCCACGCAGGTGCCCAAAGTAGCACCCGGAAATAAAAAGCGGGATCGGGACATGCATGCTGAGTCGGTACAGAGATGAAAGGGGCGCAGCGTATGCATTTGAACGAAGCAACGCGTGAAAGGCAAGAGCTCGCTGTGGGCTCTGGTGTATGGGGGCTTCTGTTCGGGTGTTCTTTCAACATAGGCCTGGGCTGGAGACTTCTATATGTTCATCTTCAGAAGTTGCAAAATGCATACAGAAGCGTTCCCGATGCTCGGCAGTAATGAAAACCGCAGACTCTGGCAAGCACACACGAAGAGAAATCAAACTCGAACAACACGCTGGCCAACAATGCTCTGCTCATCCCTTTCTGTCTGACGTCACGGCGTTGTGGTTGAGCCATGTTATTCGCCTCAGCCAGCCCAAGCCAGAAGAGGACTTGCAGAGCAAGACTTGACTGGCCCCGTGCCTATGGAGCTTGCCATAGTCTTGGGTCTGACCAGCCTGGCCCAAGAAGATGTGAGAAGCATTTTTGGAGGACCCCCGGTCGTATGAGGTCCTTACCAACTACGGCCACGACATCTACAAGTACCACTGCCGCATGTGTCTGAATTGGGCACTATTGTAACCGTTTCGCTCTAGCCTAGACTCTAGCCTGCATCCTGCCTTTCCAATTCTGAGGAAGCATCTCGGCTACGCTTGCAAGGCTGATGCTCACTAGGACCTCAAAAAGCATCAGATTGCATCAACCCCATGTGTTTGGCACCATGCGGAACAAAGGGTCCAGTACGATGTTTGGCTCATGTATCATGTTCAGCCTTGGCATTGCCGGACGCATAAGGTGCGGGAAGCGCCTCAGATGGGCACATCATCACACACAGTCATGTAGCTAGCCTTAGCTGTAGACATTGTAGAGTCACCGTACAGTAGTTGACGGAGCCAGTTCGAGGCGCCATGTGCGACGGCGGCGGCGCTAAGCCCTCGCGAGAAGCAGCCGCTTTCAGCCAGTTTGCAGGATTCCTTACACACACAGGACACATGCACACAGGCTGCCAACCTGTGCAGTGGCGTCGCCAGAGCTTCCAGGAGTCGAAAATGACAAGGAAAAAAAGGAGCCGGCCAGATCGAGAATTCAGCCAGTGGGCCGTTCGATATAACAAAATTTATATGTATAACACATCGTTTTTTGCTACAAAGCGTCCGCATGTTCTCAGACTTCTCCTGCAACTCCTCCACACCATCCGAACTTGAAAAACACATCATCAAAGCCTCAGAGCTGCGACCTGTCCTGAAGAAGCTCCATCGCCCGCCCGAGGCCCAGCCCATACATAGCACCAATTGCCTGCAGCGGAAAGGGGCCAAGGTGGCCGGTCTCCAGTCAAGTAGCATGAAGTCGCAACACAACGGCACTCAATAACAGGAATGAGCCCAGCGCCTCGTCATCAATTTTTCGATCGGGAAACACATTGGCATTCCTGCAAGTCTTGACATCTCTGGATGAAAAACATGAATCAGTACATTCAATACACACCGGCGGGTTGTGAAATTGGTCTCGAAGTGTCGTTGGAGATTTTTAGCAACTGGTGAGGGCAACTCCAACTGAACAGTGCGGAGCTGCCCTTATCAAATGCAGAAAGGTAAGCCAGGTAAGCCGGGGCACATCCAAACACTTTGTAGAACTTTGAGGAAGGCTCTGCCATTTGTTTCTGCAGCCAAGGGTCAGCCAAGTCACTTTTCTATGGATCTTTGTCTGCTCGTCTGGCGATGCAGGGCCACTCCGGGCCATGAACACCTCCGCAACAACCGGAGATATAGCCTACGCCTACGCGGCACGCACATACATGCACTGTAGCTGAGGTGACTACCCGAGGTGATGCCGGCAGAGTCACAGGCGACGCTGATGCCGGCAGCGCGGGATGAGCCCCTTCCCGTGCAACCGCGCTCTTGAGATAATTGCTCGGATTCTTCACCTGCCCACCCTTTTCTTCAACGTCCTCAGACACAGCACGGAGCCACGTTAGCACAAGGGAGGCACAAGGATCGCATCACTGTCCGAATCCTTGAAAAGCTCCATGGCACGAGCAGTGCCCAAGTTCATCATGGCCTCGATTGCCTTCAGGGCTCGTGCGTTCCGGTGGCATGCGTGCATGGACCTTGGACATGGGCCTGATGATCAATTGGGCGATCAGGAAAGACGTTTGCATTTAACCAGCTTGCCCTCCGCTGAACTTTGGTCGCGTCGGTGACTTGCATGGGCTGCATGACGTGAACTCTGGGAGAGAAAGAACTCACGTTGACGGAGCTCTCCCGAGACGCTGCCGTCTTGAGATATCCGCTCGGACTGCGGACTTGCCCCTGCTTCTCTTCAACATCCTTGAAGAGCTCCATTGCCCTTGCTGCGCCCAGGCCACTCATCGCTGCGATTGCCTGTGGGAGAATCTCTGCTTGGGAGTCTTAACGTGCGGTTGTTGCATTAAGTTGCAGCAGTCATATTCGCATCACCGGCCTCGTCATCGATAGGACGATCCGGAAATACATTCGCGTTGAGCCACGAGGCTCTCCGCCAAATCTTTGCTTCATCAGCACTTGATGACATCGCCATTGCTGCGACAGGTGCCGGTGTTGACCTCATCACTGGCATGGTGATCGCTGGAAGCGCCATCATCGCCGGCCCCGGATGAGCCCCGGCCGTCTCGCGCGAAGCCGCAGAGATCAGGTATCCGCTGGGATTTTTTATCTGATCCTGCTTTTCCTTGACAGCTGCAGCATGAGCAGGCCTACATCATGCCGAGCACAACACTCCCAAGGTACCTCTATGTCTTTGAACAACTCGAGGGCCCGTCTGGTGCCAAGCCCCATCAGGGCGGCGACGGCCTCCCCAAGGCGAAGGCTTCGGAGGTCGACGGCACAAAAGTTTCTGCTACGTCCTTCTCACTCATTATCACTCCAATTACCATTACTGAATATCACGGCATACGAATGCGCCTCTTCACTTATCGGCCGGTCCTGCTTCAAGTCGCATATCAGAAAGGGTAGCATGTTGAAACACGCCGGTCCTGGAACACATTGCTGCTCAGCCAGGTCGCTCTTCGGTGGATCTTTGATTCATCCGTTTGGACACTGACCACAGCCTGCCGCACCAGCCGATACAGAGCAACAAGCACTTCCAGCATGTGTCCGTAGGCTGTGGAGAAACCATATGCTGCCCAGGTTCTGCTGAGCCTTCACGTGCCGCGGCGGCCTGTCAAAAAGCACAGCCTGGAGTATCGCCGAATTTCGTGTGACATACCATGAAAGCGGCACGGGGCCTTGAGGTAGTTGCTCGGAGACTTAATCTGCACAGCTTTCTCTTCCATGTCCTGGAGCACTAAAAAACTTTAACACAAAGCTTCCCACAAAGGTGAAACAGTTCTCAGCAGCGTGTCCTTCAGAATCTCCATGGACCGGGCGGCCCCCAGGCCACACAAGGCACCGATAGCCTCAAAGGACTCAATTCGGCCCGACTTCCAAGAATGAACCCATATGAACCGGTTTACATTGCCACATACATTGCCATGATTATCATTTATGTGAGCGCCTCCTGGTCAATACGCCGATCTGGGAAGACATTACTGTTCAGCCAGGTGACGCGCCTCGGCAAAATGATGAGAGTAGACGCGTGTTCAGATGACACCCGGAATCACTGAACTTCTGCCGCTGGGCCTGTGGATCTTCTGTGTCTCCGCATTCCCATTCTGGGGGCTTCCTGGGTTGAAGGATGCGCTCCTCTGGCCCTGACCAGGTGTTTTCCGGGCCTGCTGTCCACAAGGCCATGGCGAGCAAAGGTGGTCTCCCAGTCTCTTGAAAAAATTGTCGTATTTTCAAAGGTTCGAGCAGAAGATGCCAATCCAATACGAACTTGAAGCAGGAACCGCTTCTGTCTGAGGAGCTTTGGTGACGGCACCTAGACATGGATATATCGGCAGCAAGGTGTTGCAAGTGCACATCGCGCTTTTCCTGGCAAAGAAGTTGTCGAGACTGCATTGCTCCAAAGTTTAGCTTACCCGGCGTCAGGACGTTCCCAACTCTCTCCTGCAGTGGTTTGTAGACATTTCTCAGGTGACTATGGTAGCACGTTTGCTAGTGTTGAGCTTTGATCAATGCCCTATTTGCTGCAAGCACATGAAGAGTGGACGTCGGTTTTTTTCACTTCTTTCGCTTGCAGGTAGAATTGCTACGTAAGCCGGGACCCCAGCAGATTTCACTCGAAACATCCCAAAAGACAGATGTGGATTATACAAAAAACACTAGGAACTCGGATTTAAAGCATCTTGGGGGCTGAGGGTCCCTAACCATTGTCGCCTGCGCGCCCCATGCTCTTTAAAGCAATGGGCTCTGGTCCGCGTGACTGTTGCACAATGTGATTGGCCAGGGTGGGCTCAAGGACTCAACAAGTTGCAACTGGAACCAAAAGACTGAAAGGTCACCTGCGTAGTCACGGATGGAGGTCAGAACAGGGTTGTGCAGAATGCGGCAGCTCACCTTTGAGTGATTCGTCGCCTTAAGTGCTACTTCTAAGCTCTGGCTCTCGATTGAGAGACCACGTGCACAAATTGTTGCTACAACAGTGCCAAAAGCCAAAAGCAAAAAAATGTGGGGGAGGTTCTTGTGAGAATGCCACAAGCCGGCACCCGGTTTGTGGTTCATGTGTACTGGGCAGGGATGGATGAATTCTCAAATGAATGCTTGCCACAAGGTCCGTGTGGATCGTGCCTCCCCTCTTTCATTCCTCAAGTGGTGTTGAGCCATGTCTGACTCAGGCTTTGGGTTGAAGACAGGCCTGAAAGCTACGTGTTGCTAGGGCCGAATAGGCTGTACACTGATGTGATATGTTCCTGGCCACACGTTCAACTTCAGGGTTTTCAGGGTTTTCAGCACCTTCGCCTTTGCGCACGGGCAATGCGAGCAATGACATCTGTCTTCCCCTTTTACAAAGTTGATCAGATCGTGTCGTAGGCTTTGAGCCTCTTCAAAAAGCTTCATGCCTCACAAGCTCAGAACTTGAGCTGTAAGTCCTTTCCAGCGGCGGCACCCTTGCAGGCGGCTTGGATGGCTTCGGAGGTCGGGTTCCTTGCTCCTCCCGGCGCCTGAGTTCACAAGTCCAAAGGGGAGTCCACAGCTTCACTGATACAGGAAAGAGCTGTGAGCTGTGCAAGGAATGAGTTGATCTCCAGAAATAGTTTCGTGCTTGGAGGCAAGCGGCATGATGTAAGCCTCAGCGGCTGTGATACATACACATTCAGGAGCCCGTGCTGCTTGCATACGCTCGACATACCCCGCATCATTTGCTTGTTATGGCAGTCCGGACTTACAGGCACTTGCCCATCATGCTTTGCAGTCTGCTTTGGTTATCTGCTGATCTGAGCCGCTTCCAGCACCTCCTGTTTCTGGAGGATGTCCTGCAGTCAAATTAGTAGACTTAGGAATCTTTGGGTATGCAGGCATGTGTGCGTGCGCGAGTGAGTGAGTGAGTGCGCGCGTGTCTGTGTGCGAGTGCGCGTCTGCATCTGCGTCTGCATGTGCATCCGCGTGTGCGTGTTCCTGTGCGTGCGCGCGCGGGTGTGTGTGTGTGTGTGTGTGTGTGTGTGTGTGTGTGTGTGTGTGTGTGTGTGTGTGCGTGCGTGCGTGCGTGCGTGCGTGCGTGGGTGGGTGTGGTGTGTGTGTGTGTGTGTGTGCGTGCTGCGTGCGTGCGTGCGTGGGCGTGCGTGCGTGCGTGCGTGCGTTGCGTGCGTGCGTGCGTGCGTGCGTGCGTGCGTGCGTGCGTGCGTGCGTGCGTGCGTGCGTGCGTGCGTGCGTGCGTGCGTGCGTGCGTGCGTGCGTGCGTGCGTGCGTGCGTGCGTGGTGCGTGCGTGGTGGGTGGGTGGGTGGGTGGGGGTGTGGTGGGTGGGTGGTGTGTGTGGTGTGTGTGTGTGTGTGTGTGTGTGCGTGTGTGTGGTGTGTGTGTGTGTGTGTGTGTGTGGGTGGGTGGGTGGTTGGTGGGGGTGGGTGGGTGCGTGGGTGCGTGCGGTGCGTGGGTGCGTGGGTGCGTGTGGTGCGTGGGTGCGTGGGTGTGGTGCGTGCGTGCGTGCGTGCGTGCGTGCGTGCGTGCGTGCGTGCGTGCGTGCGTGCGTGCGTGCGGGTGTGGGGTGGGGTGGGTGGGGTGGGGGTGGGGGTGGGGGTGGGGTGGGGGTTGGGGGTGGGGTGGGTGGGGTGTGGGTGTGGGTGTGGGTGTGGGTGCGGTGCGGTGTGCGGGTGCGGGTGTGCGGGTGCGGGTGTGCGGGTGCGGTGGGGTGCGGGTGTGGGTGCTGTGGGTGCGTGCGTGGGTGCGTGCGTGGGTGCGTGCGTGGTGCGTGGGTGCGTGCGTGCGTGCGTGGGTGCGTGCGTGGTGCATGGGTGTGCGGGGTGCGTGCGGGGTGCGTGCGGTGCGTGCGTGGGTGCGTGTGGGTGCGTGGGTGCGTGCGTGCGCACGCGCGCGAGCGCGCGCGTTCGCGCGTTCGCGCGCGCGCGTGTGCGCGTGTGCGTGTGCGCGTGTGCGTGTGTGCGTGCGTGCGCCCCGCCAGCTTTCCGGTCCTGGAGAGTGTACGCTAAGCTTGTCATGTCTGAATCCGGATCCGTGGTTCGCCCCCAGTTGCCTGCCCCACAGAGACACGACAAGAGCATACCTCTCGCTGTCATTCAAGCATCAACAGGGCCTCCTGTCATCTTCAAGATAACTCTCCTAGCAGCAGCACTCTTTGCCCGAACGGTCTAGTGACATCATGTGCCGTAATGCTTGACAACTGGCCATGTCAGAATATCACGGACGTGACAGACACGGGGGCCGAGCTTTAGTGCGAACATCGATTCTTGCAATCAAGGTTCTGTCCAACAAACTGAAGCTGGCATCTGGACACGCAAGTCAGGAACACGAACCTGTTCTGCACAACTGCGATAAACTCGGCCATCTCAGAGAGGTCCACAGGAATGACCTTCTCCTTGGAAAATCGAGTCTGTGCTCGCAACTACACCACACACGTTGCCGTGCCTATATCCAGGCGCAGCAATGCGGACACGTAAGGATCTGTAAGGCATTGACCATCTCCGGCATAGAGTCCATGCTCAGGCGCAGGTTGTTCAGCAAGTCCACCAACACACCCAGCAGCCCGGTCAGGGCGACGACGTTATTTGCCTCGATGCAAACGCGAAGGCAGCGTACTCTTTGGGTTGCACGGGGCTCCAGTTTCAATAGCGAGGTCGCTGCAGCGTCGGTAGCATATTGGGTACAGTAACTAGCAGTAACTGTGGGTACTTGTAAGCACCCACCCGGGGCGCCTTTGCATTGGCAACGCAGTTAGGCAAGAACTCCAGAATGAAGGCTTGTTCCTGCAGCGATGCCGAGCCTTTAGATTCATGCAACGCATGCTTGGCTCTGGCTAATGAGGCTCATGTGTACACTAACTTGTGGACACTCTCGGCCACAAAGCCCCAGCACAAACATGGCCGTGGGCAAAGGTAATCTCCGTTCTCCGTATGCAGCCTGAGTTTGGTGGCACTGTTCTCCGGCCTGGATGCCATCCGCCAGGAAATGATCGGTCAAGGCAGCTCGTTCGCGTGCTTTCAAGGCATCCCAGGCAGCACGGAGCTGCAAGTAGTCTTTCTCTTCCTGGACCCTTGCCAGGCATGACAAGCGGACGAGCACGAGGTCCTGCAATGAGATTCTGCGTTCTAACTTACATTAGACTTCCATGAGCTCTACATGCCCACATGCTCTGATGCGCTGCGACGCTGCGACCGATGGTAAAGACAGGCAATCGGTCCTCTGCAGTGTAGAAGTTCAGCCGCAGCTTTTCTGCTCTTTCTTCTAGGTAGCCCCAGTAGATTGCGCTTGGGGGACACTCCATCAAACGTTGAAGTAATCGAATGCCACTGATAACTGCAGACGCATTCCTCAAGGCCAGCACTAGCAACAGCCGCACCAAAGCAGAAGCAATCGCACTGATAGCCGTGGCTTCTTAGACACTTCAGACTTTAAGCATACACATCAGTTCCTGCACACATGTTCCCCGTGAAGAGTGGGTAGTCTCAGTACAGACAGTTCGATGGCAAGAGTCTTGCCATTCATGAATCTCGAGCCGGTTCCGGCAGCAATGCCACTCATGAAGCCAAGCAGGAACAAGATGTAGAAGCGGAACATGTCTTCGCCTCAGCTTTAAATTTTTTCAGGAGCACATCGGAGCACAGTGATTCCACAGTGAGTCCACTGAGTCCTCGGCTCCTCTCCTCGATACAGCGGCGCAACTCAGCGATGTTGGCTGGCAGGTTCTCACCCTGAAGCATCTGTGCCAAGTTGAACAGCTCGTGGATCTCCAAAGCATTCTCAATGTATCGCCTTAGCCGGTCGCCACATCTTGCAGCGCTGGTAACCCAAGCAGAGAGCATCCGATCAATCGAACCCGAGCTTGATCACGGAGATTGCTCAAGAGCAATCCTGACTTCGCCATCAACCTATAAGCACGTAAAGTGCGCACGAACGTTACAATCTCTTACATTCTGCGCATTCGCTGGACGTATACAACAGATTCTCCCACAGCAGTTGTTGGTATAACTCACTGCACGAGTTTCCCTCTCTCGAAGGCAAAGTCTAGTGCAGCGAGTGTAAGGTGAGTAGCTCGGCAGCTAGTGACGGTTTGGATATGAAATGGACTGATGCGCCGACGGCTCAGCTCGATAGAAAAAACGCTGAGGAATGCGCACGCGCAGATGTGTGCACAGACTCAAGCTCGAAAGCTGAACACACGCCCACTTGGCTTTGGATCTCAGAATCATCACGGCCATAATCGAGGCAGAGGTGGCACACCCGCCGCCGCAGAAGATTGCGGTTGCTGAGGGAACTCTTGTTCCCGGAGGGCAGCAGGCAAAGTCCATCTTCCTTCCATATGCCTGCAACGTATAATTAGCATAACGGAGGCTTAGTACGGTGAAGGTGCAGGGCGCCTGCCAGACGCAACCACGCCCTCTTGCTCTTGCAGCGCTCGTCTCCAACTTCTGTTGGCTAGGATGGGCTCGTTACTAGCTCTGACAGTCCTTTTGTCCCTCTTCCCTTGCCCTGTCTGATGTTGCCCTCTGTAGCTGCTCCCGGTTGTTTGGTGTTCACCCTCATCCGACGCGCACATAGGTAGCGTTCACGATGCACTTCGTGAGGTGTGCGTGGTCCCACTTCGCACTCCCAAAGGCCCCTGAGAGGCTTTTGCATGCAGCAGATGTCCGAGCCCCAAGATGCAGGTGCTCAGTCTGATAGGCCTTTACCATCCTTCACTCACTTTACTCAGTCGGCACTCTGCCGGTGAACAATTTCGGGTGACTGCCACGAAGGGCGCACGGGATCCGCACAAGTCACGTGTTGTGTCGAAAAGGCCCGAAAGAATAGAATCACTGTCCGATTTCAAGTAGTGACGGAAGACCCCTCGAACCTTCTGTGTAGTCATGTCTAAAGTCTATATGCACCAAAAAACCATTTGGGAAACAGCACTTGACTGAGAAAGGTGCTCTGCACGTTCAGATAGCCACAGCACGGATGGCACCACATTCCGCTCACCTGCAGAAAGTGCAACTTGCAGGCGAGTTCATGCACGAGCCAAAACAAGTGAGCCCAAAGACACCGACACACACAAGACACAGACGCAGACGCAGACTCGCAGACCCACAGAGACACAGAGACACAGAAACACAGAGACACAGAGACACGGAGACACAGAGACACAGAGACAGAGAGACACAGAGACACACAGACACACGGACACACAGACACACAGACACACAGACACACCCGAGAGAGAACAAACCGTCACACAAACAACGTCACTCAAAACATCACTCCAAGCCATCACGTCAGCTTAGTTAACCAGTCGTCAATGCACGTATGCCACTTTCGCCGCCGGGTCGCTTTCCATCAGTTGCAACACGGCTCTCTCCGGACGACGCATGGGCCGTGGCATTTGTTGCAACACAGCTTTGGACTTGCCAAGCGCGCGAATGGACAACAAAACCTGGCATGCATTGGCGATTTCTGCGTCAGCACGCACAACAACCGAGTGCACACGATGCATGGCTGAGGCGATGGCCAAGACTGCCTGAATTTGCTCCAAATCTGGCGCCTCGGCTCTTTAGCGCTGCAGGCTGCATGAGGCAAATGCCAAGCTTTCTTCCTTGACTGTGCTTTAATTATTGTGCTTCACTGTGCACAAAAACACTCTTTGCGGTCCAGCATCGATCCAGGCTATCAGGCCCTGTAGGTCGCTCCATTGTTCATCAGCCAGTCTTACTGGAGGAGCCTGTGGTTGCGTGAAGATGTCATAGCGATCCTTGAAGAGCGCCAAGATGCTGAGGCATGAGGACTCTGCTCGCTCTCGCTCGGCTGCCTGCTCGAAGACAACATGTGGGCTGTGCTCAGCGTGCAGCTCGGGAATGATAACCTGCAAGTCATCCACCAGCTTGTATGTCTCCATCGTCGCGCCATCTAAATGCTTCAGGTAGGAGTCGAGTCCTGGATTCAGAGTCTCGGCAGATTCTGCACTGAAGGTTCTGAGCAAGCTGGTGACCGAAGCGACGGGCTCGAAATGGTCGTTGTCGCCAAACTCGACAGCTTGCACAGATCCCTGAGACTCCTGAGATGAGCCTTTGGAGCCCCTGGAGTTCCGAGAGCTCTTGGATAATCGAGGCCTGCTCACACGTATGGAGCCCTTGGAAAGGACGGCTTCCTCTGATGCACTCGTGCTTGAGGTGCGCTTTACTTTCAAGGGTATTGTGATGTTCTTGAAGCGAGTCTTTGGGTCCGGGTACAATTCCTGGTAGTGCTGGTTCCGCTTGCAGCACTCCTCCGCCCAGTGAACTTGCTCCTTGTCTCCACATTTGGTCTTGCTTCCCTGCATTGCAGTGACAAAGTCCTGAACAACATCGGAATGTTTCTGCCATGCGACTGCCTACTTGTGTGGGAAGTCTATCAGAGGGCATAGTTGCACACTGCCTACCTGGTCGCGTTCACACCTCTACCCAAACATGCCAAGCCATCCATCGCATGTGGTAGACCCCGTCTAATGGTTGCACATTACATGTCCCAATAGCTGCATGGGCTCTTGTCACTTGTCACTTAGAAACAATTGGAACCTCCCTTTCGCAGTCCTTTGCAAAGTCACAGAACATGGCCATGCCTGGGCAGCTTCTTTCAGCAGCATGCCGTGCATCGCCATCCAACATGCAGCAACGGCAGTGGTGGCGGCAGCAGCAGCAGCAGCAGCCCTACACGCATTAGTCCGCCGAGGCCTCAGGCCCCGGGCATCTGGAGGCTGCAATGCTAAAAACGAGTCCCACCCAAACCCCTCCCAGAAAATCAACAGTAGCATCGCACAGGACCCAGGGGTACACCCAGCAGAAACCCAGTTCTTATTGTCGCGAGACCTGCCTCCGGAGCAACCTCGGACTTAGACACCCTACACCTCCGCTACCTCCGAAAGCAGCCCGAGAACTTTGGCAACCGACAAGCCCTGTTTATTCAACCGAGCCGAGGCGGTGCGCGCTAGCGCCAACAGACCCACCCGAGCAGAGGGGAAGACAATCCTCTTCGTCATAACACACAAAGTTACAAAGCCTGACACATCCCTGGGGTCCCTGGAGTGTGCCACTGGAACATGATCTGGCAATGACTTCACGTGTCTGAACGGTGGCATGTGACAACCACGAGACTGCTTCACACAGTCTGCCAGGGCTTGTCCAGTCAAAGTAAACGTCTCCGCAAAACTTTGAGCTGCCAGCGTGGACCTGAGCATCAATCTGTGAAACCGGGCCACACGGTGAAAGACATCCAGAACCATCCAGAACCAACATAGGGAAGACTGTGAAAATCTGAGGCGGCAACTGGTGCAGGCTGCCTTCGGTGTAGAGAGACAACTCTCCATACCATCGGATTTCATTGAAATCTTCAGCCTCACCTTCCGCATCGTAGCCTGCAGTCGGCAAAGTGGCAGTCTGGGAAGAACTCTCCCACAGTGCCACAGTGCGAGCCAATGCTTAAGCTCAGATGTCAAATTTAGCACATTTACTTGTGACATGCATCGGAACTCTGCATTGCCTGACTGCTGCTCGAATCACACCCTGAATGCTATGCAAGTGCAAAAGATTGCAAAGGTCAGGCCTTCGATGTAGCTGTAGCTGCCGGTGGCAGTGATGTGTAGGCAGGACGTCCATGAACCGGCCACGAAGACATGCTCCCCCTTTTCGTAGACGTGTTTCTCTAAAGCAGCACAAACACTGCCAAAAACATCGGAGTAGCACTCCTGCAGCAGTTTGAATATGGGGAGCTCCAGGATGAAGCTGCTCCTCTGACCTACGTATAGCTCCAGTTGCAAAGTGGGTGAGATCAAGGACGTGTCAAGACTTGTGGCCGAAAACTTCTCGAGCCGGTAGTCCACAAAGCGCATGATCCGGGACACCAGCTCAAAGGAGACGTGCTGGTGGCTGAGGTATTGCCGCACTTCTCTCCTTCGGCGATCTCTTGCTTCGTTCATCGCTCGTAGCTCTGCAATTGTCCCCGAGATCTTTGAAATTGCAGAGCCCATCACGAGCAAGTAAAAGATAGACACGAGGATGTCGAAGATCCTTTCAATCTCGCTGGCCGGATCTATATCTGGTGGCGATGGCGTGTTCACAATCCATCGCATGGCATGGAGATATTGGATGTAGGGCTGGATGGCATCGACTTCGGCACCTGACCGCATTGTCCAGCTCGAAATGTCGGTTCTGCTAAGTTCTGTTGCCCGGCCAACCCCATACCACATGCATGTCAGCAAGTGAGCAATAAAGATCATGCCCAAGGCTGTGTTTGTAATGGCAATGACGACTGTCACCCACTGCCGGCCACTGTTGGCAGCACTCTCCTCAATAATGGCATTGAGTTTTGTGAGCTTCAGCATTCTCAACAGCCTCAACAATCGCAGAATTCTCGTCACGCGGACTAATCGAAACTCTTGCGAAACGTTCGCCTCTGATGCGAGGTACACAAGGTCGAACCCAAGCAGCAGCAGATCAAACATCATCCAGCCTCGCAAGTAGCTCATGAATATGGCGACATGTCGGGTCACCAAAGTTCCCTTGCGATACGTAGCCGTGTTCAAGTTAACCATGAAGTCCGCAGCCCAGAAAGTCAAGCTGATGTAGAAGTTCACGTACAAAAGGGAGCTGAAAAAATTGGACCAATTCATATCCTCTTCCCATGCCAGAGCAAGCGGCAGCATAATGGTGTCAGCAAAAATCAATGCCATCGCTGTCAGATCCCAACCAATCTTGATTGCACTGTGTGGGTGCAAAGGTTGAAAGGCCTGCGGCGCTGGTAGAGATGCTTCCGACTCCATTCCGCCGATCTGGCTCAAGCGATGTGTAACCTTCTTCTTGGTGTCTTTGGTTGGACCCTCGGCACTTTGTGTGGCCAGATCCATCCAGCGACCATGCAGTCGCAGCTGAGCACCACCAACGTCTGTCGCTTTTGCTGATGCAGCGGAAGCCACCTTCGACATCGAGCCTGGCGTTTTCTTTGCCTTGAATTCTCGATGAGTCAAAAGCGCGGCGGGCTCTTGCAGAGTCCTGGACTTTGGGCTCACAGGAGTTGTCGAAGTGAAGGACAGCCGGCGCTGCTTCGCAGTTGGTGAAGACAACATGCTTGTCAGCCAGCCGCCGCTAGTATCAGCCACACCGACGTTCTCCTCCACAGTGCCACGCAACAACTGGATGCACTCGCTCGCGGCGCTGATGGATTCGATTGATCGCTTCAACTCTTCCTCAACATCCGAAAATGTCTCCAACATTTTGGACTTGCTCTCCATTTCCATAACCACGGCGACCACCGCAACATAGGCCCTGCACTCTGATGACTTGAGCCAAGCCTACGGCCACCAGCGGCATGAAAAGTGGAGAAAGGCAACAGCATGCAAACATGACGCTGCCCCGTTCTGCATTACATCGCCTCCTCATGACACCCACTGGTGTGGTTCCACCTTTTTTATCCTTTTTTGATGCACCGTTCGCTTTCTACCAGTAGAAGAAAGCCAAGTTATTGAATTGCGCAGGCCATGGCCCAATTTGTGCAAACCAATTAACAACATGAGTTCAGAATTTTCCTCGGCCTCGAAGCTTTACAAGCTCGAGGTTGGGACAAAGAATGGCACGCCATCGGCTGCAATCTATGAATCTATGCCTACGCCCCACCAAAAGGGGCAGCTTGTGAAACCTCCCAGGCACCAATTCGATTGCGAACAGATGGAGACTCTGGCCGCTCGGTCGTCTTCTCGGATTTTTCTGGTTTCTTTTCTTTCGGCCTTTCTGCTTTGTTGTTCTCTCTCTCAGCTCTGGGCCGCGGAGGCAGGGCAGAAGGCCTCCTCGGCTTCCTCTCTCTGTCCCTGCTGCCACTACGCCCTGCGGAGCCAACATTCTCGAAGAGGTGCCGTGCCACACCAACAGACAAAGCTCGACCGCCCTCCTCAGACTTCGGAACAAGCACTGGGTGAACACAATTCATTGGCATGACCACATTGCCAGAGTCTGCTACAGATTAAAAGATGTTTCTTGGGATTGCAGACATCTCCTGGTCACAAGCCTCAAAGCTTTTATGTTCAGAGGCCAAGATTGCAAGACTACTTGAAATTCAAGGACCAGTCGGATGACCCTAGCCAGCGGTGCTGACTTGTGTTTTAGTTTGTGGATTTTCATTTTCTCGCCTAGATGTGGCGTCTGTGCGCGGGCGGTGCCAAGGCTTTCCTTCTAAAGTGCGAGGTGCAGGCATCGTCCGTGACGAAAGTCACGCCGCTTCTCACCCTGAGATCGGCTCCCGCCAAGCGTGTGAACTTTTTCCAGGCAGGGACGTGCTTTCCTTCTCGGAGTCTTTTGGGCTCTTGGACGGGCGCGGTCCAGGAGCTCGACAAGAAGTTTTGTTCATCAAGAAGATAGAGTCTGAAGCTAGAAGACATCTTCCTCCTACCCCCCGAAACCCAAAATTAGCCGGGCCCACTTTCCCCCCCACCCACGCCCTCTCCTCCCCTCATGTCGGGAATTCAACGAAAACTTTTGTCATCCTAGACTGGAACCCTCCAGAAGAAATTTCGGAGCGGATCAGGAAGGATACAGCTTATGGACAGCTGGATCGAATAAGGAAGCATTGAATTCAATTGCCCAGGCACACAGCCTGCCGCCATGCGCGTGATCTCGCCAAGCACCTTCTTGTCCAATGAGCCATGGAACAACTTCCACGATTCTGCTTGCATAGACTCCTCGAGCTCCACTTCTGCAATTGCTCGCTGCAAGTCGCTCTGGCGCTTCAAGCTCTGAAAGCGCGGAGCTTCCAGAGTCTTTCTGGCAACCTCCCACAACTTCGATGTCTCTGCCTTGGCCCTGCTTGCAGCTGCTTCGGCTGCAGCATGCTCCTTCAACGATGCCAACATCTCAGCCTCATCCCCGCCCTCCGCAAGATTGGCAGGACTCTCTGCCCGTAAGCCGTCCATGGAAGACGGCAGTGGATTTGCTCTGGGCATTGGTGGTACGTGCCGTGTGCGATCTTGCGAAAGCGATCTCCAGCGACCCGTCGACACATCTCGTTGGTATGCTCCTTCAGGGCCACCGTGGAGTTCAGGGGTCCGGCCGCCCCGCTTGTACCGGCACTCTGCAACACTCTCTGAGCAAGGTGCACTTGGTGCACTTGGTGCACTTGGGGCACTTAGTGCATGTGTTGCTCCGGGCTGGGATGCCTGGGACGTGCCAGCAAGCACGTCAAGCAGGTCACCGACCATCGCCGCAAAGTCAGGTGTGGCAGGGTCAGACAGGGAAGATTGTGACGATCTGCAGGGAAACGCTTCGAGGAGGGCTTGACACACGGACGCTGGCAAATGTACTTGGATGCTGCCTGCCACTTTGTCCTCGGCCATTGCGACGCTATGCCTGCCCCTGCAAGTACCTGGCAACTACCTGGCAACTACCTGGCGGCTACCTGAAGCTCGGCGTGCTTTTGCTTCCAAACAGGCCCAGCCAGAGGCAAAGGATAGACTCGGATAGACTTTGGATGACCTCCATGACATGCGATATGGGCCCGAAAGCCGCCTGCGCACCGCACCGAAATGATAAAGTCACCTCGGCTGCTTCAAAGAAGCCCCGATCTCTGAAGGCAAGGGCAACCCTGGCGACCGAGTCGAGCTTGGACTGAGATGGGCTCTCTGCAGCAAGCGCATCGAAGAGGGGCTGAATATCCTCCATAAACTGCTCCTGCACCTGCCAGGGGCATAGACTCCAGAGACGGAGAGGGACACAACACATAATCCAACACAAGCGTGACCAAAAAGACGCAAACCTTTTCGTCAAAGACGTCTCCAAGGACCACCCCAACATCGAGTGCCACTCCCCGGATTCGCTGCAGCGCACCTGAGCAGTGGAGCAAAGCCTTTGAAACATAGCGGCATAGCCTGAGCGCCCAGCTTGCCAGGTCCAGGCCCGGTTGCCCTGCCTGAGCAGTCGCCTCGACACGTGTAGAATAATTTATGATCAGTCAGAAGCAGCTCTAGCACCTATATATCCTATGCGGCATGTTCCTCTCAGCATTGATGAATCCCACAGTCTCAGTGGGCCCTGGACCCTACAGTGGCCCATAGCTCGGCCTCGGAGACCAGACCCACAATTGCATTGGCCGTCGACTTGGGCCGCTTAGCCGCTTCTTCCTGTCAGTTTCGGGCGCTTGGGCTTTGGTGATCAAGGGAACTGCCTATGATGCTACGATTGGGATCAACACCTCACCTCCCCACTCTTCTCCGAGAAATATGCTGCAAGCAGCTCCCGGCGAGCGTCTGAGTCCTCAAGCCCCAAGCTCAAAACACACGCCGAAACTTAAGATCTACATCCGAATCGACTGCCCGTCCTCCGTGCTGAGACAGCGGCTAAGCACGCGATTTTCCATAGGCACCTCCATATAACTCGGCGAGCCACGACACTGGAGGGAGCGGCTCTACACGAATGCACTGGAAAGTGCCTTCGCCTCGATTTCCCGGTTCATGACATTGTACAAATATGTAAGGGCCTTTTCCTGCACAAGCCATGCACATCGATACTATCAGGAACAATCGGAGAGACAACTGGGCGCAAGCGAGAACAGCAAGAGTCCAGTTGCTCGTTGCCAGCTTTCTGGGCACGCCCTATGTTCATCTGCAAGACCTTGTCAACACCAGGAATGGCAACGGGGTTGTTGCATTGCTCACTTTGTCTCGCTCTGCCCCGAATCACGAAACGGGGAACAGCTCCAAGCACGCTGCGGCCATGATCGGAAGGACGCTGTCCTCGCAGTCGGATGTGGCTCTGTGCATCACTGACGAATGCCGGAGCGCATGGCAGCGACTGCATCCTGGCGCATCAAGCACTCCCGAATATTGTCATCGATGTTTCCAGAGCTCTGCATCAAGGCCTGGACAGGCATGACGAAAAGGGAGATGGAAATTCCCTTTACGGACCGTGCCAGGCCTCGATCTCTGCCGTGGCCTTCTCCATCCGCGCCCTTTTGTGGACATTTGCTTTCTTGAGGCTTAAACTTTTAAGCGTGACTTGAACTGTTGCAAGCTGCAAATCGAGGCCCAGAGGCGCTGACTCCATGGCTTTTTGGATGCTTCCAAGCAGTCGCTCCATGGGCTTCCTCTGCACACGGATCTGCACTGGATCGGCACTGTGGCGCTCGATGCGAGCACTGCGAGCACTGCGAGAGCTCTTCTCTTTCAAATTCTTTCCGCTGCCTTGAAGACGACTCGGCTTGGGCGACCTGCATTTGAAGGGACGCCAAGTCCTGGACTGACAAGTGCTTGATGTGTGCCTGCAACATAGATGTTCGCTTGTTGCATCTTTGGTCGCTTGCTATAACGTAACGTGTCCGCACTGGTGCCTTCAAGACTTGACGTGCTTGTCTGTTTTCGCATACACTTTCCTTAAAAAGGAACCCCCCCTGAAACCCTTAAAACTCAACCTTTTTGAGCCTGGAAGTTGCTCCATGTCACGCAAACCCTCTCTCCCTCTCTCTCGCAAACCCGAAAACCCTAAAACCGGGATTTCTCAAGTGGGTCTTTCCTGTATTCGACTTGGTTCAGGGCTTTTCCGACTCAGGGCGTTCTTGTTTGGACTAGAACTCTTCCTGACTGGAGTGTCTCTCCGCAGTGGCGCGCCCGCATACGTAGCACTTGGGCGTCCAAAGAGTGGTGGCAAATGGTGGCCCACTGCAGGAAGTCACACAGCCAATCCATGTGGGGCGTGCCCCCCCCCAACCCCCCCGATCTCCCATGCCAAACAGCCAGAGTGGTTTGGTAGATCGAGGGGTTTGAATACGAACTCAATAGCCAGAAATTAGTGGAACAGGAGCTTCATTGCTTGGGCTTAAGAAGTACTCAAGTCTTTCCAAGTAGAATCACAGAACGATGTGTCGATTGCACGTTGCATTGTCACCTACAAGACTTGGCAATAGTGCTGCTTAAATTGTACCGATCTCATCATGTATACTATTCGTTTATAGTAGTCATCTTGCACCCGCTATTGTCATGAAAATATACTTTGGTTTTGGTGTTCATTTAATGATTTAGTGTTACACCAACACACTAACCCGTCCCGCAGTGATTGGAAACTCGTTTTCAGCCCACTCCTGCGGCGAGAGCTGCGCGAAAGAAGCATCAACCTGCGAGACAGCACGTAAGAGATGCGACGCTGCGAAGCATCAAAGAAGAAAAACAGACAGCTTCAGACAGATCTTCAGCATGTAAACTCGAGGCCCTGGGCTCTCCACAGGCTGTTTTGTCTCCCTCTGGCAACGCCATCCCATATCTGCGTCTGGCGAGTGAGCTCTCTGCAGGCGACCGTGAAGTACGAGGAAGGTGGTAAAACGCATGACCTCTGTCTGCTTGTAAAGGTCAGGCACGGACGACACCACAACATTCCGCAACTGCGAAAGGTGTCGTGAGCGAAACTGATGTAACGTAGCCAAGAGTCAGCACCAAGGAGCCCCCAAAGCCATGAAAGGAGGCTAAGGAGGAGGGCGATTCTGAGCTCGACCTATCCAAGCAACCATGCACCCGCAACATGCAATACATATATATATATATATATCAATTGGGTGTTGTGTCTTTTCTCAATCTTGGCAGCTCTCTCAAGAGCCCTTTCTCACATCGGAACCTGCTGCTGTCCGCCGACGTGGGCCCACGGCCTAACCAAATGCGGCAGAACAGGGACCTTCCAACAGCCTTGGGATCTTCTACCAGCTGCACTCACTCCAGAGTCGGAGCTGGCACATAAACGGCACATGAAAAGCGGTGAGCGGCTAGCAAATCTTAAAGAAAGCAAACGGAAAACATAGCGTACCTGAGCGCGAAATTTTTGGCTTGCCCTGATGCTGCCCCTATGCAGGATCTCGTGGAGCTGCATGCCGGAACAAGAAAGTTGGCGCGGAAGGGCGCCAGAAAACACATGCCCCGTACCCAGGTTGCACACGGCTTAACCCTGGCCATCTTCCCAAGCAGCACGCATGGCTGGGCATCAGTTCTAGATTCTACAATTACGACTGTGGTCCATGGGTCCTCGCAGAGGCATCTATAGACTCGTGACTCGTGATTAGATGGGGCCGTGAGGCAGCAATGAAAGCGCAAAGCCAAGGCTAGATGCACAACAGAAGTGGAAGTCGATGTGAAAGCTAAGTCAAAGCAAAAAACAGCAAAGGAACCACAAGCAAGGGGGACTAGAAAACTAATGAAACATGACTGATTGCGTCGCAAGAATGGGGAGCAAAAAAAGCAAATGTCTTCAGGCAGTGATTCTGGGAAGCGTACTCATGCAGGCATGCAGGCATGGAGACGACAGTAGACATGTCAGCGCTTCAAGAGGGGAATTTCTTCAAGGATCGTATTGGGATGCGACAAGGATGTGAATGAAGTGGTACAGCATTGAAAATACGCCTAGCATGAAGCCGAAATCTGTGAAATCTCCTCACAACAAACACAAAATCGAAGGCCCATGGAAGATGTGGCGAATAATTCTGTGGGCGGCACTGAGATGAACCGGAGATGGGCCTAAGGCCCTAAGGGACATTCCTTGTGTAATTAAGTTGCTTCATGTCACCCCGAGAAGCAGCGGCTGTGGCGCTCCTCTTTGGGCTTCCAGCCGATCCACATCTGTCAGCAGCAGCCGGCCACTTTGAGCAGACGCCTGGAGCGCCGCTTCGCTTGCCGGCCAAGCATGCCAGGAGACATCCTGAGGAAAGACCTCAGCCGAAGTTTTGCTCACGTCGTGTTTGTCGTGACATAAACCATGCCAAATGCCAAGGCAACAATCTGCTTGCTGGCTTCTTTTTCTTGCGATCGCCGTCAAGTCTGTCGTGTCCGCGATGGGATGCTTGACAGTGCAAGCTCTGCCGGGCCTTGTTCATGCTGCTGACTACTGCGCCTCCATATTCTGAGACGAACCCCAAGCAGAACCAGAACCCACAGGGCCAGCGAAATGGCCGACCTAGGCTCGCAAAGTCTTCTGTGGAGCACAGCGCCTCTAGAGCCTGCCAGACTAACAATGCCTACTCAGGGCCTACTCCTTAATGGCCTTAATGGCAAAGCGGCGCCATGTGCCAGACATCGTGGGTGTCAAAGGTACCCAAGAAGATGCAGTCTTGATTCAAGGTTCGGCTCTCAGCTGCCGAGGCCAGTACATCCGTCATGGTTGTGTTAAAGAAGTGGAGCGCCACAAAGCTTGTCAACAAAAACAAGAACAGCAGCCCAAATTTGCTCAACCACCGCACCGCATCGTCAATGGAAAGGCTGTCTCGCCGACTTCTGTCACGCTTGACCATCTGTCTCGCAATGGCCAGAATCATGACTAAAAGGGAAAGGAATAAAAGAACATTAGACATGCCTCCAAACTGGATCCGGACATTGGGAAGAAACAGAATCACAGCGACCAGAACCCACGTCAGCACGCGAGTAGCTGCCAGGGCTTTGCTGTGTCCACTGCAGCTGTAGCCAGACTCTGCGAAATTGGGGAATACACGTTGCACCTTCCGGGGCTCTAGACGAAGCATGGGCTAAGTGACTAAGTTCGTGAGATAGTAAACGTGGAAAGAGAGCATAACTCAAGTAACTCCGAGACAAAAGGCACGAGGAGGCGCTGTGAGGCCCTGCTTATCATACAAAGGAAGGCGGGGTATCTAGGCAGGGCCCAAGGTTCCTTCAAGAGAATGAAGACGAACCAAAGCAGAACGGCTGCGCAGTAGACGTTGTAGGAGAGTGCGCCTTGAGCTGACACCGGCACCACGAAATCGAACCAAGTACCCACAAAGCTGATGGTCCACATTGGCACTGTGATCAGCAGCATCAGCACTACGGGTGTGAAGAGGCTCTTGGAGGCATTTGAGGAATACCTTCCAGAATCCATCCGGTCTACCCTACTACTACCGATGCTACCGCTGCCTTGGTCGCTTTCGGTACTTTCGTCGCCATCCAGCAGGCAGACCGTGGACAGAAGTGCGATGACAAACATCATTGCAGAGTCGAACTGAAATTGATATGAGGTAGGGCAGAGGTGGTAGCAGGAACTGCCGAAGCCTTCCAGCAACAGGCACCACGACAACGCGTAAAACAATCGGAGGTCAGGTGGTCTGGGTTCGCCCTCGATTTCAGATTGAAGTGTCAAGTTGTAGTCTGTGTGCGTGACGATGATAATGGAGAGGATCCCACTGATCAAGTAAGGAATGTGAGATAGCATGTTGTTGAAAGGCAGGTCGAGGCCGAACGGCACATAACATTCAAAGTTGTATCGACAGATGTCCAGCGAGCCGGCTCGCTGCTGTCCAGCCCATAAGCCCATGGCCATCTGAATGGCAGCAAGAAAGAAGCAACCGGATGCTAGGCAAATAACTGCAGCATGCGACCCGTGCCTGACACCCTGGTCAGCCATCTGCCAAAGGAAGAGGCGAAAGTCAGCATCCAGCAAGCACCACTCTCTGAGAAACCGAATAGCAGTCACGGGGCGTCGTGCACAAGGGGATCCTCGCCGGGCATGCCAAGTTCGCTTCAGAAACAGGTCAACCGCCTGAAAGGCCAAGATAACGACCAAAGGTATGCCGCACATGGCCAAAGCACAAAGGGCCAGCGACGGCCGGGGCCGTGCCCCACTCATCGACAGCTCATAATTGACAAAGCCGTCTACGGAGTGGTGCGGCATCAATAGCACGAACCAAAGGCCCTGTGACAGCGGCAAAGCAGACCAGCGGCTCAGGACAACCCGGCCCTCGCTCGTGACGGTCAGTCGCATTGATCTGGGCATGCTATCCGATACGATATCAGATATCTTTTGGGAGGACAGGCAATTGGCAAGCTGCTGCACGCTTACACACTTGGATATGGACTGGTTGCGAATTTCCAAATCAATACATCCGTTGCCGGCAGCTGGAAACACAAAAACCTCAATGCTTTCGTTTGGGGAATCCTTCGTTCGGATCTCAAGGGACTGCTCCCCGCTCGCTGCCATCTCTTCCGTGATGTCGAAGACCACAACACCCGGTCTGTTCGCATTCAGCCTGGACTTTTGCACAACCGCTGCACTGATAGGGTTAATCCGCCTGGCCACAAGTGTTGCCGACAGCCGGTAGGTTTTAGGCTGTACAGAAGTTTGCGGGATGACTATGATCTCACCCACTGGGTCGTGAAAGTTGCAGACAAGCTTGCCCCGCAACGTGTTACGCTGCATACCGAAACTCAAGAAAGACTCCGCGACAAGGACGTTGGCGTGAATTGGCAGGTCCTTCGGGCTCTTCGGGTTCGCGTTGTTCCACTTGTCGGCGCCCTCAATCAGCTTGGTGTACACAGACAGGTCAGCGATGAAAATCGCCGGGAAGAAATCCACCTCACTCGAGGACGTTCAACACATCTCACAAAACATCTATCTTCAAAAGCAATACATACAAATAAAGCCAACCCCAAGCAACGGAAATAATTCACAAAGATGGTGCCAACTAACCCGCACTTTTGATGGGTTCAGTGTACATCGTTGATCAAGCAACATTGCCTGAATCACATATGTGCATAGCACAACATGACAAAGCGGTGCTGATGCTGGGTGATGTCTGTAGTCAGGATATCAAGCAACCTCATAGCACACAAAACCTCGCAACTACCAACATGTGGTTCCCATCTTAGTTTCTGTCGACAATCCTGTCAAAACATCTGCCTTGTAAAAAAACCTCCCAAATTGAATGTCAGAAAGTCATTTGTGCCTGAACGGTTGTCAGCCGCTCTTCCCCGTCCCCCCCTCCCCATCCCAAGTAGCCTCCGCCAAAAAACTTGAAAGGCATGGCTCCTCAACGTTGTCCGAACCCTCAGAATCAAACCCATGCTATTGTCTCTTCATCACGGGGCAGATGCCCGGGTCAAAGCTCCAGAACGGAACAGATGTTTCGGCCTGACCCTCGACGCGGCACAACCGATGAGCTGTGTACGAGGGGAAGGGGTTGGCAGAATTTACCGGGGGGCTGGTAGCGAAACCCGAAGCCGTGGAAAGCTCATCATGTAAACCGAAGTTGGCATGGCTGAAAACTGACTCGTGGAGAGAAACAATTCAGACAGCGCACATGCACGCTGAAGTTCAGCACAGTGGGCTCAAGTCCACGAGGAAAATACTGTTCAGACTGACAGAATATCATGTCGCGAAGTTCGCTGCACCTCTCTGCTGCACCGGTCGTAAGTCGGAGTGCAAGTAAACACGACAGCCACCAGCACACGCTAGCTCCCATGGCTGATGGGCACGCGAGGCTCGCAGGTGCAGGGCAGCCATGTTTCATGTGCAAGCCTAGGGCCTAGGGCTGCTTGGATGAGAACATACGGCAACATCAAGCAGTCAGAAAGCATCAATCCAGGTCTACTGCCAAGTTTGGCAGCAACTGACAACGACAAGCTGCGCCGGCGTGACACTCCCAGGAAAAGAACTATACCCATGTCAGTGCTGCCCTGAACATACCAGAATGCTGCCAAACCCGCCACTGTCAAGTCCAATTGAGCCCTGAAATGTCTTCCCGCCGTCTTGTTCATTTCCAACCCCATACATGAACAGCTCCGGTGCTGGCACGAAAACAGAGCCTATTCACTTTGAGCACGGGTAAAATATGGTAATATGCCGATGGATGTGTAGAACATGATGTGGCTGACACATGCACGTAGAATGCTATGAAATGCTGCTGTACTGTTGATGCCATTTAAAATCCTTTAGTCCTCTGCCCATGCCATGCGTGTGCATCCTCCGCTTTCCGCTTTTTGAGTCTGCCGAAACAGTCTGCTCAGCCTGGCCTGGCAACTGACCTAATTGACCAGACCTGGCATATCCTGGCATCTTTCGCGGCATTTTCTCTTGTGGGTGCCAGGGCGTCCCCTTGTCGTTCTGTCGTGTCGGCGTGCTGCTGCAGCGGGCAGGAACCACGTTCAGCTTCGGAGCTTCGGGCACGAGGGGCACGTGGAGCTTTGTCATGCCAGACTTTCCAATACATGGAAGAGGTGGAAAATCCCATCCATGTCTTGGAGTCCTACATCCGCTTTGCAAGTCTCACAGCGAACGGCGAAGTACTTCGCCGGATCGTCCTGACATGTTGATCGTTGCACAGTGAGACAACCGACGCTACACAAGTGTCCCCTTGTGTTGGGAGAACAGCTTTGACACAACCTCACGGCCTTGGCCATGGAGAGTGCGGCGGATTTGTCCACGATACAGTTTCGAACCTCTGAAGCCCGCCATTGGCGAGTGAACTGCTCATGGCGTTGGCACTGGTAGCCTTGCAGGCAGCATGCAGAGCTCAAAGCTAGGCGGCATGCCGATATGCTGATGCTCAGGCTCAGGCATACGGGCGTAAAGCAGCCGGGGCAGTTCAGGACGGCATCTGTGCTCTTCACGTTGCGTGTGTCCGGCTGTAGAAGCTGGTCCTTTGTCATCTACGATTCCACTCAGACACTACGAGTAGCAAAGAATCTTGAGCTGAGAATCTGCGACCCACTTCTCATCTTGATCATCTGCGTCGGGATCGTGTAGTGGATCTGTGTCTAGATTGTCAACCTTTCCGGCTCCTGGCGCCATGTGAATGGGCTTGGCAAGACCTGGTGACAGCTACAGCTACAGCTTGAGGATCCTTCTCCTTCAGCGTCAGCATTCCAACGAACAATGTGTGGTCGAAGAACGATGCCCGGAGCCACCTTCGGGTCCCAGTCGTCATCTTCATCATCGACCTGATCAGGACATTCTCTCACGTCCATCGACAAAAGTTGCGTGCAAATCACATCTCAGCATGCTTAGGCCTCCATGGCGTTCGCCATGAAGCCTAACTACCCTGGGAGGACCATTGCTGCAACCAGCTGTCACTTGCCGGAGCCACAAATGTTGCGCCCATCATCGCCAGTCCAAGAAGGAAACTGCAAACCACTTCCAGGCCGAACATTAACGATCACTGTTTCTACCACTCACCACAATCATCCGGCAATGGCATGCGCACCAACCGAGATCCGAGCAATGGCAGGACGGTAGACACCAGCAAGGCTCAACTGAAGCGGAAGCCTGCATCGGAGCAAGCTTGCCGAGATCGCCCATACACGAAACATCAAGGCTCTTGAGTTCTGGGGCAGCCCTATAAACTGCACGACTCTTTGCGCCTGCTCGAGAACGCATCAAGGGGGACTTGAAGAAGTTGCAGTGAAGCCTTCTCATACACCTCTTGCAGGGAGTACCTAAGCCAGGGTAGCATGCAACTTCGCACAACAATTGAAGCACCGCCCGCTGCGTGCTCTGACTTTTCACGTCACTGTGTATCATCTTATAGCATTGTCGCCCAGGCTGGCAAGCACACTTGCAAGCGAGGCACGGATACGAAACAGAGCTGCCCGGGAGCGGCAGCACGACCTGACTTAGGCTTGCTGAGAAGTAACTTATTGGAATTTGACGTGAGGTCATGCAGAATCATGGCAAAAGCCCGCATCATGTACCTGAAAGAATTCAAAATCCAAACGCTGCAAGGCGCAGGCCCTGTCTGGCTCGACAGGGCTGGCCAGGCTTGTCAGCTCCATCGGTGTTGCCCCAGACCTAGAACCTGCACGGCGGCCATATGTCGCCAGAAGATAGCTTAGAGGCTTAGCGGGTCTTGTGTGTGTGTGTGTCCTGGGTAGCTCAGGGGCTCATGTCCCGAGCCTTTTTCTAGCACAAGATCGCCCTCTGCAGGAATTGGTCCCAGGGCCGCACGGTGGGATAAGGCCTCCACAAGCAACATTACCGGCTTCTGCTGATGTCTGGCTCCACTACCTTGCGAATGGTTTCCCGACACCAGACACCTTGTTGAAGATGAGGCTCTGAGCAGATTTAACCTTGGGCAGCTCAAAATTTTTATCTCAACTTCAATACCTCCCGCTTCTGCCGAGCTGCGTAGAGCATCAGCACTTGCCGTGGCAAGCGCAGGAGGGCCTCCTCGGCACTCAGCCCATTGGCCAGGCAGCGAAGCAAACCTAACAGGCACATGGCTCAGTGTCCTACCTTCCTGCCTTCGTCTAATCCATGAACTGACTGGTTGCTTGGCGCCTCGCTCCACGTGGTAGCCGGGAGCTTGCGGAAACCGCTTGAGTGCAGCCTGCTACCGGACGCGTCTTTGGCTGAAGAATTACGGGCGCCAAGCCAACCCCGCAAACCCGGCAAGCGTGCGGGTGCAGGGCAGGGCGGAAGAGGAGGGTGGGGGGCAAGGGAGTAGTGTTTTGTTGCAGGCGCAAGCGCGGGAGGAGGAGGGTGGCACATCTAAACTGCTCACATTCGCCCTAATCGCTGTAAATTCCGTGACTATTCACAGTCTCCTAATGTTGTAGATTACAGCATGTCCGATAGTTCACTGGCTCCAAACATCAAACATTGCAGCATGGCCAGTTGCTTTGACTGTTCACGGGCTCCAAACGCTGCACATGACAACGTGCTCTTCATTTCAATCAACACTCCGTGCCGGCGGACATTTTGCTTTACCTGCTAGTCTGGCACGGCGTTGCGAACAGACGCATACATCTAACCCGTTCAGGGACACGCACAACTGACCCACTCTGTGGCTTTCGACTCGGTCGTGTGAGGAGGACAAAGGTTGAAAGATTCGAGTGCCACCTACTGTCAACTACAAGATCGGTGAACTACAGCATTGCTTGCCACAGGCAAAGGGACCACGCCAAACAAAGTTTGGTTGGGTTGGATTTTGCTGGGTGGCTGGGCTGTTGCGAACGTACCCAGCCCTTCAAAGAACATATGGTCATTTAGTTTACCCAAACAGGGACCATGATTCTGAGAACTAACAATGTGTTTTTGTCGTTTGCTTTTGTAAAGCAGAGCGTCTGTGACAACGTCTGATAACAACGTCTCTTCTTACAGCCCTGCACCGAAAGGGCTTTCGAGAAGAGACGAACTTGACAGAGATGGTGACGTACGCTTGCGGGGAGGATCGGCCAAGTTAGCTGGGAAGTATTTGGGCCATCATGCATGTCAGCTCCTCGGCTGCCAGGATGATGCTGTCGCCAGCATCGATTGCATCCAGCAGGCTTTGCTGCGCCGCCTTGGAGGAGATCCATCCTAGGTCTAAACATGTCTCTTCGTGTCTAAATGGCGCTAGCAGCTCGATCCGCTCCATGAGTCCGCTCTCTCGTCAAACTTTTGTCCAAGCCATCAAGAATATCGGCAAAATCAGATTCAGTGATGACTCCCAGGCCCCACGCCTGTGCTTGCTCGTCCCAAACCATTTTTTTCGCTTGCTCCGCTGCGTCACCGCCCAAGAGTTGCACATCGCCTAGGACCAATCCTGCACAGGACGACACAGGACGTCCCGACCATTCACCATCTCGGAGCGTTCACAGCCATGCAACCATTTCACAACTCTCAGCTCAAAGCGAACTGCGCGGTCGAACTGATGACGCAACACTGCTGCTCCCACCTTGGCAGCAACTGCGCTGAACTTTGCGAAGGGTCGGTCTTCCAACAACTTGTGGTGCGGAGGCAATGCGATTGCTAGCAGAGGCTCGTGAAATGCGCGGATCAACTGCGATCCGAACCTTGAAAGGCACGACCCTGCACTCACTGTCCATGTCGCAACAGTGCGACTCCATGTTCAAATTAGACCCACGCAGACCCTAGGCCCTCGGCCTTTGCGGACCAAAGTAGTTGAGAAAGCCCGATCCCGCCAGAGATCTGCAAGCTTCTTGAGCAGCTGAATGTGGGGCAAGGAGAACCTTCGCCGTGAAGGCGGTCTGCTCTCAAAAGCAGCAGAATCTGCTGGAAAGTGGGAATCTTGTGTTTTTGCATGTTTTGCTCTTTGAACATCAACACATGTTTTAGCACAGTCGACCGCCTCCTCAGGCACCAGGCGGAGCACAACGTTGAAGCGATTTCCAAGGAGGTCGCCCAGATTCAGGGGTGAAGGCTTGACTTCCAGATCTGAGACACGAACTCGATTGTCCCAGTCCTTGGCGCTTGTGTCTCGAGTGCCGAGAAACCGCTGTGAAATTAAGTTAGCACAGCATGATATCGCTATGTCGCGGGATCCCCCACGCCCCAAATGCTACATTTGTGTTGCCTCCTGTTGTTTCATACATACTTCGTGGAGCCGTTCTTGGAGAGCTCCTTGCAGAGAAATTTCTTGTTGTGGAGTCGGGCTGTCGCAAAGATGATGGCGTCGTCAAATAAAGTACTAGAAGCACTGCATTGTTTGATGAATAAACGCGGCCAAATCTTCATCCCAGACACCGGATGATGCAGTGCAGCGTGGAGCTCTGCGGGCAGCAGATGGGCACAGGACATCTGCTGCACCGTGACGGCACAGCGGTCCTGTCAACAGAAGCAACATTCACAAACATGTGTGGGTGAGTCTCTCTCTCCGTCATGTGCCAGTTGTGCCAGTCTCAAATTCTCAAATCTCCTTGCTACCAGCAAATCGCAGATTTCGCCGAGAGCGGCCCAAGCAGCGGGCGAGCTGTGCCACCGCATCCAAGGTGTCCAACCCTCGCGCACGGTTTGTGTTTTTTCATTCTGGGAGAGCGGTAGAAGAACACGGGATAACACGGGCAACGCTTCCCATCAAAAAGACTTCGCAAGCCTTCCTTGTACACGCGGAAGTGCAGGTGCCACTTGCCGCTGTCAGGCACACAACCTCTGCTTGCTGCTACAGCAACGCAAACTTGACATGAATTTCTTCGCCTGTGCTCTTCTTGTGTCTGTCGGTCCTAAGCCTGGCCCAGAGTGCCCTTGCAACTCTTGAATCGGCCGGGAGTGTCTCGGTTGGCTACGAGCTGCTGATACTTGTTGCCTTGACGCTGACTGCTTTCTTCTCTCTCGAAGGTGCGGCACCGGCGCACACTTGTCTACACAAGTGTCGTTGCCCAGCGAATGCTCCCGCCACTCCCAAATGAGGGCTCTCGCTTGCATTTAACACCCAGTCGATCCCGTCAGCTTTGAAAAACATGCTGCATGAGTTCGGCTTCTGAACTTTCTCCTGAGATTCTATCACAGAAAAAAGTCCAAACACAGAAGCACCTATGCCTCGTGGGAACCAGGCATGCGGGGCTCAGAACGCAATCCTTCTTCGACAGGCGCTGCCGGGCAGCGGTGCAGATCTTCATCAGGGTTCAGCTCGCTGAGGTGCAGCTCTTTGCCTTCCAAATCGACCTCGTGAACCTTCTCGAGTGGCATTTCTCAATGCAGGAGCCCATGCGGCCCCGGGATGACCACCGAATTCTAGAAAAGCTTCGACTTATCAGAAACGGCACGAAAACGCCCCACCTGGAAGTCATAGAGCGATCGCTTGAGCACTGCAGGGAAGCCTGGAAGGTCTTGGCTCCGAAATTCGGTGAGTCCTGCAAAAGTGAAGCCCATGGCGTAAGCTGGTGTTTTGCAACAGGGGCAAAGCATAGCAAAGAATAGCAAAGCATAGCAAAGCAAAGCATAGCAAAGCACAGCAAAGCGTAGCAAAGCGTAGCAAAGCGTAGCAAAACCTGAAGAGCTCCGCCTGCATCTGCGAAGCTCAAGGGGCAGGCTGGCGAATATGCCCGATGGCGCGACGGGCTTCGGAAATGGCTGAGAGCGTGCCGCACACGCATGAACCACGCTAAGGGGCGGGGGGGGGGGGGGGGGGGGGGGGGGGGGGATGCCAAACGATTTGCTTCACCAGTGGCAATTGCTGGCAGAACTTTGCCGCTCGGCGAAAGCTTGACATGCTGAATCACAAGCTTGAGAAACACAGACATCCAACAAAATGCAAACACCGTTTGGGTTGTTTCTCTTGCATGCCCTGCCTAAGGCCTAAGTTTCGGGATTGTATCGGCACAGCCGTAACCTGCTCTTCGAACTTCTTCTCGTCCGCCTCCTCCTGTGCCTGCCGGGAGCGACATGTTTCTAAGTTGTCGACCTGTGCAACATGCACATCGGGTGCATCGGGTCATGCATGGGGTCATGTCGCGAATGTGAGCCAAACAGGGCCAGGGTCGCCAAACTCAGCAAGTCCACGAGTGGACCCTGCGCCGCACGTGCCGTGTGACGCCGCAGCCCCTGGGCCACGAAACGTCACGAAAGACTCTCTCGAGGACTCGATAGTATGCGCACGCCAATCTGGCGTGCACGTGGCATTGGTTCCTTACAGTTTCCTTATCTTGGCCTGTCTTCCAGCACCACCGCCTGCAAAAGCCGCCTTGGGGTTGAAACATGGCATCTCTTGTTTCAATGGACTGTGTTGAGGGTACCCCTTTCCCGTCCATAGATATGCTTCACATGACCTTGGCTATCTCATCTTGCAATCCTCAGGCCTGTGCGAACTGAGGCCAAATCAAAGCTCCAAGTACAACTGCGGATAGCACCTGTGGAGCTGCATATGTTTTCAGCAGTCTCCACCGCTCGCTCTACCTAGCTGTTGTGCTTCTCCCGTCACTTCAAGTCTACGTCGCACTTCCTTCTGTGCGCCGTGTGCTGACTCGTAAGCCAAGATTGGCAAGGCGCCGCGCAGCAGATGGGGCGACGCCTTGCCAGTGAACAGGAGCCACGTGATGAAAACGATGAAAATGGCTGCCTGCCTCCTTTGGTCACCCATACAGCGGGACGCCATGGCAACTTGTCGCCAACTTGTCGCCGGCTTGTCTGTTTCCACGGACATTCACGTTCTCAGTGTATTCGTCGATTCGATCAACCGGATCTGGGTTGCCTATGGTTGCTCTGACTTGGACCCCGCGAGCATGACGCTGCAGCAAGGGTCAGAGTGTTCAGGTTTGTTTAGAGACCGTGCACCGCAGAAGCCTGAAAATATCACTCAGGCACTGCATTTCTGACGGTGATCATGGGCGGATGAACTTCGCACATGGTGTACAATGTAGGAAACAGCGCATGCTGCTCAGTCAATGCGTCGATGAATCCTCAAGAAAAAAGCATCCAAGTTCGCAACATACGTGAAAGCACCATCGTGTCAACTGCTCGAGGGTCAGAAGCCGAACGCAAACTGCAACCTCCTTGTTCTCAACTATGGCAGGCCCTGCTCGTCACTGCCGTATGGTTAGGAGAGGCATTGTATTTCCTTCGTCGCGCAGCGTATCTTCTTGCCCCAATCTTCAAATGCCAGCGCAGACCCCGACCAGTGTAAGACCACCACGAGCATTTCAAGACCACTTCAGAGCAGTCCAAGGGCATCCCAAGCCCAAACGTTTGTAAGTCGAGCTGTGAGCTACTCTCTTCCGCTTCTTCTTCTTCTTCTTCTTCTTCTTCTTCTTCTTCTTCTTCTTCTTCTTCTTCTTCTTCTTCTTCTTCTTCTTCTTCTTCTTCTTCTTCTTCTTCTTCTGCTTCTTCTTCTTCTTCTTCTGCTTCTGCTTCTGCTTCTGCTTCTTGTTCTTCTTCTTCTTCTTCTTCTTCTTATTCTTCTTCTTTCTTCTTCTTGTCCTTCTTCTTCTTCTTCTGCTTCTTCTTCTTCTTCTTTCTTCTTCTTGTCCTTCTTCTCCACAGCGAAGAGATCACCTTGCTGGAGGCCCCGGCCACGACGGCCGCTGCTTCCGGTCTTCAAGGGAGAGGGACTATTGGGGGGCAGTTTGAAGGTGGGATCATTGTCCCGGCCTGGTTACTCTGTTCTTCACTCACCGTTTCCAGGACCGAGGCCGGCCCCACTTTTCATTTGTAGCAGGGTAGGCCCTTACCGTATCGTTAGAACCATAGAGTTGGCACACTGTTTCGACTCTCACACTGGCGCACGCGCTGGCAAGGCACACTGCTTGGGGCAAAGCGCACTTCCTCATAGAGTACGTGATCTTCTGTTGGATGCAGAAGCCCAGCATCTTCTCAGCAATAGCTTGGTGCCGCGGAGCCTTTGCATTCTTGGCTCGCCACTTCTGGCTGGACTGGCTGCATGCTTGCATCAGGTGCCCCACCCCCCTCCCCCTGCCCCCGCATCCCATGTGGGGAGATGCGCATAAAAATGTCTTCAACTTGTTGCCGAGGCTGAACTGTGGTGACTACAGTTTGTGCTTCTTGTGCTTATGCTTGTATCCGAAAGCTTCACTGTTCCGGTCCCTGCTGGCTCTCAGTAGGCCTAAAGCCGCCACTTCCTGTCACTGCGCCATTCTAAGGGCCCTGGCCGGATTCCAAGCTCGGCTAGGGACTTTTTCATGCCTGAAACATCGTCTCATGCAGTGCCATCAAGTGCAGAACACAAGCCGTAAGCCGAGCTGCCATCAGCAAAGGCAGACCAATCCTCGAAAGGGACCTGGACAGTGATTTGAAGACGTTTTTTCGGTACAGCGATTTGTAAAACGTAGGTCCGGGGCACTTCCTGGACTGAAGGCTTGGGTGCGCTTTTTGTTGGCCTGCAGCTCTCGCACATGTGTTGTGCTCCATATAGCACCCCATGCCCACGGACACACACGCCCGCACACCAAGAGAGAACCAGCGCCGTTGGCCTGTAACTCGAGCTCCAACACACTCTCAGGGATTTCATCGTCAGCAGGACCTTTGCCCATGGAAAGCCGCGCAGAACACGAAGCCCAGCGGCATTTGAGCCGTGGGGAAGAACTGAACCATCTTGGTGTCAGACTTGTCAGGCAAAAAAAGGGATTCGCGCTACAAACACACGCAGATTCGTGCAACTCTGTAAGGGCGGATTCATGCCAACCATAAAACTCGAAGTCGTACAACCGGAAAACGCGGATTGTGCAAACGGGGATATACCCTGAATTGCGTGTTGTGACCTGAAAGCAGACATCTCCACATACGGCTTGGAATTGGATTGGGAGACGGGACAGCACGAACCAACTGAGATGTGCACTGCACTCCGTAGGCTGGAACACAGCAACAGCCATGCAGTCCTGGCCAGGCACTTCTCCCTCAGCAATGTTCTCAGGCTTTTCACTCAAAGTACGTGGAGCAATCTTTCTCCCCCCCTTGTCCTCCACTCCCTCCATTGCGAACCTAGGCATGGCAGGGAGTGCCTTACTTTACTTTTACTGGGGAGGCCGCCAGGCCTACTGTGTGAGCTGGGGCCTGGGCTCTTCCAGGCCTACGAGCTCCGCTTTGAAGAGCTGGCCTGCTGAGGTAGATTCGAATCTGGGAAAGTCCGGGACATGGGAAGCAAGATGCAGACGGCGCTGCTGGATCAGTACGTGTTCGAGTGGAACAGCACATGCTTGCAAGATGAAAGAGGGCGCTCAGGTGGGCTGATCTGGGGTCATCTCCCTCTTTGCATCTGGCCCGGCTCCGAGCTTCACACTTCCACGTCCATGAAAAAGATGCCATAGAAAAAGCGGGGCCTTCGCGCGGCGGTCCTAAAACTGCCTCTTCCAGGCCTGCAGCACACCCTTAGGGCAACGCTCCCGGCTTCAGGACGTTGTCTGCCTGGAGCTCTCTACATTTATCATGTATCCCACGAATGCTGCACAACTTCCTCTGCATCTAGGAGGGCAGCCAAGATGACAGCACCTGGAAGCAGCAAGTCCTGCCATGTGACTTTCGAAAGGCATCCCGGCAGAGCGCTCTATGCTCTGGGCTTGGTCTGCTATGGGCGGTCCTGCTGGATCAGGATCTCTAGATCTTGCCAGAAACGTGAACCTCTCCGGCATCATATCTTGGCTGTTCTCCACCTCTGCTCATGTTGACTCATGTGGGTTCTCAGGCGCTCGCCACACTGGTCCATGAAAACGAGGGCAAACCGCGGTGTCGCACCTCAAGGTGTTGTGCTTTCCACTAGCGAACTGCGCTTGTTTCAAGCCTGCGCTTCATCCCACATGCCTTGTCCCCAGTGCCTTCGAAACTGCTCGTGGACTTGCTCTCTTTCTCACTCAAGTTGCAGTTTGACAATGGACAATGGCCCAACAACGATGCAGAGTGATTCAGCATTCCTGTCTCACATGGCGCGAAAAACCTGAGGAACTCACCAGAGTAGCGGTCTGCCAAAGTGCGAAGCACATCGGAGCTGTGCCCAGTCCATACATCAATCTGCGAAATTTCGGGCAAAGATACAAGTCGAGGAACGAGAAGGAAACGGGCCAGAGAGTCAAGGAGTTGCCGCGCCAGACCCGTGCCTTGTGGCTGACACCCGCGTGAAAGGCCAATCCTTGCGGAGCCATCAGCCGCATCAACCCCAAGGATCGGAACCCGCGACTTACGCTTGATCCCAGCTGCGCTGCGCTGCCATTGCGTGCTCCGGCTCCACCTCGATGGTTACAACCTCAGTCCGAACGGCCGAATGGCCTTTTTTACGTGCCTGCGGCTTTCTGTTTAAGATTTCGGCTCTTCCTTCTCTTCCTGGCAAAGGAAACACATGATTCTATTGAAAGAAGAAGCCTGGATGTCTTAAGCCTCTCCACATGGCAGGCTCACACCATTCGGGAACTCTTTTTCTGAGCACAGCTTTGAGACTCTCGCGTGAAACAGAGGTAGGAGACTGGAAGGACATGGGCAGTGTGTGTGCCGGCAAAATCGCACTGTCGCCCCGAAGCAACCTATTGGCTAAGTCAGACACGTAGACCGTAGACCTGATTTCAGGGACTTGATGAATGATACCAGTTGTCGCACTTATCAAGAAAGGACGGCCCGGCCGGCTCCACACGGCAAACATGTAAAATTTGGACGGCCTTGAACCTCAGCCGCACACCTCCAACACCACAACGAAAGTCTGGGTCTCCTCGTCTGTCACAGTCTTGAAGTCCCACTCTTCCTCGCCCTCTAACTGGCAGATTGGCTTCTGCGAGAAGTCATGCTTCATGGTTTTGGACACTTTGTGTGACTCGGAGCCCTTGCCGATGGCTACTCGAAAAGTCACCGCACAGCTGCGCGTAGGGCTGATCTCGTTGAGGCAGCGCAAGTCGACGGTGCCCTTGCCCTTGGCCTTCCGGAAGGAGGCTCCGCCGCGGCTCTCTGAGGTCAGGGAGGGCCGCAGGCACATTTTGAACTGAATTTCTTTGCCATCCATTGAAACCTCGAAGGGGGGAGAGACCTTCTCTCGGTCGGATGTTTTCAACACCCGGGCATCCACTGTCCAATGAATTCGGAAGATACGACTGTTCACGCTGAAAGCCCGCTGCAGCACGGGTGCGCGCGGGGCTGCTGTGGGAGGGGCCACTGGCAGATCAGCTGCGGTCTCTGGGCTCGGTCTCGGACTCGACGCTCCTTCTTGGGGCATTGCGGTCGGGATTCCTTGCGGCCATCGGTCGAAAAGCTGTGATGGTGGCATGCCGGCTGGGATTGGCACGGCAGTGGGCGACCCTATGGGCATCCCTGCCATGTTTGCAGGCACCATGATGATGGCGGTGCCCGGAACTGGCTGTGCTGGCTGAGGACAAGGGCTGGGAATCGGCAGTGCACCAGCATATCCTGCTCCACCCACTGCATCTCCCGCGGGCGGGGGGGAGGAGACTGTCCATTTCCAGTTGACCTCTGGCTCATATTCATCATAGGTTGCCGTACGGTACAACTCCGGCATTGCCGGCGCCTGGTCATAGCCCTCTTCTTCCTGCTTGCCGGTGTCCCCAGTATCCTTGCCCGGGCCCTCCTCGTCCTCGTCTTCGTCCTCTTCCTCCGCATCTTTGCCTACATATCTTGCTGGCGTGGTTGAGACACGGGCAAGAGTTGGCATTCGTGGGGCATCATCGAGATCAATGAAGGTGTTCTTGACTATCACCACATGCCTGTCCGAATCATCCGCTGGATCCATGGCTTCAGCGAACAACGATGCTATTTACATGCCTCGGTCTACACATCATACGCTCGCATCTTTTCAATTGGAGCCGGGCACCATGCAAATGTCCAAGCCTTGTGCAGGCCATGGGAATGCGGAACCTTGATTCTTGCACATGCTGAAAGCGAGCATTTTCTTTCTGCCCATCAAGCTCCAGTCGCCCCGCCCACGGCCAATAGGTGCACCCTCTGAGTCGGATGGCCTGAATGGCAACAACTCTGTGTCTGCATCTGTTCCCAGAGCTTCGGCAATCACTGCCTCCAGTTGGCTGTGCGTGGCTGTGTCCCAGCGGAAGACAGGCTCGGATGTGAGAAACAGCTCTGCTTCAAAACTGGAACCTGAGGCTGACAGCACATGCTACCAGCTGCTACCACGATTGCACTTCTTCGGCATAGCAAATAGTGTACGTGATGCTGCATACCACTGGACAAGTTGCAGGAGTCTGGGAAGACCTCTAACTCATGGACATCCTCCAAATTTATGCCGATACTCTGGAAAGCAGGCCTTTGTTGCATCGAACTTGTCACTTCGCAGCGCATGTGTTGAATGTTGAACGAGAAGTGCGCATGCAACTGCACGGAGCTACTGCGTCACTCGTGGGCCAAGACATGCCAACAAAGACCAGACTCCATAGGCGCTTCTCTTGCAGCGGATCTGAATAGACCTGAAAGCCAGCGCTTGCAAAATTAAGCTTGCAATTCCTGCAAAGGTGCGAACCGATCGCACCTGACCACACGGCAGCCTGACCGTCATGAGACTAGCTTGAAGCCAGGCGACCCAAACGACATGTCCTTGTAAGTGGCCCTGGCCAGAAAAGGGCAGATCCTCGCTCAATGGGCAAGCGAGCACAGAGTAGTTGTGCTCTGTCCTGGCCAAGACACAACAAGCATAGGCCAGCATGTTTCGTTGGATGTCTCAGTCCATGCGAATCTGTGTTCTGACTTTCTCAACCCAAGCGGCATGTAATCTGCATCTTGCAGCTTTCGAAGCTCAGGTGTGCGAAGGTGCATCACCCGTCGAAGAAGGCGGTCCCGAACTCTCATGGAAGCAAGCTGCTCCTCTTCCCACTGCTTCAGAGATTCTAGATAAAACTTCGTGCCAAAGCTGAAGCAAATTCATTCGGCATGATTATGTGGCTGTCCTGCTCGAGATCATCCAGAACATCTGGACTCGCCCGCCTATGCAAACTAACAAGCATGGTTGGTATGGATTCGACAAAGTTAGGATAAGGCTGCCTCCATGGTGGTCCAGCACCGAGATCCCGCAGCAAGTCAGCATGGTGCGACCAGTTCGTGATGCCTTCACGGCAGCGTTTCCAGCTTTTCCGTTATCGTTAAGTTGCAACAGTGCCGTGAGTGTGGCATCAGTGGCTGAGGACGACTCCAGACATAAAGACCAAGGGCAACGTGGATCACATATCTACTCATGCGACAGCGCCGAGCCAAACTTCATCCACACATCTGAAACATATTGAGTTCAGGGGGCGACGCTTTGTGCAGTGCACACACTGCAGCGTTTGAATCAAGCCAGTCAGACTGGTGGCAAAGCGGATGGCTGTGAAGCCTTGCCAGCAAGCCAGTCACACAGCCGAGAACACCCAGAACACCCAAGATTCGGAGGCTCTCTTCAGTTTGCGTGTGGATCACCACTCCGGACCCAAGCCATGTTCAGGGCGCCCCTCTTTCTGTGACTTCCGCAGATGTGTCCAGGGCTTCAGCGTTGAGAAGGCGGTGAGCTGTCAGCTCCTACTCGCAGCATCCGCAGCATCTTGTGGCCATATCTGCGCCAACGGCCATGCTCAGCTGGCGATACGGTTTACCTTGACATCGATGACAAGTGTATCATCCCTGGCATTGTTGAGAACACCATTCCTCAGACCGGCAGAGAAGCTGTCCACACCTCCACACTGCTGTGGCACTGGGAAACCTCTTCTCAACTTTCTCCCGCATCTGTAAGTTGCCGAGGTGCAGCAGTCTGTTTCTCAGCTCCCAGGGCTCCCCAGAGCCGGATGCGGACCTCGGGAAGGAGAGATAATGCGAGATGCAGAGATGCCGAGATGAAGGCACTTGGGAAATACAAACATTCCCTGATTTCTTCGCCACCCAACTAGCCGTTGTGATTCAATGATTCGTTGGTGAGATTCATCTTCATAAGTTCTCCTTTCATTTTCTTCCCTACTTCTGAGTCAAATCTCTAATTATCACTCAAACATTCTGCTTCTTCCCCAATTCCTGCCATCTTTGCCTCTTCAAGCACTCAGAGTAATCTGCCGCGTTACTCAACAAGGTGAGACAAAGAGAAACCAGGAGAAGTTCCTGCCCTATCCTGAGTGTCTACTCGAAGAAGATTCCGCTTTCCAATTTCTTCTGCTTCTCTTCTAAAAAAAAAACAAAAGGAACTTCCGGGCCACTCCCGGGGATCCGGGATCGCGCCGGGCTTCCCCAGCTGCTCGTCGCTGCAGGGCCGCGGGTACCTCTGTGTCGATTTTGCCTCTCTCTCTTCTCTCCAACTCCCCCCCTCCATCTCCCTCTCCTCTCTCTCCTCTCTTCTCCCTCTGTACGCCCTACTCTCTCCCCTCTGCAAGCTCTCTCACTCTGTACGCTGAGCAGCCGACCCGAGCGCAGGCGGAATCACCAGTCTCCTCTTTTCGCCTTGGAAGACTGATGGAGCCATTAGGTTGCTATAGGCTGCTTGCAATTATCAAGAGGAGCTGAGGAGCCTCTTTGAGCATCTGACAGCAACATCTGGCAACTCCGCTCAGTCAAGTTTCCCTTCAACATGCCGACCACTCCGCGGTCCAGACCGGGGATTGCATCACCCCGCCCCACTCTGAAGGTGACGGGCTTCTCTGAGAAGCCACTTTTATCCTGCAATGGCAAGAGACGAGTGAGTCGTATTGAACACGGCCGATACTCTCTCAGCTCCTGAGTTCGGATGAAAATGTTGCCGTTCCAGCCCGTCAGATACCCGATCCTAGGATTCTAGGACCGACTTGCGAGACATGTCCACAACTTACGCCCGTCATTACCCCTCAGTGCCTCTCATTGCCCCTCATGTCCCTCTACGGCCAAGTCCAAGCAGCATGTCCACGGTAACCAGGTCACCATCTGACACCTTCCTCGCAGCATTGGGGTCTCCGTCTGCCATCTTCGGCTTGTATATGGTGGCTGCTTTGAGCCCTTCTCCCAAGTCAGCGTAGGCCGCAACCTCTTTGTTGTTCTGACCAGCAACACCAGCATTTTCGGTGTACGAGTTAATCACCTGACACAGCCATGAGTTCAAGTCAGAGCAGATGCCAACATGTGAATTGCTCTCACAATGAAGCTGCCGCTTCGGCGCCGTGTTCACCTTGCTGAATCGCTTCCTAGGTTGGACGACAAGAATGGAATACCGCCGAAAGCGTAAAGAGCGAGATAAACACAGCCACGCCAAAGAAAGGAGACACAACACCATCCCCTTGCTTGTCCATGCCGAATGATTGCACGATATTGCACGCCCCTCTGCCAGGCGTCACATCTTCGGCGCCGGCGGCTTGTGGGATTTGCCAGATGCCTGCACCACTCAAGCCCAGGCGGAGCCAGGCACGGCGGCCCCAGCCTTAGAATGCACGTCTAACCACATCTCCCATCACAACCCTATCAATCCCTATCACAACCAAACCGTATCGCAACAAAACCGTCATCTCAGCCTGCCTATGTTTGCCCTTTGCTCCTGTGATCTCCTGTGACCTCCGATGCGGTGACTCGAAGCTCAGATGCCCGCTTGACATGGGCTCTGGTTGTGGTGTCCCTGCCATTCCCACCTCAGCAGGAACACAGCTGGGACACGGATCTGTCGACATGATGCACCATGTTGAGTTCAAACGTTTCAATCATGCGTGGCAGAGCCACCGCAGCCAATGGCCCGGAACAAGCAAGAAGCAACATTCCCAGCCGCCGAGGTCTCCGATCCTGGTGTCGCATCATGCGAGTGAAGACGCCCAGATTTCTTCTCATTGGGGCGGAGAACAGTTACGAACAGCCCTTGCATTTGTCCGGCAACTCCGCACCTTCAGAGCCGGACGACTCCTGGCCATTGCTGGATGGATTGCAGTCTGCATGTTCCTTGACAGTGGCTACTTGTCCAAATTTGATGGTCGGGTAGTCGCTTCCTGTTTGGAGGTCCAACTGAAGTTGACTGCACTGCTGGACTATCGTTTGGCTTCAACACTTTCGGGCTTTGATTGCATCAGCTGCTTGAGCATTTTGCGAAAGAATATATCAAGAAGCGTTTGAATGTCGACGTCTTCTTTCCACCGGCTGGGAGAGCTGCCCACATATGTCCCGATCTCGAGGCAAGCCTCATGGCAAAAAGCCCAGTCTCCGCAAAAAGCTACAAGTGACGAGGCTCGGGCTCCAGTCTTTGGAGCCAGCTTCAACGCTTCTTCCACCTTAGAGACTGCAGGATTCTCACACCAGACAAGAAAAGCGACAAAGAATCGAAAAGGGAGAAGGGCAGTAGACCTTGACCTATGATATTGAGACACAAAAGGGCATTCTCAAACTGTCGAGCAAAAGCGCTGTTGACATGAGCTCACGGCCACTGACGCCTTGGCTCCACCAGCGATTTTGAACCACTGCCTGGATGGTCTCAGCACCTTCGGTGTTTTTGGACTGCGCTCATTCGACTTGAAGAATACAATACGCAGTAAGACGCCCACATGTGCCCAGCTCAGCAGATTCGTGCTTTTTCGCTGTCACTCAGCGTGAGTCGAAACAGCCACCCACCATCCGAGCACTGCCCTAAGTTGGAAGAGAAGGGCAAACGGTGACTCGTCTGTGGGGCGTGCGCGCGTGTTTGCGGGCTATGTGTGTGCCACCAGACTTAGTCTGGTCGTGGCTGTGGCACGTTAACGAGTTGAAATGTGTGCCGAATTCAAGCAGCGGAGGTGGCAGTCGTTCAATCGATGAATCGCTGGCAGCGTCCTTGGCCACCTTCGCCGCCCTAACAACCCTCCAGGGCTGCGCTCAGCCTACACCAGCTTCAGCCTCGCTCTCTCCATCTGGCTATCCTTCTTCACGGACGTCTCAGATTCTGTACTGGCTGCAGTGCTGCAGCAGACGCGCGTCACCTTAGGCTTACCGGACTCACAATGCCACCACAAACACATCAAACGCTCTCATGCCAAGCGGCCGCAAGAATCCAGGCCGCAAGAAGCCAGGCAGACGAACAGACGTGGCACTGCAGCCCGCGCATGCGCCGGGTAAAAGCCTGATCGAGTCTGTAAGCAAGTGTGGCGGCCAAGCATAGAAATGCAGATTAAGTGCACAGTATGTGCACAGTGCACGAATACAGGAGCGATTTGGGTTCACTTGCTGACCAGATGCGGACCCGGTCGCCAGCCCTTGTGGGGCCGGCGAAGGTCCAGCACTTCCACGTGCCGGCTTGCACGAAGCTCCTAGCAAACTGACTGTGCCCAACTAGGCCCCGAGTGCGACTGCGATGCCATGCCTTTCGGACATACGCACATACGTCCCTGCCTTGTATCCGCCACACACAAAGAGGCGGCCCTCAGCATCCAAGGCCACCGCACTCCCCCACCGTGGGTGTGGAAGAGACGCGCCACCCAGAGCATGCCAGCATTGCGCATGTGGGTCGAACCTTGTACCAGAATCTGAGGGCTTCATAAGCTGCATCAGCTTACCAAGGCTTCTGCAGCAATGCTTCGCGCTTGTCTTGTATGTAAATGTTCTGGACAACAGCTCACCCTGCATCGAAGCAGCTGCTGAAGAGCGTTTTGTCGCCAAGCTTCCTCGCTACCAACGCCTGACAGCGAGTATAAGTAACCTGCCATTGCTGTATGTGTCCTTACAATAGTGCTCCACCTGGCCTGAGTAACCTCCAAAAACGTAGATGTTGCCACCAAACGAGACCGCGGAGCAATTGCCGAAGGCAAAAGGCATACAGTTGAGCCTTGCAGCGGAGTTATGATTATGTCATGTCTTGGACTGGGCTGCATGGGTAAGCATATGCCCACATGATGATATGACCCAGGCAAGGTGCTTTGTCCAACTGTGGCTTGGCAACTCGAAGACCTCCACATCCTTCAACGGCGAGCCGCTCGAACCCAAACCCCCAATGGCCTCAGAAGAGACGGGGAAAGGAATATAAAGGAATGGCCCACGAGTCTAAGACGAACAATTAGCCTCAAAAGCACTTAAGGAAGATACCACTCGCCCTAATAAGGCCACGGCAAAGATCTGGGAAGGGATGCTGACCAGGGCCAAGCCTTCTCTGGCAGTGGGCAGCGGCGGCATCCTCATCTGCCATATGGATGTGCCATGAAGTGCCATATGCCTGCCTGTCATATGCCTGCCATGTGCCTGCCATGTGCCTGCTATGCGCAAGCGAAAAAACTCCACGTTTCTCTCACTGACGCCGTGCTTCGTTTCCCAGCCACGCTTGTGGCTGTAGCGCTCCACCACATCCAGTCGATCAGCGCAGTTGGACCCGCCAGCTGCCTGTTTGTTCTTGAGTGTTCTATCAGCAAATGCCAGTGCCAGTGCCGCAAATCAGCGATTCTCCGCAGCTCAGGTGCGTAGATGAAGCCGTCCACGAAAGCAGCCGCTAAACTTCGCCGGGCCGTCGGCATTGGCTGCAAGCTCTCCCAGGCCTCGGAGGGGGCATACGGCATACGGACAAAACTGAGGACATGCCGGATATGGGCTCTCTGACTCTCTCTCTCTCTCTCTCTCTCATGTTTGCGGATTTGCACAGCCATCTGAACACGTTAACGCACCTCACTACGTGCGACGAAAGGCCTGGGCATCAACAAACCCGGCGGCACAAAAGAACAAGCTTCGAGCTTCTCAAGCAAAGTAGTTTGGGAAGTGCCTTTTTTGGCATGTGGGACGAGGTGGACCTCAAACGCAGTTGACGAATGAGACTGGGGTACTTAGGATTGGTGTGCCAGCCATGACTAGTGTCTCCAAGTCTGTGCCGCTCGCACGCAGCTGCCGCTTTTGAGAGTTAGTTTGGCTGCGAACCTCTGCACGGCCAGATTTTGACTCTCACACTGGCACCGGACAACATACCTCTTGAATCTCCTGAATCCTCTAGATCCTGCAAGTACGGGGTTGGCGACGTGAGTTGAGCTGTACTGACCGGGCCCTGTACCCGCGCATCAGCGTCGAAGCAATCGAAAGAGGCGAGTGCATGAAAGCCAAGATGTCGAAGCTTGAAGCCGGGTGCTTTGGTTGGGCGTTGCCCACCCAAGACGTACCTTTTGCTGAGGGATACGAGACACATGAGGTGGGACAATCACGACAATCAACTTGTACAAAGGGAACCGCAGGTTTGATCCAGGTTACACCTTGACTCCGCAAGCTAGGACTGCCATGAAGGAGCGACAACTCGGCATCGGCAGTTCCTGCAGCCACGCCACTGACCTTTGCAGCCGGCAACTAGCCTTCAGCTGTGGCAAACCTGGCCTGTGACATTTTGATCGTGAACTTGCTCTGTCCTCTCTCTTGCACGATTGCAAGCAGTGCCAAGCAGCCCCTTCGATGCTGCAACTTCGCTACCTAAGTGCGCAGCAGACTGGCATGAGAAAAAACACCGCGGACGTCTGCGCACGTCCGCACATATCTGTGAAGCTGAACTGTCGCCAGCCTCTGCCAGCCGGGGTACTGGCATCGAGGCTGTGAACTCGGCCAAGCACACGAGCGGATGCTCGAAAGGGCGAAGGGCTCTCCAGGATTTCTCCTCCAAGGAGACACAGCCGATGCCTTGGATAAGTAGCGACTGAGCCGCTTCAGCAGTTTACAAACTTTGGGGCCACAGGCTCACATGTCACACGTGGCATCGAATTTCGAAATATGTGTCGAGGCCAGGGGCGGGTAAAGCCTGGACAACAACGGCTGCAGGGAGCGGCAGCTCTGTCGACATACTTGCCCCGCTCGGCTGCAGCCTGCAAGGCCTGTGGCGAAGACGACCTGCAATCGCATCATGGCATCGCAGGCAGGTGGATTCACGGTAGCCTGCGGGCCTCCGCAGCTGGGGGTTCGCAGCTCAACACATCCTTAACAGCACAAGAGTGACAGAAAGCATCTCAGACAAGACGCCTTGCACCTGACAACTCCAGCCAATCAAGGGTGACAAAGTCCGACACGCCCAGTGTGAAACAATTGGCATACTTGCAAGCGTATAACTGCAGATAAGCGACAAGAAAGCATGCCTGGGCGAGCAGCAACCGCCAACTACTGGTAGCGAAGACAAGAACTGCATTCCAGATCGTTGGCCAAGCATGTCAGAAAGCTTGCGACAGGTGCCAAGGACACTTGACAAAGGAAAGGAGCTCTTACCCCCGTCCAAGAATCTCCCACTCTGCCGGCATGCTGGGCGCTTTGCATTGCTGAGCCATTCAAAGGGAATGGTAAGTGAAGGGATACGAACTTGAGCTGATGTCGAGGACCGGGGCCATGCTGTAATGAGGTGAGGTGTCTCATTGCTTTGCGATGGACTGACTTGTCGGCATGTTGGTCGTGCTGCTTCTGGGAACGTCTTCCCGCGAGTTCTACATTTGCTCACATAACATGTGCCTGCAAGTGCAGCCACTACGTCACGAGTGTCGTGATGAACTGCTCACGCCGCTGCGAGTCAAAGCGCAATGGCGCAGTATGCAGTTCTCGTAACTTGGGTGACTTTTTTTTCCGTTGCGCTTTAAAGCTCGGTCCTTGCTGTAAACTGGGACCACTCCTTGCACTTGGGAAGGAAGTGCCCACACAAAGATCTAGAATGTAGAACAAGTGCTACAGCAACGGAATCATACGGAATCAACCGCGAAGCCTGTGCTACTGTTTACACTTGAACATGCTCCGCAAGCCGTAGGGCCGTAGAGATCTGCTCAAAATGCCTACTCTTGTCCAAGCATCGATGGGGGAATCCAGCGATCGCACCACGCTGTGGGGTTTTGGGCCTCCCGCCAAATTGAAATTTTGCGGGAGGTCTTTGCATGCATCATACAAGTCGCATCTAAATCCAGGTGTCCGTCTCGTCGATAAACCGGATGACACTGAGGCCGCGGCTATGCATCTTCCAGAAGGTTTCTGGGAGCCGTGGCCCGAACCTGACTGGAATGTCATGAGCATTGGGTGCAGGCAGGATTCTCCTCTTTGTCCGGGGAACTTCGCACGTAGGGATGGCGTTGCCCACCTCAGCTACCGTTGGCATGTGCTCAGAGACCGCTGGAAACATGTGGAAACACGTCGTTGCTTCGCAGCTGGGCCCATCACTCAAAGAAAGGAGGAAGAGAGACTTGCTGTGGCTGCGCTGAGCAGTACGGACGTGCGCCAGGCTTGGCCAGATACCTTAGTGACTGGCCCTTTTGCCAACTTGCAAACTTGCCTGACCTTGTGATACCTCTTCTGCCCACCTTTCCAGTTAAACCTCAAGGAATCAAGCGGCTGCTGGTGATAGTCCTGCAAAAAGCACGTTGCGTCATGGGGTGGCTTGAAAATAGGCGGATTACAAACGAGTCCTCCGCATAGTAGAAAACTCCATCTGAGAAATCTGATGCATCTCGAATCTCTGTTGACACTTCCTGACCAAACAAGCGAAGTGCAACTTCAGCAGAAGCGACAGCGCCTGCAAAGATTCATCAGCCCTGAGGGCATTAGGCAAAGCTCGCGATGAATTCCAGCAGCTTGTAGCGCAGCCTTGATTCTGCCGGCATTTGCGCGACACGCATCGCAAGCTACACAACGCTAGACGTATCAAGGCTGTGTCCTGATATGCTCTCTTGCTGGCCAGGAAGAGTTCCTTTTGGTCCTCATCGAAGTAGTACAGGCCTTTGTGCACTCAAAACTCTCAGATCGTGTCTGGCGGACACTACTAGTAGGGCTCGGACCACTCCGATACTGTGTGCCGATATCATTTCCTGGCACAAACCGGCTCCAAGCTTCAGTAGAACACAAAAATCAAGACCCGCCTTGTCCCATGTGCTGGGTGGGATCATGAGCCTGCCAGAGTCGCAGTGAGATTGGCTATGAGACTCATAGATGACCATAGCCATAGCAGTGCCTCCCAGAACCATCTCAGGATGTCCACAAGGTCAATCTTGGCCGGGTCAAAAACGACTTGGACCGCCTTCTCTTCCACCAAGGTTCAGGAGGCTGGCAAGGCGTGACCAGGTGTGACACAATCGCCTCGGCATGGCCGGTCCTGCCTGTCACGACCTCGGTCATGCAGTCTAAGAGTCTCGGCTCCGAACGCGAACTTTTGTTTCACGGTGATGGTCACGAAAGCATGCTGCTCAATCTTGGGAAACACTGGCATCACGCCTCCTCATAGGTCGGATTGGGCGTAAAACCTCCCAGCGCAGCGCGAGAGTTGGACATCTTCAAACATTTTTCCATTGTCGTTGCCTGCAGCGTAACCCACAGCTGTCGAGAAGATGCCAGCTGGTAAGCGCCAGATTCCCTTCTCGCTGCCCCAGAAGCAGCCTTTGGGGAGAAGTCTTTGGGTGACAACTCACAAAACATTTCGGCGTTGTCAGTATGCTCGGCTCGGCGCCGTTGGCAAACACCAACTTCGACGTGCCTGAGAGAGAATTCGAAACAAAGTGCTCGAAAGGCCAGTGTGTCGGTGTGTCGCAAACTGTGGAGATCTCGCACCAGTCTCACCGTTTCTTGCGCACCTGCTGGCCACGGACCTTTCATCGGCGTTCCCAGCACATAGTGCGTGGCGCTCACCTCGAAGGTGCTTCAACGGACATGATGGGTGCAGCGAAAGGCATGTCACATGGGCGACACACCTCCAAAGGTTGTGGCCGGCCAGGAAGCGCATCCTCCTGACCTAGACAGCGTTTGCTCGCGAACCATCATCCAAAAGGGCTTCGTACAGTTCCTCATTGCTGCTGGGAGAACGAATCATCTTCGTGCTTCCGCTGACTCCGTGCCAAACATGTCGACATAGAACCTCCAAAACCAACAGGAAAGCTGCCGACGGATGATGAGCAAACACTCTCGACCAAGCTCTTGTGAGGAAATAGTCAAGGAGCCACCACCAGAAGAATGTTGAGCCGCATTGGAGCCCACATGACCATGACGCTCTTCTCAGGCTTTCGCAAGTTGTTGACTTTCTGAGTTTCATGATTTCATGTAGTCTTGCTGGGTTGGCTAAGTACTTTGCCTGCTTTGTGTCTCGAACATTGTCAAGCCGCACACACGGAAACGACTGCGCCGCAAGACTTGTGCAGGTCTCTTTCCGCAAAGATGCGATCAATAATGCTCTTACGTCCGAGGTCTGGCACCCGCAGGGCAAATGATTCCAAGCCCGCGAGGACCTGGCTGCCAAGAGGGCCCAGAGGTGCCGCACTAGTCTTCTGCAAAACAACAAGAAGTGATTCGGACAGACCTGATCAGCCTGACCAGCTGGTGCGTTCTGAAGGACATATTGCATGGCCAAGGTCGGTTTCGGCCTAAGAATGGGTCACAAGCAACAGCAACCATTCCACATGGTCCTCTTCCTGCTTGGGCGACCACCCACTTGTCAACGGTTCAGTGCCGACATGTGGGTCTTCTGCTGCAGACATGGAAAGGTCACCCCCGCAAGCCACCAGGATTGCACGCACCTTGGCGTTGCCAATGGAAAACATGTGGACTGATGTGAAAAGTATTTGCAAACCAGCGTAAAAGCACGGACGGTTGCAAATGCAACAAGAAATTTCAAAGGCAACATCAAGAGAGCCGGCTGAAATCATTGAGGTTTTGAACGCCAGTACTGTGCAACCAGCAGCCAGCAGCGTGCTTGTCTAATTGTTTTTAAAATGTTCCTGCAAGGGTTCGAAATCAACCTGTGCAGCCTATGAACCCAGACCTCTCTGCAAGTCTTGGCGGGAAGGTCTGCAACGGCAAGTACCCGGAACTACCAATGCTTGCAGCCCTGGGAACCAGGCGCGCACACACACACACACACACACCGCACAGCAAACAACGCAACAAATACTCACAGTACACTCCCTTGCTGCCGTGTGCAAAGTTGATTTGCGCAGCGCTGCGCTTTCTGTAACTCCAGCAACGATAACGGGACCCAAGCCAAGGCATCTTTTCGGCAGTGGCCCCTGAGCAGCCAGGTTTTCACAAGCTTTCTTCAGTTGGGCAAGAGCTGAGGCGGCCACAGCGCTTCCAGTGCAGCAGAGGCATGCCCAGCAGTGGCCAGCAACCCAGCCGACAAACCTTTTCAGCAGGCTTCGGCTACATTCCGACTGCGAACGTTATAGGAACGCCCCATCGCCTTTCACCACATCCTGGAGCCCAGGGGATTCTGCCAGTGCTCGCGTGCTTCGAAGCAGCCACGCGCAGGCACCTCGCCGTGCCACACCACCCCTTGTGTGCACAGAGGCTTGGCCTCTTAGTGAGGTACTCATATCTCTTCGCCGCTCGGCTTCGCAAAGAACTGCAGAGAGGCCTGGCATAGCTGGCATAGCTCAGGGCCACAGGCTTCCCCTGCACTTTGTGTGCTGCCGCTTTCCTCGGCGTTTTTCTCGAAACTTTGCGCATGGAGCTGAAATCGATGCGTGAGACAGGCCAAGGATTGTCCAGGAATGCCTCACAGTTTTTGCAAGGCCCTGACCATCCTGTGCAATCGCTAACTCAAGCGGCGAGGTTATCAAGCAACGTATTGATTGCCCGATCAGCTATCCAGTCAGCATCCTCCAGCGCGACCTGTGCCACAGCTGCATCCACCCCTGTGAAGCTCACGACCGCCTCACAGAGTCAGAGCAAGGCTTGAGCCGTCACTTGGGAAACGGGGACCCTCTGGCACGCAAGCCCCTCCTCGATCTTCCGTTGCCGTTCCTCTTCCTCCGACAGCCTGGGCCAGATTCAAGCACTGGGCCCCCGAACCTCTCTTCATTGACGATCTTCGGAGACCAGGAAGGAAATGAGCCCTGAGACCTCCTGTGCCACAGGGCCGACATTCCCCACTGCTAATTTCTTTTCGGAAGGACCTGCCGAAGCAATGACGTAGTGAGCCTATGACACTCAACCCCTCTACAGTAAGAACTGCGACCGACTCAGATTGCCCTGGCTTTATCTATCTTTTTCTAAACTTTCCAATTCCGTTTACGACTAAGGAACGAAGGGCGGGGGATGGGTGGGACCACTAAGGCTGCAAGTGCTGCAAGCAAGGGGCGTCCGCTCGAGGCGGGGCGGAGCGGGCGCGACAGCGGCCGCGAGGGGAGGCGCAGGTCCCGGGTGCCTCGAAGCAAACCAAAGAACAAACGCAACAGGCTGAAGAGCAGCGCTTCTGCTATTGTCGGCTTCGTGCAGGACGCAAGCACAGCCCTTGCCAGGGGCCTGGAGGCGGCAGTGGGTGGCAAAAGCTCACCATTCGCAAATCTCTCCTCTGCCTTCAGGCCGAATATTTCAAGCGGAAAGCATTGAAAGCACTTGCAAGCAACGAGAAAAAAAGTTTGGGAGACACAAAATGCCTCTTGCTGGCTCAGCCCGGATCGCACCAGGCGCTGCACCTCGAAGGCCCTCTGCGTCCTGCGGGGATTTGCGTTGGGAGCTCTCTGTGAGCTGGGAGAGTTGAGGGGATGGGGTTGCAAATGGTTGCAATGTGTCAATGCACTCTTTTGACCGTGCTTCACTTCTTCTCCTTTCCATGAGCTCTGCTTCATCTAGCTCGGGCATGGGGAGCGGTGACAGGGCCTCTGAATGCAAACAGGGATGATAATGGTTGTGATGTGTCATGGCAAAAGGTGCAGCAGTTGGGAGGCTGGGAGCCTCGGGCTCTTCCTTCCCTGATGGCACCGGTCCTTCCTGAGACGCTGCGCGCGTCCCACGGCCCAGTGTGATATTACAACTCAGCAATTACTCACATGCACTGCACGATTGAAATATGCTTTCAGTTTGGCCGTGCGTCTGACAAAGCGGTCAGCAGCTCCTCATCCTCGGGCGCCTCTTCCTCCTGCCAGCGTGCTCTGCTCAGACTCGAACAATTGCTCAGCACATCTCAGCACTCTCGTCATCACAGCTCCTGGACGCTCAGCATGCTTCTGTGGAGCTCCTTGGTTATCATGTCCCCATCCTTCAGAACCTTCGCAATCGACACACTTCTGTTTAGACTGTGGCTAGCACAACTGCGGAAGCCTTCTTGGGAAAGGCCATGCGAAGATATATGCCCCACGGCAATGCCGACTTCGCCCAATCACTGTCCAGGGCAGCGAGGGTGAGACATGCAATCGGGGCCCCTTCCGCATAGGCACCTTGCCAGAAAAACAAGTATGCCAAGGCCAAGGCCCGCATATGAGATCAGAAGTAGGTATAACAAGACTCCAGCCTTTGATCTGCGAGCCATCAGGCAGGCGCAGCGCGACTTCGATGCTTCCGCTGGCACCTGTCCAAGGAAGACCGGCAGAAGGACACGACGTGGTAATCATGTTTGCTGCTTCCAGACATGACCAAGGAGGAATCCACCTGACTAAATATGTTTATTCTATTTATTCTACTGAGTCTACTGCAGTTGTTCAGGGTCATGTACTCCACGAACTTTGAGACCAAGGGGAAGGGGGGGGCTTCTTGAGGTCGCAACCTTTGCAAGCCTTGACCTTTGGGGAGCCGTGCATGAGATTGCCCGTGAAGGAAATCAAGCGACAAGAACGTCACATGCGGCCCAATTTGTCACTGGCCGAGAATTACCAGGGTCAACGACAGGCACTCGTATGGCCTGCAAGGGCTCCCTTTACTGTTCCAAGACTTGCCCGGGCCATGCTCCGATTTCAACTGCACAATGCTCTGCTTCATTGCTGTTTCTTTCGAGTGGGGGATACACAGGTTCTTCTAGGCCACGAGCCCGGCAAGGTGATCCCTTGAGTCACTTGAGCTTCCTGGATGATGGGGACGTGGACTCATTGCTTGTTTCACATTACCAAAAATGGAGCTTGAGGGCTTGGACTTTCGAGGTTACCTGAAAATGGAAAGGAAGCACAGCCGCCGCCTGCTCCTGCCACTTTGGCCACCTCCGCGCGCAGTGCCACAAAACGGCGCTGTCGCGCTGCCTGGCGCCTGTCTGCCAGCTCCTGATCGTTGCTGGGGCGGCCTCTTGAGCTGCCTGCGATCAGATTCTCTCCTGCTTCTTGATGGAGGACTGGTCACGCTTCAGCTTCAGATCTTCGATCACACGTCGCTGGTACTCCTCATCAGCACACAAAGCTCGATCGCTGGCAGCTCAGCATAAGCGCTTCATGTGAAGAAGAAAGCTGGAAATCCATCTGGGCCATCAACCTAGCTTGTGATACTGTCCTGCTTTGCGGCTTCGTCCTCAAGATCCGGGGCTGGCACGAAGTCTACCTGAAGCATGCTGAAGTGCTGCCATTGCAGGGTCAATGCTGTATGCGAGCGAGCGCAAATCAGAATAGCGAAAGGCCGAGGTTTTCTTTTGCAAGATTTCGTCAACTACAGCATCACAAAATCATGGCCCAAAGCATGCATCGGAGCGTGCATCGAAACATGCCTCACCTTGAACTCAAAGTGATGTTGGACATCGGTGTCCTTAGAAGACTTGCGCAGGTCCACGTTTCCATGCGCTTCCGGCCCGCTCAACAGCCAGTTACAACTGCCGGACAGCGGTTTTGTCAGTTTTGTCAGGCAGCAATGATTCTCACAGCACCACGAGGGGCCACGGTGACAATTTGCACGTTGAAAAACCTTGCCCGACTCCAACAGACCCAATGCACATGTTACCAGGAATGTATCCTGACAGGGCGACCAACCTGTCTGTGGTCCGAATCTTAAGGGCCTCAATTTGCCACCGTGGTGCTTGCCGTCAACATCTATTGGGACAGCGGTGTCCTGCATGCTCTTAAGACATCCGCGCTTCCACAGGCAACATCGGCATTAGCTCACATTGGCTCCCAAAGCATTACAGTAGGAACTGTTGCATGAGTCCTCTGTGAGGGCACTGAATCGGGAGAGCGAATTCGTCAGCAGCGACTGGATCTCACAACCGCTCTGTCGCACGGCCTCATAGAAGTCGACACCGTGCGGTTGAACTTTCACCTTGCACGCCATTGTCCATGCACGTGATTTCTAGTGATTCGACACATGTTCAACATTGTGACACTTCTTCTCGCAAGGCCGTGGAACCTTAAGCCTTCAAGATCCCAGATGTCATGAACGACCCTCCAAGCCGCTCTCTGAGGATCGCCGAGCTGCGGAAGTGATCAGGTCCAGCTCTACTCCCCGAACACGGACCGCCTCACGCCTAAAACCAAAGTGCATCAATGCACCGCAGTTGTGGGGAACTTGCTCCTGCAGCCAGATGGCTCATCAATGCCAAGGTCGTCCATGACCCATTTGGGCATGAGAACATGCATCTCAGGCAAACCGTTGACGAACTCGAAGATTGCACCTCAACTGTAGCATTGCATGGTAAAGCGAGGTGCTGCACCCCGACGTTCTTTTTGATCTCAGGTTGCGGCAGTGCGTCTTTCTGCCGACACGCGTGGTCACTTCGAAGGTCAATGGGAGGCGTAAGTCCTCCCGTGAATAGATCTCGTTGGCATAGGAGAATGGGAGCCCGATCTTGTCAGTGGCCTCCAGCCTCCGTTGTTGCACATGCACTTGTTGCTAGCATGCGCTGGAGGAGCAGAATGCCTGGAAAGGTCGCCCAAGAATGGCGCGGCTTCTTTCGCAGAAAGCACGGTCATGCCATCTTTGCAGAAACCATTCACCGTTGGGAAGAGCTCCGACTGCAAGCCTTACAAGGAATGCACCTACTGGCCCAGGCACAAGTAAGTGCTTCAGCTACCCCCCCGCAACGCGCAATTTCTTGTGCAAGGCGTGTAGAAAACATGCTGACCAGCAAGTGCGCCAGTTCTGTTCAGTCCATCAAACAGAAAGCTGAAGCCAACAGGAGTCAGGTGCAGCTACGGGGATGGAGTGCGCAAGGGCCCAACCGAGCTGCAAGCATCCACAACCACGTGTCCATAATGCACCGCAATTCAGACCATCAGATTGGATCAACCCAATGTTGGATGCCGCACCGAACCAGCATTCTTCATGCAAGGCCACCCTGTGCAGATCTCTGCATGTTTCAACTAAGTCCAGCCACGGACGAGTTGAACTGCAGCCTGCGGGTACTCCTGCATGATGCCGAACAGATGCAAGAAATGCAAGCTGTGAGCCATGGATGCAATTTTAGGACAAGCGCGTGCAGGCCAAGCGAGATAAAGTCTTCAGTTCTAGCGCAGATGAATTGAAGGCTTTATGGACTCAACCACGGCACCAAACGGAATCGACGCACAAGATAGTGCAGGGATGCGTGAGCCCACAGCGAAAAATCAGAACTTCATCTCTGTCATGATTTTTCCCAACAGCGTGAGCTCTTCGGTCAAATTTAAGAATTGGGGCAGATTAGGGGCGGGCTCTTATCCGTCCGGGCCGGGTTCCGGGGAGTTCGGCTGGGGGGGGGGGGGGGGGGAAGGGCGGGTTTCGGGGAAGGTTCGGTGGGCGGGTCCCGGGCGCCCGCCGGATGCATTCGACAACGCATTCACCAATGTTGCGCTCGAAACAAAGTTTTTCTGCAGGCTGCTGCTACTCCCATGACAGAAACCCATTGCCATCACAGGTCCTTCTTGATGGCGACTGTTGTGTAGGCTTGAATTCCCGAGTCAAGTAAAGACTGCCTCGCAGGGGCTCAACAAGTGGAAAACGCCGAGGCGCTGCATGATAAAAACTGTGGACTCCACACTTCGATGGCCGAAAAGGGCTCAACATCCGTTTGCCCACCAGTTGGGGAGTGGAGGAGTTTCGGAGTTGAGGAGTTGGGAAATTTTGGAGTTGAGAAGCTGAGTCGAGGAGTCTAGGGTGTCAGTAGTCTTGAACCGACTTGAATTCTCATCTTTCGCCGCCTCACATCCTGCAACACCACAAGCATCGCCGTGACCGGATTCCAACCCGGAGACGCCAACGCCATACCTCGGTGTAGAGCTTCACTAGCTTGTCACTGGCCGCGTTCGAGGGCGGCTGATTCGGCTGATTGTCCAAGGACATCCGGGTTCCAATTAATGCAAAACAAGGCTCTGCAAACTCTGCCACCAAAAGTCACTGCTCCTCGGGCAGCGACTGAGATGCGGGAAGCTGACAACTGAAGAGCGTGAAGAGTGTGGCTTTCATTTCCAGGGGTCCTGCATGCTCTGCAGAGTGACGCATCCTGGGGCGCCGCAGCCAAACTTCCGGAGGGCTCAGAGGGTATTCCGCCGGAAAGCGGACGCCAAGAGTCAGCTTCTTCATCTCCGGGTCAAACATGCTGTCCTTTCTTTGAAGGTGATGCAGCACGCATGACGTCATGACGCGCGAACAATGGCAACCCAAGAGCGTTTCGCGAAAAGCACATCACGACATGATGCGAGCACAACGACATGTTGACTGGCAAAAGGCAAAAGGTATCAGAAGATGGCAAGATGCTGCCAGGCTGTCGAGGCTCTTCTGCAAGGCAGACTCTGGAGGGAAGACCATGTCAACATCCCAGTCCTCGCCGACTTAACATGCACTGCTTGACATCCACGAACCGTCACGACACTTTGACACCCGAGGACAGAAGGGTCCAGCATGTTACCGTCCACCGGCTCGCAGCGAACAAGGCCAGGTGCTTCACCCGCAGAGATGGCGGACTGAACTTTTTTGAACCTCGACTCGGGGCAAAGCAACAACTTCTGTACAGCCCTGTAAGGTGATGAAAAATTAAGTTAGGTTCTCCGCAATCCGCAACGTGCAGAAATTACCCGCCGTGTGCTGGGCGCACCGCTCCACCAGCAGCCGCTTGAAGTGCAGCTGCGGCATCGTCGCGAGCGGCGTCAGATTCCATCTCAATCAATGGCTCAAGTGGCCGGCGCCTTTGAACCATCGCGAGGGCATTGCCAGCGTGTCTCATGACTCTGCTGTCGTCTGTCTGTGAGACACAGGGATGTGTGCAAAAACTTTTCCCTGTCTCGAACGCGCACATCTCCTCCTGGCGCCATATGACATATGTACAACATCGAGCCGGCAGCGCTGCCTGTACATGTCTCAGCCCGTTGCGTTCAGCACGTGCGCGCAGACCTAGCTGCCAGAGCCGCCCACTGCATCGTCAGCGGCTTCCCTGGCTGGATCACCTGCAGGGCCTCTCCTCCCCTGCTGCAGAGGCCTCGCCTCCGCCTCTTCTTTAGTTTCTTCAGCCCAAACCTTTGCATTTAAAAAGTCGAGCTTTGAGCTACTCTCTTCTTCCTCTTCTTCTCCTTCTTCTTCTTTTTATTATTCTTCTTCTTCTTCTTCTTCTTATTCTTCTTCTTATTATTCTTCTTCTTGTTCTTCTTCTTCTTATTCTTCTTCTTGTTCTTCTTCTTCTTCTTATTCTTATTCTTCTTCTTCTTATTCTTCTTCTTATTCTTATTCTTATTATTATTCTTCTTCTGCTTCTTCTTATTCTTCTTCTTCTTCTTCTTCTTCTTCTTCTTCTTCTTCTTCTTCTTCTTCTTCTTCTTCTTCTTCTTCTTCTTCTTCTTCTTCTTCTTCTTCTTCTTCTTCTTCTTCTTCTTCTTCTTCTTCTTCTTCTGCTTCTTCTTCTTCTTCTTCTTCTTCTTCTTCTTCTTCTTCTTCTTCTTCTTCTTCTTCTTCTTCTTCTTGTTCTTCTTCTTTTTCTTCCTACTTCTTCTTCTTCTTCTCAGCGAGTGTGAAGGTCAAGAAATCTCCCTCCTCCCCAGTCGGCATGATACTGTCCAGGGCACTTAACATCTCCTCGCACCCCCGCGTGTAATTAGTCGGTGTACGGAAGGCACTCTCTCTGTCTCTCTGTCTTTCTGTCGCTCTGTCTCGCTGTCTCTCTCTCTCTCTCTCTTTCTGTCTTTCTTTGGGGCATGGGGAAACCCCCGCGCGGAAGTGCGCCCCGATCCCGCATCCAGTCGGCACTACCACACGTGGCGGTCTTTGTTGACCGCCACAGCACGCCTTACACCTGATCGGGGCCTGGTATCCACCCATGATGCTTTTCCCAGCCACGCCCCTCTGCTCGCCACTAGCTTCCGTCTGAAGCCTAGCCCCCACATACCTACCTGACTATGCTCTAGGGACGACATTCCGTTAGAGACTCCCTCTCTATCTCTCTCTCTCTCTCTCTCTCTCCCTCTCTCTCGTTTTCTTTCACTTCGGCTTGGAAGCCCGCTGTAATGGCTCATGTATGACAACGTGTGACATGTAAGCGTTGCAGCTGCCGCCTTCAACTTTGGTCGAGGGAGTCGAGCACGCTGTTGACAGCCAGCTCCTCAATCCACTGATTGTCCTCCAAGGCTTTCTTCGCCACTTCCCGGTCGGCCCCAGTAAAGGCCACGACAGCCTTGAACAGAACGCCCACGAAAAGAATGAGCAACACACACACACACACCCACCCAACAACGCCTCGATGCGCTTCTCCTTCTCGTCTTCTTCTTTCGCATCCTCCGCCCTTCACTTGCAGCTAATACAAGAACAAAGCACTACCGTGTAGCAGCCACTAGCAACCTGCTCAGCACAGGAAATCCAGGGGCCAGACGGCGAAGTGGCTCCCTTGGGCGATGACCCCGGCAAAGCTCCTGGTGGTCGTGGCTCCGGGCGCCTTTTATCAGCTGCGCAGAAACAATGATGCAAAGCAATGGCTCAGGCTTCCACATCACTCTCTACCGTGCACCTGGATGCTGCTGTCGGCGGCAAGATCTCTCCTGCCTGGAACTTCTGCTCGGCCTAGCCACCACGGAAAGTTCTACTGCACTGGTGTAGCAGCCCGCATTTCTTGCCCAGAATTGTTGCAAGAAAGACGTGTTCGACTGAACACCGACTCATGCAAGCAGAACAACACGTCTGTCAGAATCCATTGGGTGACAAAGCAGCACAATCAACTCAGCTCTTTCTCCCGGGTGTGGGTTGTGACAGGAACTGGATCACGTCTTGTATCAATACGTGGGCTTCGCAAGTTCTCCGGTGGAATGCTAGAGGTAGCTCCCACGGTTCGGTGAACTCCTGGTTTTTCTGGTTGTGTTCTGCTCTGTCAGTGAGGTGGTGGAGCGGGCACGCGCCCAGATTTCGTTTCGTCCATTGAGGCCACCTGGATCGTGGAGCGTCTGCATGAGTAACATTAGAAACAATGGCAATAGCAATCATGGTCATAAAGCTGTTCGGGTGCAGAAGCTTGATTTTATGCTAAACGTGCGTTTTGACGCGCATCCCCTGCTCCAATGACGACATGCACTTGTTCATGTAGAGCAATGATTTGGGCCGGTACAGCATGTGTGATTTTGAATATTTTTGATGCATCACTTCGCATGAGCTCTCCAACCCCGACTCTCCGTGGACTTGCAAGACAGGCCCAGCTGCCGCATGCCGCCGAGGCAGCCCCCACTCGCACTCACAACAATGCCTCCTCCAGGCTGAAACCGGCGCGCAGGAAGCGCTGCATCTCGAAGGCACGCTGCGTCCTGACAAAAGCAACAACACAACAAAGTGGCACGAGTCGCACGCAGTCTGACGCACAGAAGCGAGCACACCCGCGAGCACACCCCAGGAGGCCTCGACAACAGTTCGCTTTCGTCCCGCTCCGGCACTGGCAATGGCGCTAGTTCCTCTGCCCACTGACACTCGTCAGCGCACAGCATTGCAGAGCAGAAATGTCACCAAAGGAAGGCCTCGGGCATCGTACCCGCAGCTCTGGACTTTTTTGGCGACGGCGCATCCTTCAGCGCAGTCTGCTGCTTTGTCTCACTCCCGAATTGCACTTGCTGGATGCACCCACTTAGCAAGCGGCGCGAAGAACGGCAAACAACTCCTCATCCTTCTCCGGTGCCTGCTCTTCCTGCAATGCGAACAGAGCTTATGAAAATGTCTATTATTCGACAATGATTATAATGGCACCATCGTGAGGAGCCAGAGTCCTGCACGCTGAGCGTGCTCCTGTGAAAATCTTTTCCGATGACATCGTCACTCGTTAGCACCTGATCCAGACTGCAAGAATCAGAACGGGAGCAATCTGTGAGCAGCCCAAGGCTTCTGGGCCTTCTTCGGGAAAGCCATGCGGAGGTAAACGCCCCAAGGCAGTGCTGCTTTGGCCCACGAACTCTCTAAGGCCGCCAGCATCAAGCAGGCCACCGGCGCACCCTCGTGGAACTTGCCTGTTTCGGCTTGCCACTACTGCGGCACAACTACCTACGTACGTCCTACTACATACTAAACATATCTAAGCATACTTCCACACCCACCTGGTTGCTCCCAACCGTGTCCAATCCCCAAACAAGTAAAAAGATGTTTGGATGTTTCTGTGCACCTTTAAGCTGTGACCCATCGGGCATCCTGAGGCCGATTTCCACCGTGCCATCACCTGGCCACTTCACTTTGAATTCTCCACGTCTGAATCACATTGAAGACAGACAAAAACGCAGTCATGCAGTTCTATGTGGTTCATACGTCCACATGCGCCATGTCGGCCCCATCCATGCTAGAAACCGAATTGCCAACCAACGACTGCTCTCGGATGTTGCTTTCGCGGACGCGGACGACACCAAGTCCTTGCAAGGAGCGTCGCCGAGATCAATTGGAGGATCGCTACTTCATCTACTCCGTGGCACTCCTCGTAGCGCTTCTGTCGAGCTTCGCGCCGACGGTCTTCTATCTCCTGGCTGCTTAAAACTGAGCTGCACTTTGTGGCCCTGGTCGTGACCCATGCGGTGGTCCTGACGCCCAGCAGCCGAGCGCTCCCGGCGCAGCTTCAAAGATTGGAGAGCTCGATCCTGGAACTCCTGGGCAAAGCTAAAAGCAGGCAAAGAGGAGGATCTTAGCCGATCTCAACGAGCAGGGCCGCTGTAGAACGTAGAGATGCTGAGTAGCAGGCCTTTGTAGCTGCTTCATCCTCCAGATCAGGAGCAGGCTCGAACTCCACCTCACGACAGTCGCAATCGGCACGTAACGTAGAGCATCATTGACAGATATTGAAAGCCTGCCTTGAACTCAAAGTGATGCTGTACATCCATGTCCTTGGACGTTATGGTCGTTGCTCCAACGGCAGCTAGCACATCACGGCTGCTGATGCTAAGCTGCAATGATGCGAACGGCACCATGCGGCTCCACTGTGTTCACCTGCACCTCATAGAGCCTTATCAGAGGCCACACATGATCACGCATAAAAACGCAAGTAACAAGATCTCGCTCGAGACCCTGTCTACCACTTATGCTACAGGCTTACCGTGGCTTGCCGTGGCTTACTGTGGCTCGCCTGCCGCTCACCTCAATGGGCACCGCGGTGTCCTGACACCCATGCACGGGAAATCATGGGAACGTGTTTGAGAAATGGCCGGTTTCAAAAACAGGTTCTGTACGGTCCTCGGTAAGCGTGCTGAAGCGTGAAAGGGACTCTGTGAGCAGCTCCCGCACATCGCGACCACTGTCCCGAACAGCTTGGTAGAAGTCCACGCTGTGCGGTTGAACCTTCACCTGGTTGCAGGGTCGACCCCAGCATCTGAGTCGCTGAGTTGCAGAGACTTGCCGAGGCCGTCTCAGTGCAGTGCAGCAAAGGCACGGCAGTGACAAGATCGAGAGAGACACCCCGCACCCTCAAGGGTTCTCGCCTTGGCAAGATATTGCAGCGATTGTTGGAGCGAGCAATATCCTGGCAGAGAAAGGCAATCTTCAAGACGAGTGGCTCATCGATCGCGAGGTCCTCCATAACCCACTTTGGGATCAGTACGTGGTTCTCCGGCAAACCATCTATGAACTCAAAGATCGCACCTTTGCATCTCAAGAACAACAAGTAAACAAGAGAAAGTCACACCTGAGACAGACTTGGCAGATTTATGAGCCAAACATTAATTCGCAGCTGTGGGCGCAATGAGTCTTTCGCCCCAGAAGTGTTTTAAGCTCAAAGACCATGGGCAAAACCAATTCCGCGCCCAATTCAGCACGTTGGTAAATGTCATTCCTTAGTCTCTGCCGTTTCTCATGTCCACCCCTGTACTCCGAGTGTGAATCGTGCGCAGACCATGAATAATCACACATTGAGAGCACCCTTTAAACCCTGAGCATGCTCTTGTCACTCTTGTCATCTCGAAGTTTCGCATAAGCGAAAGGCAACCCGATCTTGTCGGTGGCCTCAAGCCTGCGGGAATGAAGGGCGATGCCCAAGTGGGGCCCACTCTTGACAGGAAAGATGAAGCTGATGAATAGCTAGGGTTGTTATGCCTCATGGTCTTTTCATGTCATGCCTGGAGAGGTCGCCCAGGAAGGCCGAAGCTTCGAGGGGGGAAATGGCCGTCATGCCATCCCGACAGAAGCCATTGACCGTGGGAAAAAGCTCTGTGTTTAGACCTCAGCCAAGGTTCAGCCAAGCAATATTCCGGGGGAGGACTCCGGGCTCTTCATGGCTCTTCGTAGAGGCCCGTCCCAGGAAGGCCAAGCGGCGCTGCAGTTGGATGGCAGCTTTTGGATATTCCTTCGCGCTCTGGAAAAGCAACCACACTGCAACCGCACAAGAATGCCGCCCTTGCTGTCACACGTGAGTATATGGGGCCTTTTTGATGCTGACGGTGGTGTTGGCCTCGATACCAGACTCCACCAGGCTTTGCTGCACCTCTTTGAGTACGGCGAGCATGGAGGTCCCCGGCTGCCAGCCCGCAGATGCCAGAAGCATACCTCGTCTGAAGGAGCTCTACGAAACGACGGGAGTTGGATTGCAGCTCTATGTTCTCTATGAGCATGGCCGCCAGGCCCCGAAGCGAAACATTGTAACAGTGTCAAAATGTCAAGCACAAGTGTAGGCTGGCACGACAACGTCGGCTTTGGTATGCTTTAGTGCTTCAACGGCACTGCAAACGCGGCCACCAAAGGTGACCGGACCTGGCAGGGCGCCGAATCGCACAACCCCGACCTGCAAACGGTTGTTGAGTCCTTCACTGAAGGATACTGATACATTTGTCTTTGCCGCTTCCACTGCCTGACTGACCAGATCGATATCGCATGCGTGGCCGCCGTACCCAAACTTCCGGTGGACTCATGGGAAACTCCACGGGGAAACGTATGCACAACGTTAGCTTGTTCAAGCTGTTGTCGAACATGCTGGCCTCAGCTGGTGCGAGCCGGTAAGCCGTGTAAGCTTCAAGCTGCAGCCATTTCGATGGCAGATGCTTGGGCAATTCCTCCAACAAGGCTATTGGTCGCATTTTGCCGCAAAGGCGCAGCAAGATTTTCCAAGCTTTTCTGCAGAGCTGAGTCCGCAGGGAACGACATCTCCACCTCCCACTCCTGGTGCTGAGGTGTTGGTAGTATGGTTGGAGTGCGGCCAGCGAAACGAGCATACAGAACTGTTAGAAATGTGCGTTGTTTTGGCTGGCAAGACTCCATGAGATTGTCATCAACAGGCTCACATCTGTGAAAGCTTGGCACTTCGCCAGCAGCTATGCAAGACTCCACCTGCTTGAACCTGGCAGAGGGCCAACTCAAACTGTTCCAACACTGGACATGTTGAGGAATGTGCCACATCTGCATGAAAGTTCCAGTCCAAGGAGCTCGACTATAAGGCGCTTAAAGTTCAACTTTGGCATCTCCGGACCGCGAGGGGCCTCGCCCTGTAGGCGAACAGTCCGTTCATTTCCTGTGGAAGGATTGATCTGGACCATTCCTTGTGATGTCGAAATGCAAAGTGACTAAGTAAGAGCCAAAAAGCGGCTTTTCTCCTTCCGGGGCCAAGAGGCGCTTGAGGCTAATCTTGTAATACTGGCCTTGAGCGAAGATCTCACCTTAGGGGTAAAGAATTGGGGCCAAAGCCGCAGCTCTCTTGACTGCTGTGGCATGAGCTTACAAGCTCGGCAGATGCTTGGCATTGCTTAAAGCTTAGCGGCATTCTTCCTGCCCCTTCTCCGCGGCAGTCCGCAGGACTGCTTGGGACTCGTCGTCATACCTAATCCAGCCCATGTCGGTCCTCACCTTTCACGATTTTGATCAAGCCATGCACGCTGCAAGCTGTGCACATGCAATCGGCATGCCTGGTAACCGGGAGCTTCCGGCTTTGCCTTTGCAACTTCTTTCTCAGGCTTTGTACCTGCATCCTGCACCGGACAAGACGCCCTTGGCACTCTCACTCTCCTACGCGCGATTTGTCCGTGTACCGAGCCTTTGTCTTCTCCTGCTGCTTGGGCTTTTCTTTCTCTCTTCCTGAGGCAGCCCTTGTGAACAAGTCTCCACTGGGTAGGATCATGAATCATAATAGGTCATAGACTGTTCTGTTACGTGCCTCTTCCGATAGCTGATGTATCAAAAGATGTGAAGGATTGGACGGCAGAGCGCAAGGAACGAAGCTCTCGGAGTTCTGCAGCCAGGGCCTGCGCCCCAGAACGCTGCTGAGCTGCTTCTGCTGCTTACATGCCACCGCAGCATTCAATTTCATTGAAAACACACGGAGAGGGAAGCTTCTGGCCTCTCTGCTGGCCTCCAACTTTCGCAATCTCTGAGCGTCTGCTCGTGTCAGGCCGTTGTCCTGTAGGCGCTGTCAGGCGAACGGGAAACCCTAGCCTAAGGCTCTTAAAATGTGACCCTTCTCGGAGCTTGCGCTGCCTTGGATGTCTGGGTCTGGCCCTTGCCCTCGCGACCCGCACCAAGAGCTTCAGCGATCCAGCCACGTAAAGTAGCAGACTGTCGAGAGGCGAAATAGTCCCTTGGCTAAGTGTGCCGAACCAGGCAAAGCCTGCTGTGACCCATTGTGACCCCGATGCTCTGACACTGCAAGAGTCAACAAGCTGACGGGATGCTGGTTCTGCAGCGTGCCCAGCAACGCCAGGTAGTTGCCTTGTGTGGGATGAGTTGCGCACTAGGCAAGCCATGCCTAACTTCCTTCTGCTGATGCCCAAGGCACCCTGGTCACTGGCATAGAACTGCCCGGACTGGTATTCTTTTCGCATGTTCGTGACCACTTGGAAAATTCCTCGCATGGACGGGCAGAGGCTTCAACAACATCCTAAAAACGGTGGAATAATTCTGAAAGCCTGACCAGCGCACAAGGCACCGCAACTCCTCTTCTCTACGCTTTGCCAAGGCTCGGCTAGCAAGCTGCGTGGTGACCTCATTCTCGTCGGCACAATTGAAGATGGCCGTGTTGAGCCTGGTGCCAAACACAAGGTCCACAAAACAAGCCTTTCAAGTAAGTCAAAAAGCAAGACGTGCCTCCAAAGATCCTCGCCAGCAAAATGGCGGTTGGCCTTTTCCAGCTCTGCTACCACTTCCTGACTCCAGTCTCCACTCGGGCCACAGGTCAAAGCAAACCGAAACTTAAACAGGGACACCAGCAAGAGCACAGTGCCCTCGGCCTCAATGGACATGGCTCTGACCAAGCGCTACTAAGCAGTCTCTGCCACGGGCTGTGTTGCTTGACTTGCCCACGTGTGTGGCCTTTGTCTTACGACCGCGTAGAGATACGAGCCCATTCAAGCGAGCGGTGTCCGTGTGCTCCACTTTGCCGCAAGATGTGTCAAGCATGCTTCGTGGTTTCGAGAGCTTCGAGCTTCGGGGTGGTTCCTGAGTTCTGACATGTTCTGAGTGTTCAGCAGTTCAGCATGTCTCGAGCCCCGTTGAAACAGCATCCAGAGACATATCGCCATCAACTCTCACAGCCTCCTGCCGACTCAGCATTGTCGTCGAATCTCCGTCCCAGCGGCTCACACTTTCTGTGAGGCTTCGCCCCACAGAAGACTCCCTCGTGGAAGCAGCCTTGCGGATGCTCCAGTGTAGATGGACTCAGTGGACTCACGCGCAAGCGCCCTCCGTCTCTGAGCCAGCACCTGTCGATGCGACCAACCATCGACCCAACCGAATTCAGTGTAAACACGCCAGAAATACAACCGAAGCGGGGCCCTCCTTTTTCTCGTTTGCTACGTGCACGTCGGGCAACGCCACTCTGGGCGCAGCGGTCAACAACCGCAGTGGTCATGACTGCAAAAGTGGCCCTCAGATTTGAGGTGACAATTCGGCACGAGATGGTTCAACGCGCACCAGCACAAATGTCAAAGTCACATGGATCCAGGTAGATGATTTCGACGAGAAGCATGGATAATGCTCTTTACATGCTTAGCACCTGATGGAGCGTACCGCATCAGCGACCTCGTGCATCGTGTGTTTAGCTGTGCATGAACAAGGACCTAAGCCAGTGTGGCAGTTAGCAGTGTTGCAATAGTGCAGTCGCACTACAAAACTAAATTCGGCAGACTGGCCTTCCGCAGGCTTTTGGCCAGCTACGAAGAGCCAGAGCATCTGTACTGTACAGCAAACCTTCGCAAACAGGCGCTAAGTGTCTCTGAAAGGGGAGAGCAGCTCCCTGTTGCGAAGTACTGGCTGCGAGAAGCATCCGTGTGAATGTCACAACCATCACGAAGCAGGAAGCCATGACTTTCTCACAACTCTTCATCTGCCAGCGTGTGATCCAAGAGAGTGCCATCTTGCAGGAATGTGCTCCCCCGAAAACCTGCAAACTGGATGCATCATGTTCTGTGATTATTTGGTGGTGCTTTTGTGATGTTTACCTTTTCCGAGGACATTTGAAAACCCAAGAACAAATTGAAGTGTTCAAAGTCTTCTCGGAATCTTCAACCACTTTCGGCAAGCCACGGCGGTGCTTTCTGCTTTCAGGAGCAAGGCCGGGCATCTCTGCCAGAGTTGCAGCAGGCCGGCACTGCGAATACCAAACGCTTTCCTCAGCAGCGGGATCTGGTTTCAACATTCCTTCTGCGCATGGTTGCCCCCCCCCCCCCCCCCCAATCGCACTTCAGATTTCCAGTTCGGATACCAGCTTATCGTCTAAGACTTCCACGTGAATGCACCATGAATTGACAGATACCCACACTACCTGACCGGGCTTGTCATGCACAGGCTTGACCAAGCCGCAGCAAAACAGACGTGTCCATCTTCGCAACAGGTCGGCCCATCCCAGTTTTGGCCGCCGCAAGCTGCCCAAGCCCTGGAGCAGGCTCGAGGCGATGAAGTCGTAGAAGTAGATGGGGCCTGAGGTGATGGGAACATGTTCCACACATGTAGCAAAACACCTAGCAGCCAACAGGGTTTTGCAGCACTCAGGTCTGGACCCCGGGTGAAGTGTAAGTGTAGCATGAGAAGCCAGGAACGTCAGCGCTGGCTTCAATTGCCCTTACCCATACTTCACACCGTCCCCTCTTCGAATGCTCGATGCCACGACAGTCCTCGTTGAGTGCACACTGAACCTTGCACTCGTCGAGGGACATTCTAAAGAAGACCGAGTAGTAGCCAGGAGAGTTGTCCCTGGAGCTCGCCCCACGGCAAGCTTTGTCCTCCCCGATTGGCTCGAAGGTCCCCAGCGCTGGCCGGCTTGTGGTTGATGCCTCGCCCAGGCGAAGACATGTGAACCCACGAAGGGAAATGGAAGCCTGGATGCCCTCAGGACGTGTCCAAACTTCACAGCGTCCCGAGCTGTGCTCTATGCCAACACAGCCTGCAGTAGCAATGCATTTTGCCTTGCAATCATCCAGCAAGGGCATGCCATTAAAGACTGCGTAGTAGGCCGCAGCGTTGTCTTGCGCATTTCGTCCGCGGCAAGCCCGCCCTTCACCACCATCCACAGGGGAAAACAAAGGGATGGTTGCCGAGTGTGTGGTGGTGACAGTCGTAGAAGTTGATACGGCCTTTGCACTGGACCGTTTCAGGACATTCTACGACAAGAAACCTCTGCAAAAATTCAGGCCCTCCTATTCAGGTGAAGAAACGGATGTTGTGGTTGATGGCTCTGGTGTCGTTGACGAAGAACTACCACGCGCTGCCACTGAAATATCAGCGCAATTCCAGAACTCCTCTCCGAATGTCCCGCCACTTCGGCAGCAGCTATTGCCGCAGTTGGCCCAGTCTTCCAGTATCTGTGGTTGCCATGCCGCTGCATCCCATCCGAGTGCAGCAATGCCTCGATAGTAGTCGAAGTAGTCGCCATCGTAGTAGCAGCTGTTTCCAGAAGACCAATACCACTGCAAGGTGCACCTAGCCAGCAGGAGAGTCAAATGAGCATGAGAGAGCAAAGACAATCAACCTTATGGGAGTCTCAAATTGACTGGCTTGAGCGCCTGGAGCACTGCAAGCCGGCTGGAATCTTGAACCTCATGCGATGCACTTCTGCTGAGGACGGATACGCCGGAGCCATGGAGTCATTGAAGTCCCTTCCAGCCACTGGCGTCTGTGACCCGGCTGGCGGCAGGTACCACCTCTCTGGGTGCTTCGGGTCCAAAGGTTGACAGTCGCCTCTGGGATCATTGACAACACAGTTCGCCAAAGGTGGGGCACGCTGTAGCAACCATTGGTCCAAACAGGCCTGCCCGTCCGCAGCCGAGGCCAGAGACCCTGCATCCAGTGGCTTGTCACAGATGCGGAACTCGTAGTGCCCCTGGTGATGCGTACTGACTGCCACTTGGAACTCCACCACTTCTCCCGGCTCGTACGTTGCAGTCACGGGTCCGGTTTTGAGGTAAGTTTCATCTTCAAGTCTTACAGGGTTGCTTTGTCCCTGCACGGGGTCGCCACAGAGCCCATGGGAGCCTGGAGCCAAGCGGGTCGGCCACACACCCCCTCCCCGTTCCTTGACATTGTCAGGGCCACCTCCGGTAGTTTCCAAAGAAAAATTGGCACTTCTAAGCACCCAAAAAATCTCTCATCTGAGGACTCCAAACAATGCATCCCCTAACTTTGTGGAAACACCGCGCCTGACTGCAAGCAGTGCGGGCAATCTTCACGCCCTTCCAAGTTTGCAAGTAAGTTGCGTGAAGGAGGGAGTGCCAGGTAGGAGTGGCCCACGACCGTCACAGGCACCAGCACCAGGAGCTTCATCGACATGGCGGATCAAAGGTTTTCTGACCCCTTGCCCGGCTCTCTTGTGCCAAATCTTTGGAGCTGGGCTTCTACAACCTGCAGGCCTTTCACGACCCATGCTTCATCAGCCAGGACAGAAAAGGACAAGAACGCACACGCAAGCGCCTTGATAGTGACCACCAAACAAACGACCATCGCCAGCAAAAAGGCCTGCACAGATTGTCTGGTGAGCATCACGACAAGCCACGCCCCACTGCCCAGACTCCCCATTGCATCCGATGTGCGCATTCATAGGGCGCAGGTGGTCCCAAGTCCGGAAATTGCCCAGTTGCTATGAGGAGAGCCTGACAAGTGCACTTGGCCGGCCGGCCACTACACCTCAACATGCGAATGTGTTCTGACTAGCGAGCTGGTAACGACCGAGCAGCTACCAGCATCTCAAGGAGGATGGTCCCACCAAATAGGCCGCCAAGGAAGTAGAAACTTGGATAGAAGGCACCAGCCAGTGGACGCAAGTTGAGTGTTGGAGCCTGCTTGCCCATCCACTGCCAGATTGCTCTTTGACATGTGACCCTGAAAGTGACATGCTAGGTCACACACGCGCATCACCATCACCAAATTCATCACTGCCATCAGTCGCATCTACCAAAAGAACACAGGCGGCGAAGCATCACACCACCAAAGCCAGCGTGCAACGGTTGACTGCATCATCTGACTGCAGGCAAATTGCCCTGCTTCCTTAGTCTGCGTGCACACCCCGGCCATGAACAAAGGTGTGAAGTGAGCACATAGGCTTAAGTGCCTCCGAGATTCGTCAAAGGCCTGGACCGATGCTGCGAAGCCCTGCGGCCACATGCAGTAGATCGGGGTCATGATCCCACAGCATAGGCTGCCCAGCCTCCACGGAATCTAGGATCAAAGGGGTTAAGCCTTCATCACAAGCCTGCAGGAACTTCCGGAATCTCTGAGTCGCCCTTCAACCCGTGCAAAGTCACGGCCGAGTCACAGCATCAGCACTGTGAACTGGACAGGCTCGTCGCGCAAGACATTCTTAGCTGCGCCAAGTTAAGCTGGCTTGGTGGAACCCTGCCCTTCCCTGCCCTTCGCCACATGCAGCCTCGTGTCCATCGTTTCAGCCATGGCATGACAGCAGGACGTGGCAACAGTCTTAAGACGGCACTCTGCCGCTGTTCACTATGGCCCACAGTTCCGCCCTTGTGTACTGGGCTTGAGAATGCATCACCAACATTAAGTGTAGAAGCAAGTGAACGAAAATGAACGAGAGCCTCCAAGGACTGAAATCTGAAATCTGGAGCCGGGCTGACCCAACGGGCGCAGTACGGAGGTCCTTGGCCCATGTTCGACATGGCAGCTCTTGTGCCACAGAGCTGCTGCGGTCCGTGCCGGTCCATTTCTTGAAGTACCTGCTGCAACAGAAAGATGCTGCGCTGATGAAGCACTAAGAGCAGGTAGATGCGCAGGTGCTTTCCTCCAATGCAGCTTCCCAGCGCCATGGAGCCAGAGACCAGATCAGCATCTCTGCTTCCTCTCGCCTGCACCATCGATGTGGAGTTCTGTGCGCAGACGCAGCGCAACAGGCACCAATGCACATTGCTGGTTCTGCTTTGCTGAGGCGTGCATCTTGGACAATGCTGGCAAATACCGAGTTACCGAGTTACCGAGTGGGACATCCACAGGCCATCATCGAAAGGAGTTTGAAGCTTGTCGGCTGGCACATGACAGCATTCCAAATCAATGCCGATTCCGTCGTCAAGCTTCGCAGTAGTGCCGAAGTGCTGTGACACACACACACACACTTTGGCTTGGCATGAACTGATGCTGTGTGCAATCTTAAGGGTGTTTCGGGGCATGAAGGTGAAATGAAGATTTTTTACCAGACAGGCCAGACACAAGGAATGGCATGTGCAAACTTGATGAGATGATGCAAACATGAGGTAGGGTCCTGCCTCGCTGTACCAGACTCAGAGGAATGGTACAACGCGAAATGAAGTGGAAATGAAAATGAGGGTGAGGGCCCTGCCAGCTACTCTAGACAGAGTCCAGGCACAGACCAATGCAGGTACGTTTACCTGGGGTGTGGGGGGGAGCTTCGGCGGGCAGAGCCACCCCCACACCCCCTCTGCCCCCCTGCAAATGGAAATGTCAGTCACAGCGATCACCATGTTCAGGCGTTTACACACACACACACGCCCCGAAGGGCGAAAAGGACGCGAAGAAGCAAGCAGGTGTCAGCAAGCCAGTCAAGAACAGCAACAAGAGAGGAGGCAGAGACAACAAAACAGGAACGACACCAGGAGGCAACAAGAAACGCGAAAACAACAAAACAGGGGGTCAGACAGCATCATGGGAGGACAGTCAATGACATGTCTGTTTAAGGATTCCGGATACCTTGAGCGCGTGCCTACCTGGTCCTCCTACCTGCACATGCACAGACGATCTACCTGCACTCCTAGGGAAAGCACATGTTCAGCAAGCTGTCTCTACTGATCAACCCTTGACCGCGGCCCTTGACCGTGCAGTGACCGATGATCCCGATGAAGCCCACTGTGGGCACATGTCATCCTACTGCAGATGATCCCGATGGATGAGAACAAGCGTCTGCAACGTTGTGATTCACTCATCCGCTATCGCGGGCTCGGGCACATGCCCCTGAGATCTGGCCCCATGTCGGGAAAAACCAGAACTGGTACACACTTTGGCTTGGCATGAACTGATGCTGTGTGCAATCTTAAGGGTGTTTCGGGGCATGAAGGTGAAATGAAGATTTTTTACCAGACAGGCCAGACACAAGGAATGGCATGTGCAAACTTGATGAGATGATGCAAACATGAGGTAGGGTCCTGCCTCGCTGTACCAGACTCAGAGGAATGGTACAACGCGAAATGAAGTGGAAATGAAAATGAGGGTGAGGGCCCTGCCAGCTACTCTAGACAGAGTCCAGGCACAGACCAATGCAGGTACGTTTACCTGGGGTGTGGGGGGGAGCTTCGGCGGGCAGAGCCACCCCCACACCCCCTCTGCCCCCCTGCAAATGGAAATGTCAGTCACAGCGATCACCATGTTCAGGCGTTTACACACACACACACACGATGCTTTCACGCGGCCAGTGACCAGTGCGCTTTCTCTCAGTGTGGTTCAAGTCATGGTCTCCATGTTATCACACCGATTCGACAACACACCTGGACTGGTCAAGACATGTGAGATGTCCCAGGCGGTGCGGCTTTCAAGCTGCAGGAGAACTGTATGTTCTGGCCGTGCTGCTCAAAGCATATAGTATGGCATTACCGTAGCCAAGACAGGCCTGTCATGAAGTGAGCTGAAGAAAGTTCGGCTTTGCCAGCTAGTCTGCAGGTTCGGTCAGGCGTGAAACATGCTGAGTGTGGCCAGTTGGAAATCTAGCTTGGGATGTCGAGCGCAGATGACACAAGGCCTCAAAGAAGAAAGCTCGACAAGCGAAGCCTCCGTGGCCTTGCAGCATTGCCCTCATCACAAGCTTTCAAACCAAATTGGGCTTTTGGGATGCTGGCAGCAGTCATCGACGCGCTGCTACCGTACGAAAGTGTCGCCGGTGCCTCAACGAAAAACAAACAACGATAACAAAGCTGAGAGGTGGCATGAAGCCTGGCCTGCGCTGTATTGGACAGGTCTTGCGTGTTGAAGCTTGCCAGTTGAGCGCACGTCTCTGAGATTGCCTTGTGCGGGCCAGGCAATACGCAAAAATCCGTTCTGTGCCAGAATTTCCGGTATAAGCTCCGAACAGCCAACAGCTGCCGGCCGCAAGCAGCCTGAAGCGTAAGGTTTCACATGCACGTGGCGCGGTGCACCTTGGTGAAGCTTGCTGACATGCCGAGACCCTGGCGACAGTCGTAAAACTCTAGCCAATGCTGGCAGGGCTATGCGGGTCGTATCTGCCTGCAGTCTCCGCAGCGATTTCAATTTTTCAACTCTAAACCGTCAAAACCGCACACGCAGAAGTACATATAAACATATGTCTCCCTCTCGCGCTGCAGCCACAACGTATGAACCCTGCACGCAGTTTTGCTACCGGAAGTGCGGCAATGGAGGTGGCCCAGCCATTGGCCTCGGCCATGCACATCTTTGCAGGTCACTGCCATGCCGCCGCCCTATTTCATCCGGGTACTTACGGGAAATTAACACTGGGTGAAGTGGACATGAAGTGGACACTCCTGCACTTGAACTTCTTCCCAGTAGCTGTGGGAAGCCACCTCGTGAGCCACTGTTTCGTGCAGCTGCAAGCTGCGGCCTCTTTGGCATTCAACGAAAGCTGCCGTCCTACTGTCTCTCCTCACTCCACTGATGGGAGCACAATGCACGGCAGAATGCACGCCTGGAAGAAGAATGCACACAACATAGTGCGGCCCAGAATCTGGTACCATGCCCAAGATGGATTGGGTGCAGTGTACCCAGCATACGGCATGTGCACCGCGGGGTGAAGCGGCACAGCATTCGGTGAAACCACGTATCCTTGCATAAGTTGAACAGGGCGGATCTTGAGGCTGCCGATGTGTTCTTGACGGCTGCTGCGGCTACTGGTCAGTCATTGATGCCAAGGTGCTTCCATACTGGCTATGGACCGGCAGCCTCACAAGGGGACGCGGAAAGCACAATCTGAAGTCATGCTCAGATAATTGCTCGGGACTGGAAGTCAAACCAGGAGGAACGCCTGCTTTGAGGCTCCGGATAAGCCGGTGGCTCCGGATAAGCCGGTGGCTCTGGAGCAGGTTCCGCTTCTGTCGCCTGTGCCCGTTGAGCCCAGCCTCCCCCTCCCTCACCCCCAGCCAAGCAAAACCTCGTGACGTGTGCGAAGCTGCTAAACACTTCTGTTGCACACAGAAAAGTCAAAAGAGCTGCCTTCACTGCTTGCGCTGCGGGGGAACCAGCACAGCTCTGCCGTCTCTCAGGCTCCAGTGCTTGGCTGCTTTGGCCGCGTTGGCCGCCTTGGCTTTGGCCTGGAATGACAACAGGTCGGTGGGGCAACTGACACAGCTCCGGACGTGCATGCAAGAAGCACAAGAAACAACTGAATCGCGTGGTGGCTTCAACCCATATAGGCACCTGGGTCCACGCCCTCATGTTCCATGGCTGGCATGGACACGACGATTCGCTCTTGGGGATTCCTACAGGACGGCCAGTTGGGCCAGATGTGCACGCCTTGTTTCGGGCCGTCCCCCCTCTTCCCAGCATTCCCAGCTGCCGTCCTGGCGGTTTCTGTCGCGCAACATTCCGACGCCCACTGCAAGGCGGGCTGGGCTTGTCGACCCAGATCCGAAACACTCTCGGAAACCTCTGCAAGCGTCAAACTTTGCAGCGCGAATTTCACATTCGCAACGGTGGGTGCAAGAGGCTGGCCCGGGATTTGCAGCTGTGCGCTTGCAAGGAGCTCTCTCGACGAGGGTCCTGTCTGCTCGGGAGGCCAGCTTCTCAAGAGACTCCGGGTTGATGGACAGCGCGAAACTCACCAAAAGCCATGCCTGCACTCACAGCGAATACAACGACTCCACGCAATGGATGGCCACTTGGTGGAAGCAGGTGCTGAATGTAGGCTGGACAATGGCCACGCTGCAGGGACTGAGTATAGCACTCCTTCATCAGCGCCATCATTAGTCACCAGAGGTAACGGCATCTCTGCAGACTCCCAGAGCTCTTGCAGACCCTTAGGAAGTGGCAAGATGGCTCCCGTGCTCTAATGCTTCGGGTCAAGCTGTTGACGCACACATCGCACACCCATAGAGCACTTGGAATACCATCAGTCTTCAGGTCACGGTGGCTGCCATCACTACGGAAAGCAAGAGGCGCCAGCTGCAAATTAGCTGCACTCATGCTGTCTGGATCGCCCAGAGAGCCTTTGCCTGCGACCTGGCTTGCAAGAACGTCCAAGGGCAATCAAGGTGAGAATCGGAGTGAATGCTCTGCCTCAGCGACCCTTTGCTTGGAGCATGCCGGAAGAATCCGGCGCCTCCCCAGAATGCCATAAAGCACAAAGAATTGGACATGACACGACGGCTCTTCGCTCCCGCACCTCATGTCGAGCGTACAGCACCCTACTTGGCTTGGCCGCGCAAGGTCCAGCTGCAAGGGACCCAAGCGCATGTCACTCCGGGTGTGCAGGCGAAGGGAGAGACCCGAAGTCAGCCCTGCAAGCTGAACCTCAACCGAGGGAGCACCCAAGCACAGCGGCTACACACTTGATCACAATTGCATGTTTCTTGACAAAAAGGTATCAGCAGTTTTTTGAAGAGCAGCGGTGAAGACCATGGTGTCCCCGAAGTGCCACTCGCAATCCTCCATACGCAGACACGCACACACTTGGGGTACGCTAGGACACAGTCGAGCAGGCTGCGGCTTCTCAAGTCCTGCAGACCCGTTGGAGCCAAACCTTCTTTCTTGACCTTGTAGGCAGCGGCAGGATGCAAAAGTCTGCATGCGCAGCTGCTGTGTAGCTTGGTCCAACCCTTGTTTCATCATCTGCTGCCTTAGGTTTTAGAAGCACCGGGACGTCGAAGTCACATGGCGAGTCGAGTCGTCCGGAGGTCGGCGAGCACACGTGGTGAAATGCAAAGCAACTCTTAGGACCCAGCACAGCCAAAGGTTGGGGTGCCCACTGAGACATACTCAGCAGGCTCGGACTCCTGTGTTGGCACTGCGTTCACTGTGTACATGCAATCACTCTTGTATATATCAGCAGCATTCAGCAGCTGTTAATGGCTGTTACAACATGAAAGCAACCCAAGAACTGATCCAAGAGAATGGCAGAGTGCCTTCACAGCATCACCGAAGGCCACCTCCACGCACGGATGCTCTCGCATAAGCAGTCCTCACTTAGTCCGCTTGTCCGGTCGACCCCCTTGAGATTTCGAGGGGAAGGGGTCCTCGTTCCATAGTTTTCGCTCATGAGAGTTAACTCTGTGCGTCAGGCATCTGGATCGGGTACGCCACAAATGTACAGAACGAGGGGGAGATAAATAGAGGGAATGTATATGCAAATGCAGGCCAGCAAATCACAAGTAATACGTGCTTTTGCTTCTGCTGTGACTTGTCCTGGCTCTGCGAGACCGGGAATGGATGCACCCAGCAGTCGCACGAAGAGTCGGCAAGCGTTGCGCTCGTCCGTTGCGCGACGAAGTTGCGGCAACCTGCTGCTGCAGGGCGACGTCAGAGAATAAAAAAAGGGCAGGCCAACACACCACGGTCTAATGCACGCTGAACCAGATGAGGCAAGCACTGGCAGGTGCTGCACTTGTTCTGCAGCCACGCGCCGCTGAAGAACCAGGCAGCTTGATACATCAACGCTGGGCATGCTGGCACACGCAGACGGTCTTTCCAAACGAGCGCTGAGATCTCTTGGCGACGGTGTCAGAGGCTACTCATGCATGTGACACTCAAAACATCGTATGGCAATGTTAACCGGTTAACCAGTCAACGAACCGTCCTCACATGCTGCGTGCATCGTTGCAGTGCATGTTGCCGCAAGGCACAACATCAGCTTGAAGCTTCAGCGGCAGTCTAAGCTTCCAAGCAAGAAGCTCAGGCAAAGCTGCTATCACAACTTATCACAACCAAAGAGCTCTCGCTTGCCAGCCTTCCTTGATGGGAGCATTGCCCGAAGCAACAGTCGCAGCCTGGTTCTAGCAAAGGTTCTAGCAAAGGGTCTTTGCAACATGAGGGCAATGAGGTATGCTGCAAACTTCTCAGGGCCTTGCCGTGAGAACCTCGCCACGGGGCCGCAGCGTGGCGGGACTCCGTGCCGTAGCTGCAATCTACTGCGCCTCGAGCCTGCTCGCTCGCAAAACTTGTCATGTCCAAGAACTGTGGACTCAACGGGGTGGGTTCACTGGGGCCGTTTAAGGAGGTTGTTTCTACCGAGCAGGGCCCTCCATTTCAAGGTGGCCACAGTTGAGAAGAGCGAAGAATGCACTGAAACAGCCAAACAGAACGTGACGAGCTGCCTGTCAAGCGTCACCAGAGCCTGGCATCGTGTCGATTTCAGCGGTGCTGCATGCCTGGCATGGCATCAAGCACCAATCCACAAGATGTATGCTGGTCGATCACGATACTACGGGGAGCTCCCAACATGAAGCATCTTGAAACACTCCACAGCATCTGGGAGAGATGTGCAGCCGAGATGTGTTGCTGAGTTTTTCCACCGTGCGCATTGAAGCGCCTGAGCCAACCTATCCATCGCATGTCCTCATTCCGAACTTTGCGAAATCTGTTTCGAGGTCAACTGCGAAAATGGTCCCTCTAGCTTGGCAGAAGGGAAAGTTACGTTTACATCTGAGGCAGACTCCTCAAACCACTTCTGGCAAAAGGCTCGCTGTACAAAAGCCCTCCTTCAAGGGAGGGTGCACGTCCTATTTTTCTGCATGCCCGGCATCTTGCCTCGCAGGGCGTCATGGGATCGTCATGGGGGCAAGAGAAAGCTGTGGGACCGTGTGCCTGGAACATCCTGCCCGCTGTCGAACCTTACACACACACATGCCGAGCACCCAAAAGTTCAAGTCTGATTCCTCTGCCAGGTGCTAAGTTCCCCACCATTTGCCTCCCCAATAAATCCACTTGTTCAGCCGAGGCTCCATGCAGCAGCACCTTCGCACTCCAGTGGTCATAGGTCAATCAGCTTTTATCACTAAGGCTGCGCACATGTCTTCCACGTACTGATGTGGACGTCGTCTGAGCTTCCGCTCCGCCGAGGAATCCTCCTGACCTTGGCACTGCATGCCTGAATGGCCTGAAAGGGCTGGGCTTCCGGTCTGCGCAGCTGGCATTGCGGTGGGGGTGCCTTGCCTCAAGAACAGCGCGTGGGCAGGCAAGGAGAGCAGAACATGGCTGCGATTGGCCAAACCTCCTAAGACAGGCCTGGCGATGGGCACTTGCGCGGCTTGAAGCTGTGGCATCTTGCAAACCAGGACAGAAGCCAGTCCGTCACCTCCTGGAGCACTGCACGGACTGCACTGCAAGCATGCTCCTAGCACCTCTCATAGCTCTGCGACTCGGATTCACAGGTTGAGTTGCCCGCGAACTGCTTGGTGTTGTGCATGGAGAGGTACACGACGGGTACGCCATCAGGATACCACCTGGGCACAGAAAAAATGCAAAACTAACGAATGCCTGTCGAATGAATGCTGGCGGACAGGCTAAGAGACGAGCTTGGAATCTTGCATAGGCTTTAAATCCAGCTGCCATCTCTCTTTGAACAGAGCCCATTCCAAGTCAAACTTGCACCACTCCTGAACTGAAGAGTGTGAGAAGTCAGCAGAAAACGAGGGCCACACCCCTGCCACGTTAGCGAATCTGCTGAGCATGCCCAATATTGCCAGTCGGACCCTGGCAGGTAGTTTACAGCACCAGTCCTTCGTTGCCCTGTCACGCCAGAGACCCACGTTCAGCATGTCCTGTACAGCACAGGGGCCACCAAAGCCCCTCCCTTGAAGGGTTTTTTGTCGCGCAGGAGTGCGTTGTGTGCTGCTTTCCGGCCTCGTCCTCCATCATGAAAGATCCAAACCTGACCTGTAGCCACAACGGGTTCGTGAATCTTGGCATATCTTGGTAAACCCGGCTAACCTTAGGCTCGGAACCTGTCGAGGCGACTTCTTGTTGTCTGCGAGGACAGCCGAAAGGCCGCTAGAGGTTGCGGCATCCAGATCCCAGACCTTGATGTTCCAGGCCTGTTCAGCACGGAGCGAAGCACCTCATGCAACTGCCGATGCAAGCGTGCCTTCATTTTGGTCCTGAAGCCGGCGACGAACCTTGTTCGAAGCAGATGGCGCAGGAGCGCAGGAAGAAGATTATTGCACAAAGCCATCGGCCTCTCGTGAAGGAGATCGGCCAGGAAGGGCAAGGCCCAGTACGTCCATGACCTGAGGTATGGCATCACGGCAGGGGCCGTCATGAACTCCGTATGTGCAACTCAGGTCAGCACGGGTGCGCGTGACCCCACCTGCCACAATGTCCAGGACGTCACACTGCAGTACAAATACACCTCAATTGCCGACCTCATAGTCCTGTGGCCAGACCATCCCTCAAAGTTCATATCCTGTCGGAGTCTGCTGGATAGCCCACCCTGCTTGAGCATGCGTCCTCAAGCACTCAGGGCTGAGAAGCCAACGGAGTAGAGCTCTCCCTTTTTCGCCTGGCACAGTCTGCAAAGACTGCGACACCATCCTGTGTAGCAAGCGTGGCGGCGCAACGTCTCGTGACATCCTTAGCTACCATTGGTAAGTGACACTCATCACACTGGAACTTCTGCCGCCATTCTTCTCCAGTGCCGGAAAGGATCCAGTGGACCGGAAGCATTGGCCACGGGTAGTGTGAGGTGATCTCACGACGCGATGCGGCGAACATCCTGCCGCAGGCAACTCAGACTTCAAGGCTCTCGAACTTGGAATAATTCTGTATGAGCTGTTGGTAGCCATGATGTGCAGCACTGGACTTCATTTGTAGACATTTGCAGTGACCTCTCCAGCCCTGGCGCAATCAGCTGGTCGGTGTCCTGCCCGGAACTTCAGCAAGTGTTACTAGTGCAATACTCTACATGTCACCACATTTAGAAACAGCCACACATCACCCCCCCCCCCCCCCCCCCCCGCCCCCCGACCCCGGCACAACTAAACCCTGTCCAGCTGAATGCCCGCAAGGGCTCTCGCGCCGATCATGGCGCGAAGCTTATTGAAATTGAAGGACACGGCTTTTCCTTGTCAGTTAGCAGGCAGCTTGGTCATCCTTGACCCAGTAACTCCCCGATGCTATGACAGCCGCTTGCCTGGCAATGGCCGCATTTTGTACACAATCACCTCTGCCGGCTGTCGGACAGGGCCGACATTTGAGTAATTGCAAACAAGGCGGACAAAAAAGCAATGTGGCCAGATTTGCGTTGGGGAATTGTCGCCACTGCCACGGCGGAATGTATTGTTCGTCGAAAACCTCCAATCGTGCAGCTTCGCCGACGAAGCAGCCACATGCCACATGGGCTTTCTGGGTGACTGGCCACTACCACAACAGGCTTGGAGGAGAAGAGGTCAATCGAGCGGATGAGGTTGGTCGCCTCACCAAGTTGCCAAGCTCGGCCAGTTGTGCCTAAAATCCCTGACGATGGCCACCGTCGGGTCCGGCTGGTTCTTTTTACGCACATAGCTCGTGGCCGGCCTGGAGGCTGTAGATAGAGTCCTGCACTCCTGCGACATATGTCCTTCGCAGAGGCCAAAGCGCAGGTCTGTGACTCCATGAAAAGCGACTGAGGCTTCGGCACGAAGGCTTCCTCCAGCCAGCCAGACTCAGAGGTCCAGCGCTGGTACTGATCAAGGAAGTCACAGTCCAAGTAGGTCTGCCTCAAGAGGAACTTCACAGTTCTTTCTAGAAGACCCATGCACCTTTGGGCTGTAAGACTTTTGACGAAGGGGGGACAGGTGACGCTTGGTGACGTCCTGTCAAATGCATCCATCCAAAGGCAACGGCCCAAGTAGGAATTTGAGAATGGCGCGCCGTCTCCACGGACAGCCACCCCAACATTCTACGACTATTCTACACCATCTGATAATGACTTCATTTGATGGCCCCTCGTCCTTAAACGTACAGCGGGGCCCGCTGTTACCCCAGAATGTTTTAGGCGAAAGAAGTTCCACACGATCTCGCACGGCATACAGGCGTGGTTGCCTTGTTTTTGTGGATGCGACTGAGGTGCCGACCACAAAGGCTGCAAAGTCGTCTCCTCACACATTGCCTGGCACGGCACACGCTGCGACGTTGCTCCGAACAAAGTGCAACTCAAGGCTGCCTCGAGACCCCGATGCAAAACGCTTTGGGCTGCTGCATGCCCGTTGCTGTCATCTAGCACCTGCAGCAAAGTCCCCGTTCTTGTGAAGCTTCTTCTTGTCTTTTCTTGTTCCTCTGTGCTTGGCCCAAAGCTCGCGAGGTGTCGTTGCAGGACCAAAGCTGGGCCACTCTGGAGGTGAGGCACCTGGGCCCGAGCAGAAGTTAGCTTAGCCTACTCAGATGTTCATGATTCATGCATGTTCATCATATCCTGCTAGCGGTCATTAGGGACCGCGAAAAATGCCGCGCAATCCAAAACGAAGTTCATCCCTCTGGGCCGGGCTGCTCCTGTGCCGGCGTCGATGGCCCAGTCCTCTTTTTGACATGTCCGCGGCCGAACGAATGCAACTTGAAGGCGAGACCGCCCATGTTTGCATGACATGCATCATTGTTTGCACATGTTGCTTGCCTCCATTTCTGCTTCTGGAGATCGGTGTGCTTTCCGCAAGCAGCAGGGCATACTTCCCTGGGCGTCGGGCTCACCAAAAAACAGGCCCAACTTCAAAGATCTTCAAACGGCTGGGCGAAATACAAGGCATAGTGTGCGCACTTGTGAAGGTCAGCCTTGGAACCATCCTGATCAAGTCAGAGTTCAATTCATACCTGAAAGCTCACCCATGCTCACCCCATCACCGCCTCGCAAGTCTTTCCACCCAGAAGTGCCTTCCGTCAGGATTCCGTGATATGGAACATTCGAAGACTCTCCAGTTCCAAGCACTGCCAAGCCCACTGCCTTGGTCGCAGCTTTGGCAATGGCGGCCCCAATCTTCGAGAAGTCGCCACTGGCCTCCATCCACTGGTAAACCTCGAGGGTCAAAAACCCACGGGTCAACCGGTATTGGGCTGTTTTCCAACAATCCGGATGCTGAGCAGCAGGCTCGGGACAGCGCCAACAGCTGTGAGGAGTCTGCCTGCTCGCACTCGACCCCGGCACAGCAACACGCGCCATGCAAGCAGTAAGGCGCCTTCTCGATCCATGCCACTAAGCTGTCGATGACTTTCCAGAGCGTACCTGCACATAGGACTACAAATCGATCCGAACCCCTTGGGCGTTTTGGTTTCCCGCTGAGCGCTGCGAAGCCCTGACGTGACGTGTGGGGCGCGAAGCCCTGACGTGACGTTGGGTGGGGGGGGACGTTCCCCTACACTGTGCCATCGCGCAGCCCAGTGTCGAATACTCATGCCTTCGGCTCCAAGTGTCGGGATGTCTTATCTGTTTTGTTGGCATCGTCCCACTGCGGTACGGTTGCTTTCCTGTGCTTCTTCCAAGTTTTCACAAAGCTCAGGCCCAACGGACGCCGGACTCAATGACGCCGCCGACTTTGCTGCGTAGGCTGCGTCATCCCATGCCAATCACCGTGGAACATGGGGTGCTCTTCCCTGCTTCACCTTGCTCTGCAAGATTGGATCCTCAACCAGCCTTGCACGCTCTCTTTGAGCCCGGATGGCTACAGTAGGGCACGGTCCTTCTCTCGACTGCCAGCCTGCATCTCTGAATCTCACACGCTTCTGCCTGGAGCTGGGCCGACTGGATCGCGGCCTGTCATCGCCAGGCAAATGCTGAGGCTCTGAATTTGCCCGGTTGTTCCTCTATGTTTGCCTTTGAATTTTGCTTTGTTCGTTTCCCTGGGTGTGGATAGGAAATCCGACGATCCGACGACTTCTCTAGACTTGTTACGGGAAACATCGCTTACATCTTTTTTTGGCTCGGAATATGAAGCCGCGCAGTTCGTGATCTAGGAGTTAATCGGAAAACCGTCAGCTCATCTACGTCAACTGGAATCGGAAGCTTCTCTTTCTCCAGGGTATCTGCATGTTGTGCAAGAGCGCCACTCCTTAGCAAGATTTGCAAGAACGGCCTGGCTTCGGCTTTGGCCTTGGTTTGGGTGGGATGGGTGGGGATCGAAGAATCGTGCGCCAAGCCCGCCCTGCCCACTCGTTCCTTCCCCCCCCCGGGCCTGTTTCGCAACATGTTGCAGTCAGTGCAAATGGGGGCAGCAGCAACAGCAACAGCAACAGCAGTAAGCCGCTTCTGCATGGTGGAACGTGGGTGCCATGATGCTGATGCTGGGGCTTCGCAAGCAGCTTCACAATACCATCGGGCTACTCCCTTCTCACCTCAATTAGCCTTTCATGCTCGTATGTCAATTGGTGTACAGTGAAGCACGTAAGGAACAGAGGACCAGAGCAAAGAGACCAATAAAGCAGGCCCGGACCCCCCCCCCCCCCCCCACGCACCCAGAAAAGCACGTAAGAAAACGACAAGTGGAACAACGTAGCCTCTCTCCCAACTCTCCGCCTCCCGGATCGTGCGGCAGCTGGACCAATGTTGCAAGATCCTCCACTCCTTAGTTTCGCAGACGGCCCATGGCTTGCAGTCGCCCCGCTCGATTGGGCATCAGCTTGCTGCGTTCCTGACAGCAGCAAGTCAGTCCATATGATATGCGGCAGAGTTTCCAATTTCCCGGTGAGGCGGATCGTGGCATTGACATGTCCTCAGTCTCAGACCAAACCAGTGTTCTTGCGACGTTCACATGATCTTGAGCCACGCGCTTCAGCATGCCATAGGCCATGTCAGTCCTCAGCTTCTGTTCAGATGCTCTCACTCGTGGCCATGGCCACAAGGTGAATCAGCTCTCAAGCCACGCGGCAAATATCACAAGATGCAAACATGCGCGCTCAATCTAGGACTATCGAAAAACAGGCTTGGTCCTCCTGGCTTCCTCATGCACTGATGTCATGAACTTTCTACCACACTCTGTCCTGCACTCTGCGCTCGCAGTGCTTCAGAGCGTCTTCCCAAATCGGTCGAGCAGGCACACAATCTCCTCCTGGTCATATATCCCACTGCGAGAAACTGCTGATATCAGTCGGCAACGTAGCATGCAGCTAGTTTGTCCCTGATGTCGCGTCCTTGCCCTTCTTGGTGTACCAACCTTTTTGCCGGTGGCCGTAGCGCACCTTCAAAGCCGCAAAGCACAAAGCCAAACACAAATCAACCACCAATCACCACAACACCCTCTTGTTGTGCACAAGATCGAGACAAGTGCAGCGAAGCGTCGTGGCCACTCGTGCACTTGCACAGCTCATTCTCGGAGGCGCAAGTCACCCAGCCAGCTTCTGGATCTTTGCTGAGGAGGCGGTCGAGCCTGAGCCAAGGGAACTTCTTGGGGTTGCACGTCCTGTTTCCAGACGCATTCCTCAGCATTAAGACCCAGATGTAACAACAAAAACATGAGCTGGTTGGCCGGAGGTTGACTTCCGAGCCAGAGCTAGCATCAAGCCACCTTCAACTCAACTGAAGACACAGCCTGCGGCATGAAATTTCCACATCCACCGAAGCCAGGCCTAGTGGTGAGTTGAAGCGTTTCCACCTGCGTCACGAAACTCGTTCGGAAACTCGTCTGGCTGAAGACATTTTGAGGCCACCTGCCTCTTGGAATGAAGCAACCTTCCAGCTCTCTTTACCAGTAAAACGTCACTGCCTGCTACCAGAGGTCCCTAAGCCTTGGTGCCAGGCGTTCAACAACCACGAACAGAGGCCTCGCCTCACGGTATCCGCCTCGAATTCGAAAGGAACAGCAGCACGACAACGGCAGTTCAGGCTATATGAGCTCTGCAAGAACTTGCACCTGCTGTGGGTCCAAAGAAGCTGACCTCGCAAGAAATCTTAATGCCGCTGGGAATTGCTGCGGTGTGCCAAGTTCACTGTGTTTTTCCAGGGCCCCCTCCCCAGAAGTTCGTCGCTTTGGACCTCAGTGCAGTGTTGCAACTGATTTGCAACTGCCACACATCACCGACGTCAAGGGGTCATCACATGAACCGAGGCATTGACATCAGATGCATCTTGGATGTCATGCTTGCTTTGTGTGCCTTCGCCATCAGCCTGCTCAGGGAGCTAACAGCGCATGTTCGGCCTTCTGCTCTTGGAGTTTGGATGGGTTTCTAGTTTGGACAAAGGCACCCGAAGCACACAATTCTTGTGCTTCCAGCGAACACGCAAGAGGCTGACCCCCAAGGCAGTGGAGCCGATCTGCTCTGCCTGGAAACAGTCTGTCGCATTTTTGTCGGACCGCTAGGTCCTGGAAAAACATTTGCCACCTTGATCTTCCACCCGAGGCCCACTCCCGGAAAAAAGTTGAAAAGCAAATCAAAGAAAAAAGAAGGGCGCAAGTGCGAGCAGCTCAGTCAACACTATGTTCTGGTCCAAAAGCCGGGTATGAAGACAAGCAAGCAAACACACCCAATCCCAGAGCAAACTGGCGACATGAACCCTAGGCTCTCTCCAAGCCCTCCGAACCTCAACAATGCGGATTCTAAAATCTGAACGCGTGTGTGCAAAGGCCGCTTTGTCAGCTTGGGACTGCGGTCACGGTATTACCCGTGACAAGACAAGACATAACTTGGGACGACCGTGGCCAGGGCATGGGCTGACATTTTGCTTTGACGCATGGCACGCACTCCATAGGAGCCAGCAGCGGGGGAGCACCAGCCAGAACTCGCTATGAAAAGCCAGGACGTCACCACCCGCCACGGGAAGGCGGATCATGAGCATCAGCGACACGGGGAGAAGGAGCCAAAGCTCCTGGTTCCCCACACCGCGAAAGCCATCTAGGCTGACGAGTCTCCCAGGGCAGCTTTCGTGACGACACTTGAAAAAATTGCTGCCATCATCTTTTCAACGATCATATGACGTAGCACACGACTCGGAACCCCTCCAAAAGAATCCAAAAGCTAAACAGGAGGGACTTGCAGACGGGCACTCCCCCCACCCCGTTCGCCAATGACTCCCACAAGAGCAAGCCGAGCAGCTAGCAGCCGGCTCTGTGTGCAAGCACGGCATGTCGTGTGGAGGTTACTGGCAAAATCGACCATTGCATCAACGCGAAGCGCAGGACGTGCCTGCGTCGTCGACTCGAAAAGCACAGTCGTCTCTTCGCTCGTGGCACTGGAGCCATCCTCCTCGTCGTCCTCGTCCTCGTCCTCCACCTCCTGAATCTAAGCATAGGACTCTTTGTTGCAGACTCTCACAGGGCTCTCTGAGAATACTGCTCTCATCTCAGGTCCACTGCAAAAATCCCCAACCTGTCCCCAAACTGCCTTGAAATTCCTTGAATTCCCGAATATTCAAGGGCACCGACGCGGCCTTCCGGCGTCGCTCCAGGGACCTAGGTTGGCGAGGGCCACTACTCTCTCAAACTTTCATCGCTCCTTGGCTAACTTTCACTTCCACTTTCATGTCATAGTTTTCTCAATGTCATAACCTGTTCGAGTGAATTGCTTGACGATTGCTATGTTCTTCTGATCACGCGAGGCGTCGACTGCAACAGGAGCTGCTGGGACTGGATGGGCACCATGGGCACCTGCAAGCTTCCGAGTCTTCCGAAGTTCGCACTTCAGAGAGCATCTGAAGAGACGTGTCAAAGCCCCATTCTGGGCTTTGTCGGCACTCGGCCTGACCGACGGCGTTGCTCTGGCCAAACATCGTCTCCAGCATAGAGAAGACCTCTAAGTTTCCGGTGTTCACGGGCCCAATATGGCAATATGGCCCAATGCTCAGGCGGAAAGATGCGGAAGGCCACTCTATCTCCATTGCATGTCATTGCATGTCAGAGCGTGTCATTGCATCATGTTCTTGCACTTCGTTGCATTGCATGTCTTTCGCCGAAGCTGACAACTGCCAGGCTCCAAGCTATGATGACCACGCCCGCGAAGAGAGCACATTCTACAATCCTGAACGCGTTGTCGGCTCGAACGTCGTGTCCTTCTGCACACACTCGCCTGCCTCTTCGCGGTCAGCCCACGCCCACTTTGTGGCATTGCATGCCAATCTAGACCGGAAGTTACATTTTGCTGCCGCTTGACTTTGACATCAGCTTGCACCAAGCACTGGGTTAAGACTTTGCAATAGTACGACCTGGCATGCTCTTCAACAATAGATGTCTAGTTGGTTGCTCGCTGAAGCAACCCAAAAGATTTGTCAAGATACTGCATGCACTTGGACGGCATTCCGCTACAGACTTGCCTGATCTGCAGCCAACAAACAAGCCGGAAAATGAAAACCTCATGTTTCTGTGGTTCTCGCATGACTGCTGCTCAAGCTCGGGGGGGGCCTGTATGCCTACGCCGCGGGTGTCCGAGCCCTGTTTGCCAAGTCCTGACAGCGTGGAATGCATCGAAATTGCAAGCTGAAGCTTCGAGATCACTGGTAATGGCGCCATGTGTTACTGTATCTCTCCTGGGAATTAAACCCTGAGATGATGTGCAAAGATGCATCACCTCAGGTCAGTCAGCTCTTCATTCGAGTTCACAACCACAGCGAAAGGCCACGCCTGCAAGTTCCAGAAGGGTGGCATCGGGCCAAGATGCAGCCTGGAAAACTCAACAAACATTTTGACATTGCTGTTGAAAACCAATTCGGAAAGCAAAAGAATATAAAATAATTGGATGCAAGTCAGATGTTGTCCTGTTGTCCAGCCTGGAGGTTTCAACCCGCGTTTGCCAAATCTTTCCTCAAACTGCCAAGACGCGTCAGCTTCGAAACATGTGACTGACGCCGCACTGACACACACACACACACACACACACACACACACACACACACACACACACACACACACACACCCCTCAAGACCCACGCGCATTAGAAGACTGGAGCTTCTCCATGCCGCAAGACGTAGTCATGCCTGAAAGGGGCACAGGAAGCTTGGCGAAAAGCAATGGGCTACACCAAGCATGCACACTTCCTCACCGGAGGATGTCTGACTCTTGCAGTCTTACGCCTAACGGGAGTCCGCGATGCCAGCTTGCTGTGGCCTCAGTGGGTCCACTCCACGCTAAGCCTCTCTTCTGGCAATGAGCTGCTAGACTCCCTGTACCACCCACACTGGGGAGCTACTCGGATCTGCTCGGCTGAGCGACGCGATGCCGCGTGATGTTTGCGAGCTCTTGCGGCCTCAGCCACAAGCTTTCAGGTTCTCCTCCACCAGAATTTCCGTGGGGTAAGGCCCATGCCGAGACAAGTCCTGAAAGCGTTTAAGAGGTCAGCTCCCAAGTGGAGCACGGTGCAATTGGTCCTTGATCTGCATCATCCTCTGTGCCAAAGCTTCTACTGCTTGCTCATCTCTCCAGGATGTAGCTCCGAATCATCACATAATGCTTGCTGCCTCCTGCAGGAAAGTGGCATTCTACTTACAAACGCATGTTTAAGAGAGGAACGGTCCTGCTGCCGGAGCTCCATGGAATGCTCTTGCAAACGCCCGGAAGTTGTCGTGAACAGCGACGTGCTTCACTGCCGGGCTTTGCCCATCGCCCAAACTGCCTTTGCAAGATCGTGGCTCTCGAGGAACTCCAGCCGCTTTGAGACTGCACCTGACATGGTCAGTGAGATGTGTGACATGGTCTGAGATGTGTGAGTCGCTGATTGTCGTTTGCCACCCTACAAGCTGTCACCTGGCAGCTCGTGCAGCAGCTGCTCCTCTCGAAAACGAGAGCGCGCGACTTTTTGCAGCGCACTGGCCAGATCCTCGCAACATCTGGCAGTGGCTTTGCAAGTGCTTGAACCAACATGCTGCTCCACAAGCAATATTGGCTAATGGCTCGTGACCAATGTCAGCCTGCGCTGCTAATAGCTCAGCTGCTGGGACGTCAGAGATCAACGAAGCGCAATCGGGGAGCCTGCACGTATCAAGTTCTCGTGTCAGTGTCACAAAGTGATGTGGCCACTGGACTAAGTCCGTCCCTAGTCTGAAGGTGCCTTCCCGGCTTAGGGGTCTAGGTGCTGGCATGTGCTGGCTGCTGTGTGAGTTTTTCACCGCTTGTAATCGACCAACCTCCTGCTGCGTCGAGAAGCGGCATGCCGCAACTTCGCCACTGATTTGAGTAGCGGACGGCCTCTCGCCAAGGGGGGTGGGTGTGGGGGGGGGGGGGCAGCTCTGTGACAAGCAGTGCTTGGGCTCGACAGGCCAAAGAAGCCTCGCCGGAGTCATCTCACGAGTGAAGCGCGTTGCTGGGAGCATTTTGAAGTTTGCGTTTCTTATTTGTACTTTGGCCACCTACAAGCTTGAGCAAGCTCCCCAAAGGACGGGGGGGCCAGGGCCAGACAGCACCACGGGGCAGGGGAGAAGCGGACGAGAAACAAGGGCGGCGGTTTGGGGACCCGGCAAGGGAGGGAAAAAAAAGGGGCGGCGGTTTTGGGTCAGAAATCTCTGCATTGACACACCATGATACACACATGCTCCACTCTGAGCACACGTGCTTTCCGTTCTGGCCATTGTGGCTTGTAGAGAGTGCGCTTCAAGACCTCGTCTGCCAGCGGTTTGCCGACTTGGTGGCTACAACATTATTTGAATCTGTTGTCTCGCATTGCCGCATTGTGCCTGGTGGTCTTTTGCCTCGCTTGTGTCTGCATTTTCTGCCTGTGTCGCTCGTCTGCAAAATTACGCAATTGATGCGCCTTGCTCGTGTTGGTCGCAGCCTTTGTGCCATCGCGCGTTAAAAACAACCCACTGAACAAGAGGATCTGTGAACTGAAGCTTGGCTTGCGCAGGGCACATACGCGCGAGCGCGCGGCTTGCAGCGCAGGTCGGCAACGAGCAGCACGACTGCCATGAATGCGACTTATGGCACACAGGCTTGCTCGGACCCCTTGCATAAAGCCCCACACACAAAGCCAAGACCCCCACCCCGGTTCTTGGTGCCATCTGGCCAAGACCCTACTCGAAGCTCGCATGCAACTATCCAGGAGCAAGTCGAACCTGCAGGTCTGTCCGATGTTGCTGCCGGCTCTGGCGCGGTGTCCTCTGCCTGTGCCACGAGTGCGCGTTCTATGTGCCGGCACGATTCTGCGTCCTCTTGCACACGGCAGCAGAACTCTAGAAAGTCCTGAACTGTTCCGGCCAGCGTGCGGCAGACACTCAGGGAGGCACCCGCCGCGGCATCTAGGTCACCTCCGCGCACATGCCCGAGGTCCGGGTCAGGCAACATTCAGGCAGACTTGCAAGACACTGCGAAGCACAAGCTGAGTTGCCTGGTCATCGCCGTGGACGGCGTACGTACCCGCGCAGTGCCATGTTACATCAAACAACCCTAGCATGTAGCCATGGCCTCTATGAACTCGAACTCAAGTTGGGCATGAAGCCTTCTAATCCCAAGCTGTTTGTTCAATTCGCTTGCATGCCTGCAAAATCTGCTGCGCGGATTTCATGCAAGTACCGCTGCACCAGCTGCGATGTGGAAACTGATAACATTATATAACATTGTATGTGGAAGCACAAATTGAGTAGCAGCTTTTTCCGCCAGGTTTCTTAAACAATGCAGACAATCCATTGCTATGAGCTGTCTGCAATCCACCCCACCCTGCCTTTCGCTCAGGGTTGCAAGCGACAAAGGAGCCCTTAACATGCGCAGAATTGTTCAGAAAGCCCCCAAGTTTTGCTTGCCGTCGATTGAGGCAGCGTGAACATCAAGTTGCCTGACGCCGAAAAGCGCAGCTGAGGCTCGCTGTTGCTCTTGGCCTGCCTGAAGTCAAAGGAAGGCCACCTTTTGGAGAAGGCTCCCTTTTGAAGGAGTTGCCGGCACTCCTCGGATATCAGCACATGTTGTACTGCAAAGACATCAGGGGGGGATTTCAGAGCGACGTCGTCCAGCCTGGTCGAGGCTTGCTCCCTCGGAGTGCTCACGGCCACGGTCCTGGCTCAGCCGGCAGCATTCCACCACGTTGGGTGAGCGTACCTTACGGTGTCAAAACTGTCACAAACGGAACGCCATCTCACTCTCCAAAAACTCCAAAGTTCAAAGTCTAAGCAGGGAGCTATGACTGCTGGAAGGTGCACGTACTTCAAAGTATTCGCCTTGGCTGGTGGCCCATCGGGCCTTTCAGACCTATCGGAAGTTTAGAGCGCACGTATGAGCACGCGGCATTCAAAGTTACAGAGCGGCGGAACGGACATGAAGCGTGCATTGGACGGCAAGCTGGCCGAACCACAGGGCTATGAGACTGCCAGGTCTCGGCAGTGGCGAACATGTAAAAGTCCGGGAATGGCCATTGTTGGAACTTTGCCTTTGAAGCAGCCTTTCAAGCCAGCTTGGCTAACCGCAGCGAAAGCAGCACGAACGCATGAAAAGACGCCCTCTGTGCAGCTGCTTCACATGGCAGCCTCCACACTAGCCCACCAGCTCTGCAGCAGCGTGAAATCCAGAAAAAAGAACCTGCAAGTAGCTTCATCTTTTTGCATGGAGTTGGGTTGCCCCCAATGTGGCACCATGTCTGCGTCTACGAAGCACTTAAGAAGGTAGTGGGAACAGTGTCGACGGCAATACCGATACAGATGAACATGAGATAATGAAAAACACCACAAGCAACACAAACACTACAACAAGTGAGGCAGAAACAAAGTACAAGCTTTTGAAAAGCCCAGAACCCGAACACCACAAAACAGAAGCTATGGGAAAGAAGAATCTGCTTACTTACCAGTTCCTCCACAGAAGAGGCGAGATTTAGCCCACAAGAACTGACCAATGCGCTAGCTACAGACAGGCCACCAGTCGCCGCCAACCGGCGCTGGCTCATTCTTGTATGGGACATATAACTTTCCGCAGGGATAAGAAGACAGGCGGATGTCGCGAAACAAGGCCACATCCGGTCGGCCCCGCACGATTCGACCTAAGTTGACTTAAAAGCGCTTGAAGACTTGGCGATGCCTGAACAATCAACGCAAAGATGCTCACAGGCGTTTGCGCGGGGCTAACTCTGTGCCACAAAGCCGTACTTCACGCCGCTGGCCAGCACCCGGTCAAAGCAAGTCCTGCCATGGCCCATCGCCCGCATGCCATCTTACGACTTGCAGGATTCCATGCAGGGATTCTCTGGCACACAAGACAAGCTATGCGAACCAACCTCAACCAGCGGATCTGGGAGTTGGATGAATGCTCCTTGCAGTCGGCATCTCTCAAAACCTGCAGGCAACCAACACAAAGTGCAAAGGACAGCTCAGAGCAAAAAGAAATGAGAAGGCGCATGCAATTCATGACTCAGGTCTTGTAGATCTAGACGCAGAGAGTTCGGTCTCCGATTTCTCGGTGTTCCCCGATGGAGCCAGTAAGCCACAATCACGGCCGCAACAAAACAAGTCTCTTGGCAAGCGCTGTCCGAAAGAAGTCATTGATTGAAATATTCGGCTTTTCGCCTGCAGGAGGCTCTGTAGAGATGTTTCTCAGGTGAACGTTCTTTCTGGTGTCTGCTGTTTTCGCCATACGATTTCTGTTCGAGTCTGCGAGCAGAAGCTCTACACCCTGCCTCGGCTAACTAGATTTCCTCTCAGTCTGTATTTCTTCTTTTGCTTAATTTCGAGATTTTCATTGCACACCCTGCTGTCACTCAAACCTGTACTTCCTCTACATTCTCATTCGCAACGCCGCCATTTTCTTTGTCAAAAAGATTAGAAAGCCTCTCTCCATCTATTTCCAAAGCCCTCGTATCCCAGGCACCACTGAAACCAGGCAAGCCTAAAAGCCGAAAAGCCTTGAAGCCAAGACCTCCACCAAAACAACTAAAAGCAATGCTACACACCCCACAGACACCTCAAAGGCACCTTCTGTCTGGGCTGAAAGTTTCTCCGGTACTCGTTGCAAGTGCCATCTTTCACCTCAATGATCTCGCGAAGTTGAACTCCACCGGAATCATTTCGCAAGCTTCGGAGCTGTTGAAGCTTTCGAATGATCGAGTCCTCACTGGCACACATGCAGAAACAGCCCGTCCAGGACATCCCACAACAAAACTTGGCAGTAGGCACTCTGAACAGCTCTTGCCCTCATCAGCCTTAATTCTCCATCGAAACAACGCTTGTCGGAGCAGACTCCTCAGCTGCAGAACCATAGAAGTCTGCCGAGTAAGTCAGCCAGGAAGAACCTCGCTTTTGGCCTGTCAGGTGTGCGTAGCTCAGATTGAACACGATTCCTTGTTCCCAACCGCCAGCATCTACAGTCTTCAAGGAGATCATGCTCAAGTTGCAGAGCTGCGTTCAAGAAACACAACTACGAAGCTGGGCTTTGGTGACCAAAATGTTGCCAACTCTGGCAAGACGCCTCTCTGTAGGACCATGTAAACATCCAAAGAATTTGCAATGGCAAAGCGCTCGATGGAACCCATGGTGTAGGGAAGCGTCCTCAATTCGGTCAGTGGCATGCTGTCAGTCCTGCATGCTGCTAGCATGGTGGTAGCATGGTGCTAGCACGTTGCTAGGTTCATTCCCATTGGACACAATGAGGATTGGGCATCGCTGTAGGAAAGACCCGCTGCGATCCCAGCGAAAGAAAACATGCCAATGTACTGTCGCATAATGTCGCATAGGAACTTCAGGCCGCAGAACCTGCCCAAGTAACCCACACATTTCGACTCATCAGGTCCTGATGTTGCCAACGAGGCAGAAAGCAGAAGGGCCATTTTGGCAAGAGGACGTCTGCTTTGTCCGGGGCGGCAATCGCGCAGGCAGCCAATCCGGCCGTGCAGGCTTCGTGTCCTGCAACTTGCCCGTGGGTATGGCCTTGCTTGTCGTGCCCTTCTCGCTGCCAAATGAAATTCCCGGGGTGGTGCTAGTAGCGTTCACAGTGGCACCCCTGGCACCCGCCATGGTGTTCACGAAGGTGCTCGCAAGGGCGATGGTGGAGGCGTTGGCAGAGGCGTTACCAGAAGCGTTCGCAGAGGCGAACGAAAAAGCTTTCGACGAGGTGCTGATCGTGTTCTTGCTCAACTTTGGAGCAATCGTAACATGCTCGGCCATGGTCTTCACAGCCTTGGGGGAATGATGCGAAGCAAAGCAAGAAGCCAACATGCAAGGAAGCTGCCACTCAGCTTGCTGTGGATTCTTGGGTGTTCGAGCTGGCCCTTTCCCCTGGCCCCCCTGGCCGCCTCCCTAGCCCTGACCCCCCCCCCCCCCCCCCCCCCCCAGACCCATCATGGTCACCTCACCGACACCGTCCTCACACAATCGTCAGGACCACTGCACCACCTCCATCACCCACCTCATCATTCTCCTCTCCACCATCGCAGCATCATGAGCATCATCCGGAACGTCCCATCTCAGCCAGCCGTCCACATGCCCGCACTGTCATGTCCAGCAGTGTCAGCGAGTCCAGGCCGTTGCAGCAGCAGAAGCAAGCGTGACAAGGCGGAAGAATTCAATGCCCTCAACGGCAACCGGAAACTGTACCAATGAAGACGATCTCTCTCTCTTTCTCTCTCTCTGCCGCTGCATCCCAAAGGTCCCACCAATGAAGACGATGGGCCAACACAATACAACACTAAATGACTAAATGTCAATCACAGCAGCCGAGCGATTCGTGCTTCTTGGCCATCCTTACGAGAGCGGGAGTTCTCTCGAATTCTGCGGCAGCGGCTTCCAACGTCTTCAGGACGTTAGCATCACGCTAGCATCACAAGGGAAACATCACGTTCTCACGTTTAAGTCTAGTGCTGCCCAGCAGCCCTCGCCCACACCGAGGATTTTGTCCAATGCCGTGTCATTGCTAAACTTCAGGGTGGTCATGCCAACTGAGCCGATGTCGATCTTCGCCTTCAGCACCAAACACGTGTGTGCTTGTTCATCGTTTTCCTGCGTGTTTCAGCACTGTTTCTGAAGGTTTCTGAATGCATTGGGACGAACTGAAGGATGCTGCGCTATGCTGTGCTGCCACAGCTCAAGGAGGAAGGACAAGGCGGACAAGGTGAGCAGCAGGGCCGTAAGTACAACGACCCTGACCTCGCGGAGCTGCATCAGCCAAGCAACCCGGAAGAAACAGTCAGCTGAGAGTGCCGCATAGTGCCGCGTTTGGTCATTGCATCTACCCATCCATTCACAAAGAGAACGGAGGCCCTTATTGAGCACAACCCAGCTTTCTCTGCCGAATCTTTGACATGGTCTGGCAGTCTCGCATCTTCTGTCATCTTCTGTCGATTGCAACTGTTTCTGAAGCTACTGGCCGCTTGCAGTGCTAGCCGCATTAGCCTAGCATCCTCTGGCGCGCTGAAAAGCCTTTTGCGGGAAAATGGCATTGGCAAGCACGGCAGACAGCAGGACATGTGCATGAACTGGCATGGTCAGACAACTGGTGCATCGCCTTTCGGCATCAAATCTCAAGAGTTTCGTGCAAGACCGGAAGACTCATATGCAGCTCGGGCACCTCCTTTGCTGGTCACTTGTGAAGTTTCGGTTTCGCCGTGGATCCAATGGGAGCTCAAGAGCTTTGGATACCCAACAGAGATGCAGAAGGACTTCTTGAGAACACGGCGAACACAGGAGCTCGCCGATTCTTTTGGCAGTTTCACCGTTTCACCACAACGAAAAGAAAGGACACTGTCTCACCTTGGTACTTGGCCGTGTTTTCGCAACGAACCCGGTTCTCTGAGCATCCCTTGTTCCATGCTCGGTATGCCTGAGTTCGGGTTCTCTCCTAAGCTACTGCTCCGGCACTGCCATTCCAGGAATCTTTGACTCAGATCCAAGGCTTTAGCTCACAGAAAGCACTCAACAATGACACTCTTTTTGGCTGTTGCGCTTGCTTGCGTTGGCGAAGGTCTCAAGGCCCACGAGGCCAAGGCCGAGCCAGCGCCAGGGGCGCAACGACAGCGCTGGCGCCGGCCGCTGGGGCCTTCTGAAGCCTCTTTTCATACGTCCCCTCCGCTTCCGAGCTCGCACCGAGCTCACCGTACTGAGCTGCCGTGAAACCGTCGGAGACCAGCTGGCTGGCAGTTGCAGCTCGCACCCCGAAGCCCAAAACCTAGAGTCCTAGGTGTGCGTGCTGATAAGTATTGCTCAGTACTCATCCCCGCCATTTCGCAGCAAAAGTCGTCAAGACTGTATTCTTGGCAGGGTGCCAACATGGTGCTGACGACCGCAACTGGAAGCAATGCATCTGGATGCCCTGAAGGGAGCAGTAGACCAGCAATGCTTCGCTGAATCTCAGACACTATGCTAGGCCACTCAAGCCGTAAACTGGCCATTGCGGGCTCCACCATAGATTGTGCGTCCTGATGGGCCAAACGAAGAACGCAGCTAAATTGATGCTCGCAACGATGCCCGTAGCCACTTGGTAGTAAGGGGAGAGCCCATGGTGTATTGGTTCTGCGTCATGACAAGAGGTGACACACGCATCTTGGCTACGATCCAGGTTCAAGCATGAAACCACAGCGACAAACTGGCAACACGACTATTGGGCCACTTCTGTTGCTGAGGTCTGGGCAGGCACCGAAAACATCTCCAACGTGAGCGGCGCTCGTGGATCATGTGAGTATGTGCAAGCCTTCATCACGCAAGCAACTATCAAAAGACCATTTTTGGAGATTGCATGAGCCAAAGCCTTGTCACCCACGGCACAGAACCCCTTCGAGTGATGGAAACACCTCGGTAGGAAGATATTGTAGCTATCACTGACACCTCCAAATCTTCACACCTGAGGAATGTACCGGATTTTCTGGTATCCAGGACTGGCCTGTTCAGCCAGCATCATACTGCGCGCAGCTTGGCTGCATGAGGTTCATGTCTGAAGGCGGCACCGCCGTGAGGGGAGGAGTCTCCAGCCTCACTCGATGATCATCCCACAGGTCCCACAGCCAAAACACGTCCCCAGCATCTCATGCCGAGCTGCAGCTGTCGAAAATCCTTGTCTCTGTCGTGCCTAGCCAGCGCTTGCTTGCATGAGCATTGCATCTCCACGAAGAGTGAACAGCGGCAGATATGGGCACCAAGAACAAGAAGTCGAGCGGCAAAAACACAGCAAAAAATGAAATATACTTTGGGCCACATGGAACCACCCGACGATATCTGGGCCGCAAAGTGCCCAATTTCAAACCGAAAGAACCTGCACTCGTACCACACTCGTCAATGTACCTTTGCACCTTTCGGAAGGTTTCCTTGCAGTCCACGGCTTGCAAGGGGGTTTTGGGGTGTAAGTGTTAAAGAAATTCTGATTACTGACGCCCCCTCCCTGTAAGGTCAAAGCAGGAATACTATAGAGACATAGTTGACCCAGGAAGCAGTTCGACCCTTTCCCGAGTAGGGCCCAGACTTGAAGCCTTCAAAGATTTCTCGCCTGTGTGGAGACAGTGGTCGACAGCATCAGACAAAACAGAACTACAAAGGAAAGTCCCGCGAAATCGACTCAAGACACTGGCCAGGTCTGTCTGTAGACTGGCTCCAGGCTGCTCACCTTCGCCTACGGAATATCTGAGCTGCTCATCTCTTTCAACACAGCAGAGACACGGAGTTGTCTCTGACGACCGCGAGCCTTGAACGTTGATGCCACGGCGCTGAGGACCTGACAACCCAAAGCAGAGGCCTTCCACTCCAGTTTCCCTGATAGATGTGACGAGGTGAAAAGCTGGGATCGGCACCGTCTGGTCATATGCATTTATCTCCCACAAGCACTGCAGGGCATCCTTGCAAAGAAGGGCTCACACATGCCAATCACTGCCGGCCCCGGCTCGCCACGGCTCGCCACTGGTCCACAAGCACTGGTGGCACCAAGGTCCGCACATGCACCTGCGGAGCGGAGAGCTGATCTCTTTGCAGTAATCTCCGGAGGACCTGAAGTGTACCCAACTCTTGGCCAACTCGTCGCATTTGCATCCCGCACGGGAACAGCAATTGCAAGCATCTACATGAGAACTGGCGGTCAGTGTCCAGGAGCCACACATCATTGAGATCCTGCCGCGGCACAAACATGCATTTTCTCCGGCCGCCGATACACATGCTCTGTGTGTGCATCTTGATCGGTCCCTCAAAATGTCGCCGTCGAAGAACTTTGTTCTTCCCATGGCCTGGTAGCTCAATGCTGGCAGCTGCAGAATCTAGAAGCTGAAGTCCATGGCCCTAAATGCTTTCTCAAGCTGGCACCCTGCAGGCGGCCGCAACATTCTCAGGCGACATCCTGATGCAACAAGTGCGAACAAGGGAGCTGTGAGGCACAAGGAGCCCAACTTCCGGCATTAGCACTAATTATTTTTGCATTTGTGCATCTTCCGATTCTCCAACACAAACGTTTTCAGGCAGCTGAGGGAGGAAGTGCTTCGAAACGGGCATCAAAAGGCCACAGCGAGCAAGACACAACAAGTTAGGCTTGATCGAGAGTTGGGTCGACACATGCCGAGACTTCCACCAGAACGACACTGATTTACTTGACACCGTCGCCACCCCTCACACATCGTCCCTCAGTAAGTGAGAGACTTGGATTGCCAGGGCTACACAACATCACGTAGTCGCATCACTCCTGGTGCCTTTTGCAGGCGTCGACACTCTGAGCGTGATGCTCAGTTTTCGGCAGAGCTATTTCGCAGCACAGGCAGAGCAATGCCCGATTGTGGGAAAATTGGCGATGCTAACGTCACAATGCCATTTGACAGAGGACATCAGCGTCCCAGTTCCCTGACTAATGCTCCACTGTTTTCAGTAGGGGCCCGGGTATGCAGACAAGTTCGGCGGCTTAAGGAGGGACATTGGACATATTGAGAGTGTGCCCTGAGCCCCTCTTCGAGGGCGTCGTGAAACAAGTGCTTCCGCGTCACCCGAAAAAGACAGGAGGGAAGGACTGGGCGGGAGGGGGCGGGGGGTTGGCACAGTTCACATCGCACGGGGCTTGTTCCCCACAAAGTGGTATACACAGTGATTCTGTTGAGGTGCAACGCTTTTGGGGCCCATCAGCCCATAACCGTCGGAGTGCGAGACTTTTTACCGGCTTCTGTCAATCTCGAGCAACTGTCTTGCACCTCGCGTCGCCCCAATCCGATCCGCTCAGGACTCCCAGGACTATTCGAAGACTCCTCGGGCTTTTCCTCGTCGCATCTCGTTGGCCCGTTGAACACTCTTGGAGTTTTCCGCAACCTTTGTCCCTGTGGACGCATGGCCCGCCCGACAGTCATATCACAACACACTCACTGTACTCAATACTGCAGGTCCTTCGCAGCTTTTTCTGCAACGCTGGCGCCAAAATCATCATTTTCCCGAAGCTTTGCACCTGAGAAGTACAGATCTACTTCGAGCTTCATTCCGCACGGAGGGTCTTTGCAAGGTCTGGCTCCGTCTCTACTTCTTTTCTGGGGTCTCTGTGCAAGTCTCTCTGCCAGTGGCTGAACTGAAGGGTGCCTCATCAAGAGTGTCAGCACTAACGTCGGCATTTTCATCCTTGGAATTCCATGCAGCTAGTGGGCACTCTGCATTAGCTCTTTCAGCGTTAACGGAAACATGAGCAGGCACCACTTCCACTGTGCACCTGACATCATCTGCAGATGCCTTTTCTTTCTCCTTCTCCTTCTCTCTTTCTTTCTCTTTTTCGCGATGATTCGGCCGTTCTCCTCAGCTTGCAGGCATGCAAAGAGCAGGCAACTCAAAGTCACGATGCACGCGTCTAACACGCGTCTGCTTGCATGCCGAGCTCTGCGTCGAGACCTGGATCTAGATCTGGATCGCTCACGCTGCCGCGAACGTGATCGAGAAGGCTCGCGCGTCTTGCTGTCTACCTTGTCCGCACCTGCAGCACATCATGCGCCCGATGTAAACATCTCCCCGAACCTGTGCTGAACCATTTCAAAACCGACCAGATCGGAGAATAGGCATGCGCCTTTCTCACCATCGTTTTCCTCCTCCTCCTCACCCTCCTCTTCCGAGTCCTCCATGAATTTCACTGTGTTTTACGTCTAGTGCCTAAGGCCCCTGCAAACGCCCAAAGCTGTGCACCCAGTGCAAGATTGCCTCACCTCACTGCCATGCTTGGGGGGGTACCACGGCACTTAAACTATGAGCAGGACGCAGTCCATCCACGCAAACTCTTTCTCCTTTTTCCTGCAGTCTCGTAAGCACACACAAGGGTCATGGCTGGAGGAGCCGCATCCGATGCCTTTTCTTTTCTTGCTTTCCATCGTCATCTGCAGCACGTGCAGGGGGAACTCGGAAAGCACACGACAGCTGTTGGAATGCTCAATCTGCCAGCCTGGTGCGCTTTCTTCTATCCTTCTTTCCTGACCTCCGTGGAGATCCGTGAGGCTTCGTGACGATAAGATGCATTCAAGAGCTCCGGATCGCACTGTTTTTTGAAACTCTTCGTATACGCCAACTTTCGCGAGTCGTGCGAGCTGAACGCCCAGATCGCACGCAAATGGCAAAGATATCCACAGCCGGCATCCCGCAGGCTTGCAGTGCTTGCATGGTTCCGGCTGGGTTGCAGCACGATACCTTGCGACTTCGTGCTGCTCTGCTTTCCCGTGCTGTGGAGAACTGCGTATCATGCCGATACTGGTACTAGAGATACTAGAGATATTAGAATGAGCCACTGGCGACCTTGCAATGGCACGGGACTTCAGCACGTGACTTTGAAAGTGAAACATTGCTCATCATGCTGGGTGCACGTTTCCTCTGAACTCACCTTATTTTTTTTATGGTAACAACTGCTCTATCTGAACAACATGTGATGCGTGCCCTGATCTGGGAGCACGTGCGAATGGCTCTAGGCCACTGCGGAAACGGTCCAGGTAAGTGCAGGGCCTTTGAGGTCTTGCACGTACGGCACTCGAAAGCAAGAAGCGGTTGAGCTTATCATGACACATGTCGTCCAGTTGCTGCTACGAACCAAGTGCCTTGGTCTTCTTCGTGATGACAAGGTTTTTTATTGCTGTTGAAACGTTGATGCTGGCGCTTTGTCGCTTCTGCCACACATATTTGCACAGATGTTGCCTTTGCAGGCGTCCTCAATCACCTTATCTCACGAAGCAAGGTATGTGACAGCTCTCACTGCAAAAGCACACATCCAACATCCTCTCATATTGAACTGAGTAGGAATTGGCTGGCGCACGCTGCAGCCTTCTTCTTGCGCTTGGGCGTGGCCGGCGCGGCCTCTGCAGCATCCTGGATTTCTAACGTTTCCTACTTGTCCCCCAGCCAGGATTGCACGAATCGATCGAAATATTATCTGCAGCATCCCGAAGCCCCTCGTCCGTGGCAGTGGTGAGTACGAAGGGTAAGTGTCCGGATGTGTTGCGATGTGCTTTTTCGGCTTTCTGGAAAGGCTTTGGGAGAGGGCATGCCCAGGTTCGCAAAACGGGCAAAGCTTCTGAAGCTCCGACGCTCGTGGCTGCGCCTGAAGCCTGCAATCTTCGCACTTCGCGCTTCAAAACCGAGGCTTGTCTGACCAACCCCTGCATGGTTTGCAATTGGCGCATGCTGGCGGTGGGGGACAGGGGCGTGGCATGGGAGGCAGTTGGGACATAGTTTTTCAGGAGCGTACGCACCGTGAATGCGCTCCGGCTTTGGTCAGGGAGGTGGTTGTTCTTGCCTCTCTCGACCCTAAGCCATGCCGAGCCACACCTGCATAGTCCACAAATGCTCAAAACAGCAACAATACGCATCAAGCAGACTACAGCTGTAGAGAAGAGGACATGCACTCCTCCTCGGCTTCTTGAGCCCGCTTCCTGTGCAATTTCACTATCCGACATTTGCCCGAGGTGAACACTCAAGAACGCACGCTCGCAATAAAACGTTCATTTCAACCATGGCTCTTCTTCTTTTTGGGTGGAGGCGTCTCTTCTTCCTGTCCACATGCTCCAACATGCTCCAACATGCTCCAACATGCTCCAACATGCTCCAACATGCTCCAATCTGATTACCATGGCACTTAGGCACGTCGCCTCTTCCGCAACTTCGGCCACCCGCTTCCTTGGCTTCACAGCCCCTTCCTCAACCTCCTCACCGGTTGCTGCAGCCGCTGCTGCAGCCTTGGCCTGGCAAGGGCTCAACGCAGCCGCATGCTTGAGACACTGCTGTTACTGCTTTCAGGCCTTCTTTGCTCTCTTCTTGCGCAACTTGGTCACCTGGCCATATACTTGTGCCACGCCTATTCCACTGAGGGTTGCTACAACAGCCCATGAGCAGCGATCCTCCTTGATGGCTTCCTGCATAACTTCCAGATTCTTGCGCGGAGTGGTGCCCTCAGATAGGAACGTCAGCCGTTCCTCCACCTGCCACAACGACGAAGCATGAAGTCTTAGAGCACTATGCCGGCTTGGCCAGACAAGATGAACACGCATGTTGGTACACGACAGACATGTACGAGGTGCACTGATGTGGACTGTTGTCGCGCCTGGTCTTTCAGCTTCTCACCAAAAATTGTTGTCGCTTCATCAGAGAAGCAATCAATTCGCGATGCTAAAGAGCATTTGTTTGCTAAGTACCTCTGGGGCACATCGGTGGGACATGACTGATCACGGTTGCAACAGCTTTGCGGCGAAAATGTTGCAAACTCAGCAATTTCCTGCCTAGATATTCTGCCTTTGTTCTTCTGCTGCGCGCGGCCGATGAAAGTGGAGTGAAATATCAGTCCTGATATGGTCTCAGCCATGACCCCCTTCCGTGCTGTGTGTTTTCTGATATGTCCCGACTGCTTCCCAAGGCACCATACTTTGGAGTGTTGCCCTGGGCTGAACCAAAATGACTCAATGACTGCGCAGATCGCGTAGCGTCGGGCCTTGGTCTTGATGGCGCGGAAGAGGGCCTTCTCCGCACCCAAGATCTGAACAGTGGAAGCCGGATACTTCGCGAGGTTCGTGAGGCTACCTGAACGGAACCAAGGTCAGAAGCTGCATCACCGTCACCATTTCTGCCATTTCTCTTTGACAATGGCGCCGGCGCCTGCATGAGATATCAGCCGCGCCCCGATAATCTCACCAATCAGTGCCGCCAAGTTAGGGGCAACAAGGTCCATTTTCGCCTCCATTGCATCATGTCTCGGCTGAAAGCACGTGCAATTTCCTACAGCGGCTACAGGAAACATGGCACTATCCTGACATCACTTCAGGCCAACATGCAATCAGGAGCAATTGACTGGCTCAGCCCACGCACCTTCAGGTACTCATGCAGCGTCTTGCGCCTCAGAGTTCTGCGAAAACTGTCATCCCATGCCCTTAATGCAAACTACCATGCCATCTGACATGTTAGCTGCCATGCCAGCCAGGCGCATATCTGCAAGCTTGATCACTTCGCTTGCAAAGTGATCTATGTTCTTCATGTCCATCTCGACTATGTCCTCTTTGGAGGTTGATGGCAAGGCATTCATGAATCTGCACAAGCGCACTGTGACGCAATCCCCACAAAGGAGGAGCGCACGAGCCTGTCCCATGGACATCTTCAACGCCTTCCTGAGAACTGCTAGTCTTCATGAGCTTCATTTGTTGCAGGATGTTGTACAGAAGCGATATGATATAACTTGATATAACCATAAACGGCGCACTCATCACTTTGACGAGAGCCAGGTGTCAAGATCTCATCTGCAACATCTTCTGATCCACAGGCTTCTGTCAAAGCCTCTTTGTCGCCTGGCAAGTATCACAGTTTTAGGGCCCCATCGCTGCACCTGAAAGCCAGAGGCTTGGAGCTGCGGCTCCCGACTATTGAGTATGCTCCATTTTGGAGAAATGGCTGTTGCGGGCCCACACTTCAGAATCATACGAAGGGGCCATGTTGGGATGTTCCCAACATATACTAACAGAATGAATGAGGCTACGCGATAGCCGATCGCCTTGGTATCTCACCCCGAATGTCTGACATACACTGACAAACCTGGCTTCGTTGATGCATTTCGAATCCCTTCAAAGGGTGCGATGGTGCCGTCCTTCCTTCCTGCACCTCCCTCCCTGGAATGATTTGTCTTGTCCTATGCCTTGACGCTTTTTTGAAGTGACTGCTATTCTTTCAGCGAAATACTTAACTGCAAGAAGAAAATCCAGCACAACCAGAAGCCCATGCACATAGCGTGTTCGCATGCAATCTTGGTGGATGGCCTTCAAAGTTGTCCCTGACCTTGCAGGGTAGGCGCTTGGGGTGCTGGCCTTCTAAAATAGCTCCAACCGCTCACAAGACGTCAAGATGTAAAAGCTTGGGGGCGCGGCGCGGACGACACGGGAAACCTTTGCATAGGCGATGTTGTCTGTTACGATCTTTGTGAGCTCCGGGAAGTGCCAGGCGTACCATTCCTCAGTCACACGTGCTTTCCGGGCACTTGTTGTAATGGGGCGTTGTGGCTTCTCGTATCCATGGACTGACCATTTCTTGTGTCAATCTCTCTTTCGGCCAGCGGCACGTTTCTAGATGTTTCCAGGATGCACCATGTTGCAGCAATACTGCAGCGTTCGCTCGACAAACTGATGTCATGGGCTGCCTCTAAAGTTGCAGACGAGGCTCGCGAACTCGCATCGCGAAGGTGTTGATATTCCTCGGAAAGACCAGTCGAAGCAGTAATCCGTTGAGAGTGATCAGCTGAATGCTCAGAACTCACCCGGACTCACCCGGACTCACCCGGACTCACCCGGACATCCGCACACTCGCGAGTTGCAGCACCCGGACTCAAGAACCCTCACAGGCACTGGCTTGTCCAAATTGTCTAACAAGGCGATGGTGTTCATGATGGGCTTGTCCTGCCCCGTTTCTCACTGTAAGGAAGCAAGGACATCTGTAAAGGTATGCTTGCACTCTTGCTCCCACCTGAAGGCAACTGCAGTTCCACATCCTCTTAGAAGCTGAAGAGAACTTCATGGTCTAGCTGGACGGGCTGCGGCTGGGACCAGCTGGGATGTCATGATACGTGAGGAAAACAGCAAGAATGAAGCATGAAGCAGCGCGTCCTGTCTGTTCGGGTCCAGCTGCATTCGTGCTCGGCTGAAAGCGTGGCCCAGCCCAAGCCGGGCTTTGTCTAAATCATTCTCGTTAAGGTCCTGGCGTCTTGCCAAAACAGAATCTTGGATTCAAGAGGCCAGCCTAGGCCAGCATAGGCCAGCATAGGCCAGTGCTGCAGAAGTCCTTGACCAGGCGGTTGAAGTGCAAACGGCAGCCTCGCAGCAGCTCCTGCCAAGACTGCCACATCCGGTGGTCTCTTATTGAAATGCCAAGCAAGCATGCTTTCGATTCAGTTCCTTCACCGACTGGCCGTGAGCAATCGGGAACTGTTCGGCCAAAGCCTCTGCAACACCGTGCCACATATACAGGACTCCGACAAGTTAGCGCCTTTGCCACAGCAAGCCATCCATTTCCTGTTGCATCTCATCGCATGTCGCACTGGGCCTTGCCGAGCTCCGGGTCGTACACGCCCAACCTTCCCCATATGAAAGCTGCGGTTCTTTGAGTCTAAGAACAACTAAGAACCGGGAAATACCGGGAATACGAAACTTCGCCAAAGCCGCTGATAGGATTTCTTCTTCTTGGGCAAATTCATCTCCAAGAAGTTGACCTTAGTCACATGGCTGAATGGCCGCATTCTTCGCAAACGTACATCCCCTCGGGCGGAAGACAGGAATCTAAAGTCTAAAGAAGTAATGGAGTCACAGTCACCAGCTCCTCCGTCGCAGTACCGGCCGCAACAGAGTTTGCTTGGTTCAATGCATCCTCCGCATCCCGGAACCTGAAGGAGACTGCGACTTCGAATGCGGGGAGAATAAGAAAAGGTTCCCCTAACTTCCTCCACTCCGATGTGTAGCAAGAGCCGCAAATAGCCTTAGGGGCCTTTGTAAAGCTAGTGTGCCACATGAGCAGATATTTGATGGGTCTCCCCCTGATGTTTCCAACTTCTTCTGCCCTGCAACGGAGTCCACGCATGCAGGGACACAATCTTGCTCACTTTCTTTGGGTCCAGGAGGGAGTTCTGGACCTGAAACGGCCATGATAGCAGGTGTCAGCGAGGCATCCACTCAAAGCCATGCTCTGCCTCCTCCTCAGTCTCGGCAGTCTCTTCGAATTCCTTCTTGAGAAACAAGGCGTAGCCTCACTGAGAGAGGCAGCACTGAAGCAGAAAACGTTAACTGCTGAGGAGCACAAAGAGTCACAAAACAGCCTGCAGCACTCTCATAGAGCAGGTATGTCGTCATTGGAGCCTCCGTGGGTGCGACATCACATGTGGGGAAGTATAGGGACTGTGAGGGTCGACAATCGGCCTCTCAGCCCACTCCAGGAAATTTGGATGCAGGATGCATCGGGGCTCAGAAACGGCTTCCGAGCCACTGAAAACAGGCAGCGGAACGAGCATGCAGGGAGATGCGACTGTGCTCTGGACTTGCTCGGTCGAAGTCTCATTAGCGTGACTGAGATCAACGCCAGGAGGCAGAGCAGAAGGAACTGCTGTGCCAGATTGTTTGGCCGCTGGTTTGGCCTGCTGCTGTAAGCTGTCCCTTGACACTTGACCAAAAGGCTTGAGTCCGATTTGACAGCAACTCCCGTTGCATCTTAAGGACTGCGGTTGCCTCGGGTTCGTCTGACGACTCACCACCTGAAACACATCTGAAACTTAGTCCATGCTGTTTGCAAAGCCCAAAACGCGCCCGAGAAACCAGACAAGCGGAACAAGCGGAACAACGACGTGGAGATGTAATTGCAGTGGGCCCGCCCAAATCATCCTGCGCTGCTGCACAGAGCGGTTTTTTCCTGAGTCGTTCTGAGAGTGGAACTGAACATGTGAACAGCATGGGATCAAGATGAAACATATGAAACTGGGGGCACGCGACCTCATCCTTCTCCAGTTGGGGGGGGGCAACAGCCGGGCCGAAGCCTCGGCCTCAGACCGGGAAAAAAAAAACATGCTTGCATGCGATGAAAAAACACGGGGTAAACAGAGTCACAGAGGATGCAGCTTCTACGCCGGTCTGAGCGCACTGACTTGAGCCATGCTGCGAACATGCATGACGTGACCACGTGCTGCACTAGCAAGGCTCCTCCGTATTTCCTTGTATGGGCCTCTCACACACTTTGGACGCTGTATAGAACCCCCGCTGACATGATCTCAACCCTCACAGTCTCCACATGGCATCCATAACAACCCAAAGATCGAATCGAAGCGGCTAGTTGTAACCTTTCACAACCGTCATACCTGTCCTTTTGGGAAGCATACTGAGTGCAACTGCTGCGGCTGGATACAGCTGCACCAAGTGAAACCAGTTGTGCAACAACTGTCCGGCACAGCCGTGTTTGTCCGGCGTTCTGCACTGTTGCATGCACTGGGCATGCATTGTACCAGGTTTCAGTGCAGTTTACGCAGATACTTGGCACACAGCGCCGGAGAGGAACGTGCAATCCGAAATGCATGCCTCAAGCATGCACCCGAGCCCTACTTTCACGTTGGATCTCAAGGTTGTTTCTTTTCTGCAGCCTATGCTACACAAGCTAAAGTAACAAGCACATAATTGTAGCAAGTCTGTCGCTTGTCAAGCTACAACCTTGCAGGAACTATGTACTTCAAACATGCAGAGTCATGGCCTCTGCCGCATATGGGGCACCCTGACTATTCTCGAAGTGGTGATTCGCAAAAGTAAACTTTTGGGAGATGTCCTGTTATCGCACAGCAGCTGAGGCCAGCCAAACTCAAGACTGTGGGCTGACTGAACTCACATGTCCCTGCATGCACTAATTGCGAAAAGGTTCAGGGTTCAAAGTTCAGAGTATGTTGCACACCTTTGTCGCTCTGGCATACCAGCCAATACCAGGCACACGCAGTGTGAAAAGCCGTTTGCTGCTGAGGCACCGAGCTCCGTTGAGATAGTGAAGCACGCTCGCTGACTTTAATGTTCTGTCGCTGGTACCAAGCAGCTATTGCCTGGTTCCTTGGATCTTGATAATCCATCACTACATGTACACAACTCCATGCGGCCCTATCTGGTGCAAATTGAAACAGGAAGCAGCTCCATCTTTGAGATCGTACCATCTCGCAGAATGTCTGCACGATCAAGAACGAAATCCTCAGAGTTGCCACCGCAAGGTCAAGCTTTGAAGACTGAGCCAAACTCAGAATGTTCTTCTTCTCGCAAAACTGACCACGTTAAGCTTGGTTGTTCTAGTTGCTGGGGGTACAGTAGGTGGTGGGTGGTGATTCAAGACGCCGCACTAGAATGCGGTGCAGAGGCGACTTGTCCCTGTCGCACTAGAACTAGTTTTGACTCCCAATGTTACAACTCAAGTTTGACGCTGCACTAACCAAAATCCCATTAAGCCGCTGCCAAGGTGCTACGTCCTCCTCGGTCACCTCCTACGACATGCAAACTGTTGTCAAAGAAGCAAGCACGACCAAGTCCAAAACACTGAAGACGCTGGAATGTTTCATTCGAAGCTCACAACACACAGCAAGCCAAGCCTCTTCGGCACTGAGCTCTTCGAGTAGAGCCTGAGCACACATTGATGCTAAGGGCATGTAATCATGGCATCTGACTGGTTCTTGCCCACGACTGCCTTGAGCTGCTCCCGATCTAGCCTTCCAGTACTCTCCGGATCGAACTTCCTGGGAATGTTGCACGCGGAAGCACGGTAGCGGCACAGAAAACTAGTACGACGCAATGAGGAATACTGATATTGCATGTGGAATCGAAACTCATTCGCGAAAGATGTGGGGGGAATGAACCGTTTCATCCTCGCAACCGCACCCCAGGCAACCGGACTCAGGAGCAAAAAGTATTGTTGGTTGTTCATGGGTTGCGATTGGCTCCAAATGAGTGAGGTCAGGGGAAGGTAAGCGTCTACCAAATAGAAAGGGTTAAATATGAACGGGATAAACCCCTAGCCCTGCCTCTTCCCCATTCCGAACAACTAGGACGATATGATACTGATAAGATAAGCCCCATGAGATACGCCCCTCTCATACAGGCTGTCGAAACGAAAGCTTCGCCCATGATACTAACTAACTCTCGACCAGAACACGGCACGAACTTGTTTAACGCAAGGCTCTTGAAAAGGATCACGCCCATGCTTTTGTCATCCGCAAACCTCACAAACGAAGCGAATCTACAATATTCTACAGTCTACAGACTCAGACACAAGAGCCAGCATGCTGACACAATCCCAGGGCGGAGCGAGGATTGGTAGATTCGCCAGCACGTCACGGCAGACATAAGATTGTCCTTGCCAATCTCAAGACTTCTGGTGTCCTTGGCATCTTGCAAAGCAAGAAGAAGCTTTCCAAATCGGTGCTGATGGCACACATAACAGAACTGTCCTACACAGTTTTTTTTCTTGAAGGGCACGCGCGAGGACAACGAATGCTAGCCTGGATTCCCACCAATATGGATGAGACACGCAGACACACCGCACACCACCTCCACCACCACCACCACCACCAACCGCTTCACATTCCACACTCCACCGTACGGGTCCACACTACACTGCACGCCAACACCATAACCATGCTCCACCATACACCCCACACCGCCACACATGTGCTCACAGAGACCACGATCGAGCCAGAGCCGCGGAGCTCTCCGAAACACAGTCCATACAACGTGCACTCATACAGACGCGACCTACCCAGCAACGGCCACGCAAATGTCGCCACCCACCCCCTTGTTCTTGAATTTAAAGGCAACCCTTGACAGAGTCGAGGAATTGCCACCCCCCTTCCTTGATTGATGAATTCGATGAATGGCAACACCACCCACATATCCTTGACCTCAAACCGGCTGAAATGCTGTACTGTCCCAAACTCTTTGGGGTCAGAAACCAAGAGGACATGGATAGCACAGCATCTTTGCTGCCCCAGACCTCGAAAGTGCTGTACCGTCCCAAACTGTTTGGTGTCTGGAAGCAAAAAGGTTGGGCAAGTTGGGCTCCAGACCTGAAAAGTGCTGTACCGTGACAAAAAACAACAAAGCAGAGCAGGGCAGGGCAGAGCAAAGCAAAGCAAAGCAAAAATGCTGTACTGTCCCAATCTTTGTGGGAGCTCTAGAGGTTCCGAAAAATGAGTCTTTCTTCCGGGGGAGGGGAGGGGGGGGGGGAATTGCATCATTCTTGCTCTTTGGGATTGGTGAATCTTGGGACAATACAGCATTTTTGCTACCCTGGACGTCAAAGTGCTGTACTGTCCCAATCCCCGCCGCACTTGTTTGGTCTGGGAGGGAGAAGTTCTGGGACTCGTTCGTTGTTTGTGATCGGCCAAGAATAATCCTCCTCCACAAGCCACGCCTCGAAAATTTATGCTACAGGATTTCTGCGAGAAGCTCGAAGGCGGTTCGGTGTCCCTATTCGGCTCAGGGTAAGGTGCCCCTTTTTCCTCGCTTGAAGCCTCAAAAGGGCTGCGGTTTCTGTACAAGCTAGGCGTAGCCCACAGCTCAAGCTCTCGGAGTGTTGGGACACTCAAAACGCGGATCTCTGGGGGGAGGGGGGGGGGTTACACATACAATATATATATATATATATATATATATATATATCATATCCGCCGACCCCAGCGGTAGCAGGGCGGCGTCAGTGAAGACCCCCCACCGCCCTCACCGCCCTCACCCGCTCTCACAGCATGCTGCTCATGACACCTTGAATTGGAGTGTTTGGCTTCAGTGCATGCCCAAACCCCGCCACCCATCGCCCTCACCCATGACGCCTTGAATTGGACCTTTGACCCCCCCCCACCCCATCCGTGCACCCCCCCCCCCCCGCACCCCCCCCCCCCCCCCCCCCCCCCCCCCCCCCCACCCCCCCCCTCCCCCCACCCCCCCCACCCCCCACCCCCCCACCCCCCCCCACCCCCCCCCCCCCCCACCCCCCCCCCCCCCACCCCCCCACCCTCCTGCCGACCAGTCCATGCCCCACCGCCCTCACCGCTCTCCGCCCCCCCCCCCCACCACCGCCACCCCCCCCACCCCCACCCCCCCCCCCCCACCCCCCCCACCCCCCCCCCCCCCCCCCCCCCCCCCCCCCCACCCCACCCCCACCCCCCCACCCTGAGGCCTGGCCCCCGCTCCCCCCGACCGATCTTTTGTGTTTTAAGGATTCCAGCGCATGCCCTGACCGCCCCCGCTCTCACCGCTCACTCCCCTCCCTATGCCCCCCAGTCCCCCCCCACCAACCCTTTCCTCAACCCCCCCCCGCCGCCCTCGACTCTGAACCCCACCCCCCCCCCCCCCCCCATCCCTCTCTAGTTTGAGGGATTCCAATCCACGCCCGCCCTAACCGCCTCCCCGCTCTCATCACTCCCCTGCCTTCCGCCCCCAACTCCACCAACCCTCGACCGTCACCTCCCCTGTCCACCCGCCGCGCTCCACCCGCCTTCCGCCCCAACCCTCTCACCAGAGTTGGTCCCCACCCTCTCCCACTCCCACTCCCTAACCCTCCCACCAACCCTCCCCAGCCCTCATCATTACCCCTCCCACCATCGTGCACCATCCGACCGCCCCCCCGCTCTCACCGCTCTCATCGCTTCTTCATCTCTATGCCCCCCATGCAGTCCGTCTTGGGTCTGGGGTCGGCGGCACTGGCGGTAGCCATTAAATCGGGCAGCGCGAGGTCCCCAAAGGACCGAGCAAATGCGGACCTTTTAGCCCGGGTCGTCCCGGGAATAGCCTTGCTGGCCTCTGGCCTTCTGCGAAGCAGAATTAGGCCGGACGCCAGTGCCGCCGACCCCCGCGTGCCGCCGGTGAACGGTTTTTTTTTCGTGGTTTTTTGCGTCGCCACGGAGGCCCCCAGAGGGCGCGCATCATGAGCATCAGCGGGTCCAGCCCGGGACCCCCAGGCGCGCATCAGGAGCATCAGCGGCTCCCGGGGCGGGACCCCGGGGGCGCATCAGGAGCATGATGCCCCCCAAAGGGCGGGCATAAGCGACGTGTCTAAGCCCGGGGCTAGGAAAAAGGGAGTTTAGGGGCCTTATAAAGTGCTTAGAAACGTTAAGGGAGTCTAGGAGCCTCAAACGCTTAGAGATTTGAAGGGAGTTTAGGGGCCTGAAAATGCTTAGAAACTTAACGCTTAGAGATTTTAAGGGAGTTTCGGGGCCTCAACATGCTTAGAAACTGCTCGCCCCAGGCTTCTGCGTGCGCTGCCCGCCCATGGGCGCAGCCCCTTAAAATAATGTCTGATCTGACTAGATTTCACGATGAACAAACACTGTTAACACAAGATATACTGCTTGTATGCGAAACTGCTGACGGGAAGCTGCTCTTGCCCTGCCTGGCTGCACTGACCCCTCACCTGCTCTCACACGAAGTCGCGCCAGGCGGACACTCGCATTCAAGCCACTCGCACAAAGAAATGTACCAAACGAAACAGGCCTGCCATCTTCATGACAAAGGTGAGCTCCTCCTCCGTCGGCGGCTGGCCCTGTTGGCACACAAAAACAACAATACAATTATGTTTATTATGTTTTCAGCCCACATGTGCTTCGCAGAGAGCCATAAGAGCCATAATTGGCGCCTTGTTGAGCTGCCGCAGCAAACTTCGGACTTCAGATCGGTCCAGCGAGCCGCTGCCATTGTCCTTTCTTACGAGATTCTCCGTGTGCAAAAACCGCTCAACAAAATGTTCTCGAAGCAAAAACCAAACTTTATGACTCTATGCCGATTCAGCTTGGAAACGTCCAGGCGCTCGAAAATCTCTCGCACTGTCTCGTTTCTTTGCTCTTGTGCTATAGTCTGCGCATCATCGCCTGAGCACGAACAGAACGCACAACATCCCCAGTGGCACTTCATGCTTGCAGCCATCAATGAAGAACTGTCGCGAAATGTCGTGAGCCACGTTGGCCTAGCGAAATCTTCTTGTGACAAGTCACGCAGTTCGGCTACTTTTTGCGCGACAACCGCCGCTGACATGCAGTGATCGGCCAACAAGGTGGCATCAAGTTACCGCTCCATGATGCTCGAGCCAGAAAACCTCCTCTTCGTGCAACAATCTGACACAACTGCCTGTCGAGTGCATGGGCCACCCCACTCACGGCAACAGTTCAGAAGCTGCTTCCCCACAGTCACACTGCGACTCAACGGTGGCACAAGACTTTTTGAAACATTCAGCCTGTGCAGCCTGTTGAGTCCTGCCATGGAGCATTGCATCATGTCAGCTTGCTGGACTCTTTGTAATGCCTAAGTCGGCAGCAAGTGCACATCATGGGGTCACCACATCGCATCTTTGCAGAAACGCGAACCAAGTCATCTGACGCGGTGCATAATGTACTCCGGATATATTTGCGAAGTGTCATACACGACGAACTCACGCGTGTCCGTCAAACCCAGTATCGAGTCCTGTGAGCTGGGTCAAGGAAGCACTGTGTTCACTGCTCACTGCCTTGCATTCCGTGCTCTTATGAAAACAATTGCCGAAAAGTTTCTACATCTGGGTCATCCGCGAAGCGATCGGCAGTTCGATCCTGCCCTTTTGGTAAAACCTTCACATTGCCCAATGTGACCCTGCATAGCAGCATGATTTTGCAGTCATCGTCCTGGGCTTCAAATCACCCTAACATTCGGCAATCCAGCACGCGAACCCTCTGCGAACCATTGTTTCATGCGGCATTCGGAGAAGTCACTTGGCCAAGCACTCCACCAAATCCAAGCTGGGGGTCTGTTCGGCCTTTTGCATATTGAGTGCTTTTTTTGGCATCGTCTGCGAAGTATATACCAGATCCAAAGCATCCCCCGCTGCTGGGCATGAAGTTGCTTCGCGAAATTGCTTTGGCAGCTTCTTCTGATGTACCTCATAAAAAATGTACCAAGGCTAGCCACGCACAAATGGCAAGAGATATTGGCAAGAGATATTGAGGGAAGTCGCCAATGCAGGCGCAGTCACACTGCCTACATCACGACGGTCTGTGCCCAAGATATGTGCAGGCCATAGCACCGTGCAACAACCACACTTCATTGACTTTGTGGTCCAATGTGGTGTTGGCAGAGAATTGAATGCTTTCAGCGGTTTCCTGCCACGCACATTCTAAGCTCTTGATGCAATGACCTTCCTGCTGTTTCGCTGCAAAGAAAAGTCACGGAACGCAAAAACCGTTTTGCTTCCAAGCAGCTGGCTCGACATGTGCACAGGTGACAGATTTGTCTCGAAGCCTAGCTGTACAGCACGAGGGGTGCTGATCTGCCAAAAATCGTCACAAGTCTATTGTACCCTGTGCTGGCATGCGGCTGTGCCCGCTTGGCGGTGTACTTTTCCCATAAAACCGCATCTTCAATCCGCTGACATTGAACCACTTCCCAATCAGGAAGTCTGCGTTGGAGAATCTTCGTGCCCATCCTTGATGCGCTGCCTATTTTCATGGTCCACTGCGCGGGTAATCCAGCAAAAACATGCTTGCGATCTGGCGATGAAACTGAAACTCATTCAGGATTCTCTTTCACATAGGCTCCGCCGACTTCTTCGTGAAAGTTTTCTGGCCATGTTGTTGCAGACTTCCAGTACCAAGGTGGGCAAACAGCCTCATTGGCACCTTGGACGTGTGAACCGCGGTTGCATGCGTCACACATCAAGCGAGTTCCAGGGCAAGGCGCGGATATCGCAATCAATGTCATGACCACATACGCCCCGCTCTTTCTTGAGGTACGCCTGCGGGAATTTCACAGAAGATAAGATCTTTAGCCGCTGTAGAAATGACAAGGTACACTTGCGAGCAAGGCGCGCAGCTTTTGCAACATGTTGGGAACACCTTGGTTGCATCACCAGGCATGCAGTTCCATGATACCATGATACTGAGAATCCCCGTACCTTGAACCTGCAAACCCTTTGGGCCTACGTGGGTATTCCAATCCCCCAACGGTCCCGAATGGGGCTTGGGCCTGGACCTCGTCAAATGAAACGTGCTATGTTCAGCTGCGCCCAAACCGTGTGAGGGGGCCTGCGGCTCGCGGCAAGCGATAGTGCGCCGAGGCACAGCGGACGACGCGTTTCAGTGCTGGCCAAACATGCCAAACGATTGTAGGCTCATTTTATAGTTACTCTGCTACGGCGCGTGCCAACCCTGCTCTGACGAGAGGATGACCTGACATCAGCAAGGCAGGATCTCGCACTGGCGAAGATTTGCACCCCAAGTAGCACCGATGGTGCGCCAGAACGTTCTTCTTCTTTTGGTTTTTGTCTCCGCATTTCCGCCCGGCACGCAATCCCTGTGCTGGTCGACATTCACTGCACCCGAGAGCGGCAGGCACGGGCAGCGGTGAATGCAAGCTGCAAGCAGGGCCGACCGCAGCATGGAAGCAGAGATGCATGCACCCTGCAATGGTGGTGGAGCTGACTGGGCTCGGCAACGGGCGAAGAGGCGGAGAAAGGCTGCAGCTTCTGCAGACCACCTGCCGCCGGTCTCAGCACGACGAGGCAGCATCGGCCGGATATGCCGAATTCTGGGTCAGCAGTTTGCCTTCCTTAGCGGGCCCGCCGTTTGCGTCAAGGGCGACAAGAAGGTTGTGTAAACCGCAACATGAACTTTTTGACATTTTAGTTAATTATGAACCCTCCCCACAAAAGGTGATCTGTTAGCTATAAGGTCAATGCGGCGGTCATCTTGCCGGGAAAGGCCGACATTGAGGTCCCACACCAAAACGTTGATCGCAACAGTTGCACCAGCCTCTCGGCAGACACGAGCTGGCGCACTTGAGTGGGGGCATCTATGGCTCGCAAAACGCCGGAGCGAGGGCACGCAGCGAGATGATCCCCAAACGCGTCCTGGCGTGTATCGGCTGAAACGACAGCTGGCAGGGGGATGAGCTCCCGAAGGAAGGATGGAGCGGCACAGTAGCAGCCAATAGCCCGCCATGCAGGATGTTGCCGGTGGGCGGGTGGGGAACCAGTGTCGTCAACAGCTCAGACCAGCACGGTGGAAAATTGGAGGCCGTGAATAAAGCGCGAGCGAGGAGGACCGATTGTAGGGTTTCAGGTGCAGCCGCGAGTTTCGACGAGCGCGAGTGCGAAGAGTGGATGGCGAGAGGCGATGTCAGGCGGGGTCTCCTTCACCGCTGCATGGAACTTGTCTTTCTGCCGCTTGGAGGCGTGCAGGTGCAGGCGGCGCTGGACAGGGCTTGTGGAAGGGGCAGGGCGGGGCACCTACCAGCCGCAACTCTCGCTTTCGCTCCCCCCGCACTTGCTCCCCGTCGCCACTGCGCAGACGACCTCCCACGCCACCGCCCCCACACCGCGGAGCACCCAGCCGGCAGCACGGGGAGTCCGCGGCTCTCGCGCAGGCGACCGTGTCGTGCGGCCGCACGCGCCAGCCCCCTTACGGCAGCACCAGCCCCTTCACCACCTGTGGCCACAGCACAAGCGTCGGCCTTTTTGGGAGCGCCCCTCGGCCTCTCCATTTCGGACGGCTGCATCGGCCAAGGAAAGGGAGTGCATCAGCCCACGCCGCCCAGTACGCAGCGGGCGCGGTACGGACCGCGCTCGCTCAACCCAGCCCGCCTTGCGACGCTGGGAGAGTTGCCAGGGCTGTGCACCGTCCACTTCGCCTGACGCTACCCCGCCAAGGCAGGCCTGCAAGGTCTGCCGCACGACGTCATCATGGGCCTGGGCATAGCCTGCAATGTCAAGTGGTGGCACTGTGCGCAGCGCGTGGTTGGCCCGTGGTGATGCGCACATAACGAGGAGAAGCCAAGCACACTGCAGTTCGGGGAGGCGCGGCAGTTGGCTCAGAAGCTCTTGCTCGGTGCGCATCCGACTTTCTGCCCATGACGCCATGAAGTGGGGGTGACCGATGGGCGTGCCCAAGACCACCAAACCTCGCTCGGAGGGCGCCTTGTTTCCCCGCCACACATCCGCGCCCACTGGTGGGGGCGCTCCTCCGGCATGGCAGTACACCCGAAGTTTAGAGTTTTGCCATCGCTGGGAGCTATGCCGCACCCTTCCTGCGAGCCTCACGGGCACGATCCCGCGGTGTGAGGACGTACAGGTCGTCGAGGAACCCTAAACGTAGCACGGAGGAGTGGAGCGCGGACGAGGCCTGGCATAAAGCGGCATGCTGGCCGAGGGCAAAAAGTGCCGGAGCCAGCGGATCATCTTGCTCGCATCCCTCTCCTTGGGCGACATCGCGACAGTGCCCCGACGCGTCCCACCAATGGTTGCCCAACTCTTCGCAAGGGCGCGCGACACGAGGCGGCGGAAAACGTCCCCTGTCGCTATGCCGCGCACGCCACCGTCTGGTTTGCTGAGAGCAGTGAGGCGAGCTAAAGCGATGCCTGGGACGATGTCGGCTGGCACCTGCGCATTTGCCAACCGGGTTGCAGCACAAGCGAGGAGCTCCAGTGCTGGCTGGTCCTGGAGCAAGACTTATTTTTTCTCGGACTTGAATTTTAAATGCTCTGCTCGCATGCCAGTTAACCCGGCCGCGCCGCCTCGCTTCGCATCCCGCAAGGCCGCTGCGACAGCAGTCGGGCCGAGCCGGAGGAGACTGCTCGGCCGGTAGTTAGCCACGTCAGACGGCACTGCCGTGCGCGGACGCGGCGGGCGGCGGGCGGGGTCTGTCAACACGCCAGGCCTCGTTGCCGGGCGCAAGCTCAGCAGCCGTGAGGAGATGGCGGGCCCTGGAAAGCTCGCCCCTCCGCACCTTGGCGCACGCTTGTTCGCGTTTTCGCTCGGCCATGACCTCGGCGTCATCGCCGCCACGCTGACTGCGAAGTCGGTTGGATCGCCGTGCTGCGGCCAGCAATTGCGCCCACTCTCCCAGCCGGAAGGCCGCTGCTCGGGACAGCAATTCGTCGCGCCCCTGAGGTCCGTGGAGGTGCGTGCGAGCCAGAAGCATGCGTGGTGCGAGGAGAAACAACTTCCACGCACGTGATGCCGGCGCTTCATCGTGGGTCGGCGTGGTATCGCAAGAGTCGGGGAGCAGCTGCAAAGCCGTGGACAACGCTGCCCGCACGGCGGCTCTCATGAAGGGCGGCACGTCCTGTAGCGTCGGCACTGGGCATCGGAGCTCTTCTGCCAAGTCCACCGCATCTAACGCAAGCAAAGCCGCATTGGGACCCCGGCCTGCGTCTGCGTCGCAGTCGCAGCGTCGTCACAGTCTCCTGCTGGGCAGGTGGGGACGCCCGCGCATCCTTCGTCGGCGTTCCCACTGGACGGCGAAGGTGCCTGGCGTGCTGTGGAGCGGTGGTGGGCACGGCGGCGACGGCGGCGGGTGGTGGGTGGGGCGGGCGGCGGTCGGTGCTCGTGCCGGGCATCGTCCGCTAGGCTCCGTGCGGGCGCAACTGCCGTCGCACCCGCGTAGGACTCTAAAAGTGCTGCTTGCGCTGCCGCTGTGAGATATCCATTTGGGGCCATGCAAAGCAGTAGCGCGGCCGATAAGGGCAGCGGGGCGTCGGGCATGGCGGATAGGGCGAGCCCCGACGGCGGAACTGGGTGCGCATCCCGCAACAAGGCCACGAGTTCACAAAAGCGAGGGCCGAGCCCAGGATGCGAATGCCAGTCCTGGTACAGGACTGGTAGGCGTGCGACGTCAAGGTGCCCGTGCCCGCATGCAACAACGGTATGTAAAGCCATGAATTGCGCTCGCCGGGCAAAGAGCTCGGCGGGCGGGCATCTTGCCAGCGCAGGGGCTCTGCATCTGCTGAAGGCATGCGAGGCGGCCGCTCTGGCGAAGGTGGCGGCATCAAGCCCGGCGTCGCCTCTTCGGGTGCCACTTGCGCCATCGCTCCCGAGGGTCGCTGGGGGGCATCGCCCCGCGGGGAAGCGAAAGGAGTGGTGGAACTGAGTGTGTCCGAGAGGGTTTCGGCAGCATCCGTTTCCGCTTGGTGGTCGCGCAAAGCGGCCGGGCGGGACCAGGCGGCAACAGTTGCATTTGAGCGAGTGCATGCAATGCGCGTTGTCGCCGGTTCGCCCTCCGAATCCGGGCCTGGGTGGTCTGCTTCGCCAATGCGACGGCCATGATGCTCACATTCCCGACGTTGTGTCACATCAGCGGCTGTGGTTGGTGGGGTGGGGTGAGCGGCCTCGCCAGTGCGCCGGCCTCGGCACGGGTGCAGCGTCCAAGAGCTAACGCCGCGCCGTGGCGCAGCATGAAAAGCGTGGACTCCTCTACAGCGGTCGTGTTTCCAAGTAGCCACCGGTTCCCGGCCACACTCTATTGCGTCGGTTGCGAAACGGGCCGCCGGGCCTCCACGCGTCCTCGAGTGGGCGCGGCATTGGGGACCTCCGGTCCTTGCAACCGCGGCGCCGTTCTGTGGCGCGCTGTCCGTGCTGGGCGGGCTGATGGGTGCTGGGCGTGCGACTGCATAGCTTGTTGCAAGAGGGGGCAAAGCAAAGCAGTTCTATGGCTCAGCCAGCTCCTACACGTGGGCTGATGGGCAGGGGGCCTCCCACGCCATTGCGCAGGGCAGGTGGGCTTTATGGGCTTTCTGGAACCCTACATGTGCCGCAAAATGCATTTCACCTCCCCCCCTCCTAGAAATACATTCCCTGCAGCCGCCCGCACTCCACCGAATTTCCCAGTCAACAAACACCAGCACTGAACACATGGACAGTCGCATTGGTTCTCCCGTGTCTGGCTGTGTTTAGGCTGTGTTTAGCAAGACATGTCCACACTTCGCACACCTCTACCCTGGTGGGCTTTATGGGTTTTCTGGGACCCTACATGTGCCGGAAAATGCATTTCACCCCCCCCCTCCTAGAAATACATTCCCTGCAGCGTAGACTGCGAAGGACACGTGAAGAACTTATCAAGGACCTGTGACGGATCAAGTCTTG